GAGACGACATGGCGTAGACTTACTTGGTAGGGACTTTGTTGTCCTCGGGAAACTTGTTCACATGCTCGGAGTCTGTATGCAATGTGCATCGATGCATCCAGAAGCATCTGCATTAGCTGTCTCTCTCCTAGATATGTTACAACGCAGGTACGACATACTTTTTACAGTATAGACCTTTTATATAGACTTTTGCTCCTATAACGAACACTTATATGCTTGAAAAACTCAATACAGGGAAGTGTGCAATCACCCAGAAGCCTATGTGCGAAGAGCTGTTCTTTTTGCAGCCTCTTCAGTTTTGGTTGCTCTTCACCCTTCTTACGTAGTCTCATCCTTAGCTGAAGGAAATCTTGAAATTGCTAGAGCTCTTGAATGGATCAGAACGTGGGCTCTTCAAATAGCTGACTCAGACATCGACCGAGACTGTTACACGGTAAGCCATACAGTCGTAATGTCTTCCTTACACAGTGAAATAAAGAGTCTTGAGTTTTTGATTAGCTTAAGCATGATTGAACAACAGTTACAGTTTAGCTTAGCCTATGTGTTTTGTTATGTGTTAGATGGCTTTGTCATGTCTCCAACTCCATGCTCAAATGGTTCTCCAAACTTCCCGAGCTTTAGAATCAACCGGTGGGAGTAGCAGCAGCATGGACCGATGAACATAAGTTTACCTTCTACCATCTCTAAGTTGACATCAATCCAACTCCCTCTTCTAATGTTCATCTCTAGAAACTTCATTCCCATTTTTGGCTCCGAACTCATGTATAGCAAAGTTTCTTTAATTAAAAATATCTCATTGTATGTTGGTTTGATTTTTGTTATCTATTAGTACAAGTTTTGAACTTTGAAAAGTAGTAGCCTTGTTTCTGATTACGGAGCCAAATAGCAAATTGATCTCTCTCTTAGCCTTAACTGACGTATGCAGACCATTTCAGTAGCTCATGACTACAACACAACTTCAGATGCTAAAAAGAGAAGCACTTTACGTCTTCCATTCATATGCAAAATCATTTGGGTGCTACTAAACATTATTAATAACAGGCAGCCAAAGATTCCTCTTGATGAAGTTTGAGATTCCATACTAACTAGTAACTTCTTAAGTTCAGTTTCTCATATTCCAAGATGGAACTAATCTTCCACTAATCTTCTCGCTATGCTAATGAGTTACAACCATTAAAGGTTAAGACTTTCAACAACGAATGGTTCCCAAAGAATCAAGCTTGTTGCAGAACTCATCCAAGTCTTCATGGCTAAACCAGTCCTCGTTCATCTGCAAATATATACCAAACCGCACAAGCATTTTAAGATTCCCCGAAAAATAAAACCCGCTTATTCGATAACAAGGAGAAAATGTTTTATTGAATTGATAAAACTTACAAAAGATGAGTAATCTTCGGCGATACAGTTCTCAGGGGCATCTTCCATGAACCGCTGAATGTAGTAGAGGACAAAGCTTCCACATTCCACATCATTTGTCTGCTGTGGAACCTGAGATCATGATGATAAGTCGATCCAAGTATGAGATATAAGCATCGATAAATCCGAAATGACTTGGTAGATGCACTCATTCAATACCTTTGGCACAATGAGCTCGATTTCATCAACCAAGCTTTTATCTTCAGTCCTCCCTTCAATTCTGTATAAGTCCAACACAAACCTGTAATAAAAGAAGAAGCACAAACATGTTATTTGGACGAGGTTCTACACAAATGTATCATTCTTCTTTGCTCAAGATGAAAAAAGAAAGAAAGAAAGAGAGTTCTCGCCTTCTTATATCTGCCTCAAGCTCCTTGCAAGATTTGGTTGTTTCTAGTGAATCAAGAAACAACATGCATGTGTTTCCAGTTTCTGAATCAAGTTTCTCCCCAAAATTGCAAAAGATCAACAAAGTCCAATGGCTCCTGATGAAAATTTTCAAAAAGAAAACAACAGGCATAAACATTTGCATTTGAATACGTTTCAAGAACATACAGTATATAGGTGAAATAAACATACCAGTAAACGATAGGAAGAAACACATATTTCTTTGAGAAGATCTGCTTCTTCTTAATCGATTTGAAAACACTGCTTCTCACTCTCGGGTCGCTTTTGTACATAGTGAACCATAGACAATCTAAGAACACAAAAGAGTTCTTTTTCTCATCCGAGAGACCTCTCCACAATTCCCTATTCACATCATTCAACAATATTAGTAAAAACTAATTAAGAGAAAACCATATATAAAAGCACAATTCCTTATATTGCTTACTCTAGGTAGACTATAAAGGTATTGGAACTTAGTTTCTTCCGTAGCTTGGAGACTAAATACTTGCACTTGAATCTTCTTGATGACCTTTCACGGCGTTTGAAATCCTCATAGAAACAAGGTGCAATCGATTTATAAACCTCCAACTCCTCCTCGGTTAGTTTCGGTTTAGAACCACGAGCATTCAAAGCAGCAATATGCTTCCAACACGTCCTGTGGTTTAGAAACTCATCTTCCTCACAATCTGTATACAAAGTATGCATTTTGATCAAACATGAGATTAGCTATGAAAACCCAAATTCTCTAAAAACTTCAAAAATCAAAACTTTGTTTCAAGTGATCACCAAAAATCCCAAAACTTGAACAAACAAAAGGCCAATGCCTGAAACAGATTCCAGCATAGTTTATACGATTCACATTGTCAAAGAAAGTATCTTTCTAAGCTAAATTAAAAGAAACACTCTTCTAAGATAAAACCGCATCGCCAAAACCCTAAGTCCCAAAATTGTTGATACCAAAAACATCAAAAATCATTAAGAAAAAAACCGCAGAAAACAAAAAGTGGGTAGAAAGGAATTACCATCAATTATAGTGACAGGAGCAGGAGCAGGAGCAGTGACGGCTTTAGAATTTCTAACACGATTACTTCGTCTTCTCGACATTGAAATCTAAAAATAGCTCAGTGTAACTCTTTAATTATTTCTTCTCTGCTTTTTCATTCTCTGTTTCTAGGGACAAAAAAAGGGATTTTGTTTCTTTGACCGACCAGACCGAATACGAAAAGACTCCGCCGTTGGTTTTGGTTGTCTAGTCAACGATTCAACGGTCACGATGACTTGACGCGTCGCTTCTTTGGTCTTCAGTGACGAGATTTTTATTGAACTCTTTTTTTGTTAAGGTTTGTCCTTTTCTAGGAAAATATTTCTGGTGGGATACTTAAATACTGACATAAGTTTGTTTGTTTATTTCCAAATGATATACCTGACTTGTTTATTTATCAATATAAACTAGGGAATGATCCGCGCTTCGCGCCAAATTTTATAACGGTATTATTAATGTATTTAACGAAAATTTAAAGATATCAAATTTTGTAATTTAGTTTTATATTTCAAAAATATCATATGTATATTAATTAAATAAAGATTATGGGAATAAGTTATGTTATGTTACTTTCCATTTGTTTTGTTTAGTCCTGTCCTATCCCGTCTTATCCTATTCTTTCCCATTTTGTTTTATTCCTTCTCGACTCTTTTTTTTCCATCTTGTTCCGTTCCGTACCGTCCCGTCTTGTTTCTTCCTCGCTTGTCCCCTTTCATCCCATTTTGTTCCATCTCGCTTCTTTTCCTTCATCATGTCTCATTACTCCTTGTCCCAATCCAGTCCTTCATTCCTATTTCGTCTTATCTCGTTCTTTTTTGTTATGTTCATTTGTATCGTCATATTTAATAAATATTATAAAACTATATAAATTAATTTGACAATATTTTAAATTTTAGTTTTTTTAGATTAATACGTAAGATTTTTGATTTATTAAAATTTTTCAAATTCTTGTGAAAACTAATATATTAATACATGATAATTATTATGACAATTAAAGTATAATAAAATAAAATAAGATAAATCAAATAAATAAGAAGATCAATATTCTAATAAGCGGAATTATAATGAAATTAATATTCTTTTCTTTCCAGTTACATTAATACATTACAAACAATATTGTTATCTTTAAAAACATCCAAATGGTTTTCTCGTTTTTCTCATCCAACTTTAATGGGAAACAGATGTGTAGATCCAGCTTTTGGTGTTTGGTGTGCTGGTATGTTTTGGAATAGATAGGCTTTGAATGAGTTTACTAACATGAGTCATTTAGATTTTCTTTTTGGGTTTTAATTCTATCGACTAAGAGTTTTAACCTTTTTCTTTTGTAGAGCTTAACTATCGGAGAAAATCATTGGTTCCTATATCTTAATATCTATATACTTTGGAGTTTGGATTAATGGGTAAAAAAGAGGAAAAGAAAATCCAAAAGATTTCCTGACTTTGGTTTGGATTCGTATTCTAATGTTTTATTTGTCTCAAACCGTCCTTATTTTAACTTCGAGGAAGTTTATTGAAAACGTAAGTAATGATTAAATCTTAACAAATAGTATACTTTATAAAAAAAAATGTACGCAAACAAATATTGGGACGAAGTTAAAGCTAGTCCACATAAAACCCACAAAATATTGCTCTTGTGAAAAAGAAAGAAAACATAAAAAATTCCGCTGCCAAGAGTCGAGCCCGGATTTCCAAAGGGTGGGATACAAACTCTCAACAATGTTAGAACTCTCAACTCAATTTTCGAAATTAGCCGTGTGCTACAGCGGATCTGATTGGTATCAAGGTAAGTAAACTTTTATTTATTTAGTTATCTAAACTCAAGATTGGCCAAGATAACCTTTAGTTCCTTTGGGCCGAGAGCCCCATTATATGGCAAAATATGTGACCACTAATCAAATTCGTCATCTTAGTTTGGGCCGATGTTTCGGTCTGGTCTCTGAAGCAAACTGATCCGACTCGACCCGACCTGTCTTGGAATAATCTTCCCGCCGAGAAGATTGTGCCCGGAGATTTCCCGCTAATTCTTGTCGATCGAGGCGCATACAAAAATTGATCTTGCTGGCGTCTTTTAATTTGCAAATTCAAAGAAGCACGATCAGATTCAATTTCACTCACGGCGGAACAAAGCAGCGAAATCGAATTGTGAGAGAAAGTCATGTTTGGGAGGCTGAGACCGCCGCCATCGTCGCCGGACTGTCTCGAGAGATATCCGGCGAAGATCATCAAAGACGATCCTCTCTCCGTCTACGGTACTTTCACACACTCTTTCCAATCTCATATTTCGGTCACTTGATTTAACTGACCAGTAATAAATCTCGATTTCAAAATCCTGGAAAATGAAATGCATCGAAATTGAAAAAAAAACAAATCTAGAAAATTCGAATTAGAAGGATCTATGTTTAAAAGTCTTGTACCTTAGGAACCTTTTGATTTAGATTTGGTTTCTTTTGATGTCATTTGTAGAGTCAACACTGCTCAAGCTTAAGCAAGGATCAAGACTGGACTCCGTTGGTCCTTTATCGGAAACAGAGACTGAGAATCCGTCATCATCGTCAAACTCTGTTGAAACTTTAGTCTGTACGGATGCAAAAGGAGACGCTAATGATGTGACTCTGTGCAATGGCTCTGATGCAATGGCTGTAGATTCGGGCCAGCAGAAGAACAAGAACCCATCAGTGCTCTCCATGTTTTGCAGGTACAAGAATCTATCTCAAGCACGAGACTTGTCTCACACTGTGGATACAACAACGGCAGAGACTGAGAATGCTTCTTCGTAAACAAGTTCCTCAAAGTTAATACCCACCAAGTATGATTCTTCCTGAGTTGGAGATTTCACATTGCCTCATCACCATCTGGACCCAAAAAAGAGCTAACCTTTCGATTGCCAAGAAGAAGAGAACAATAACACTCATAAAGTTCATATGGTTTGTTAAGATTATAACTGGGCAAGCTTGAGTTTATAGATGTTGATGATGTATAATGTAAGTAGACGATTCTGTTTGTAAGGGGTCTACAGAAACTGTGTAATTTGATCTTTGTTGGAAAAGAAGTCTTCAGATTCGATTACTCATGTTATCTTTGAATACAATTTGTTATTCGTTTACAAATTTCAAAAAAAGAAATGACAGGTTGAGGTTATGATTTTTTTGAGGATCCAATCTTAACAAAATCTTCAACGTTTTAATCCTCAAAAATTCACTCTCTTAGCCATGGAGCCAAAGCCGAATCCCACTCGCATAGATCTCCTTCTTTGAACCATAAAGCTGTGACATAACCAAATGCGTCGAAAAATGTCAGCAGATGACAAAGCGAGAAAGAGTGTTCATGGAAGCAAATATGAACAGAGATATAAATAAGAAATCCAAGTATCTCTTGAATTTGAACCAAATGATTTGCATAATCAAGTACGATCTAAATCAATTGATGACAGTTATTCATGCATTGGTACTGACTGAAGAAATAATCTAATGCATTGGAACATTCTAAACCAAGCAAAGATGGAAAAAAGAGAGTAAATGATTGAAGAAGCAAGAAAACTCACCAAGCTCACGCTTTCCGTTTTCAGGACTGTCGCTACCATGTATAATGTTCCTGCATAGAGCATACTTATCGTTGTTTGATCATTTCAACGCTTATAAACCTAGAAATTTTAGTAGTGGTAGAGTCTAACCTTCCGGTTTGAACAGCAAAATCTCCTCTTATGGTACCAGGTTCAGCTTGAAGAGGATCAGTTTTTCCTATCAGCTTCCTCGCAGAAGCAACAACACCAACACCTTCCCAAGCCTTTGTTGCAAGATAAATAAACATCACAAGCTAATCAACTAACCGGAAAGCAAGTTCTAAAGAGGAAAACCAAAGAGTAAACAGAATTGTAACCGTACCATACACACAACTGGTCCCGAAGTGATGTACTCAATTAGTTTAGGAAAGAATGACTTTGCACTAAGATCCTTGTAATGTTCCTGGAAAATTGTTAAATACGTAGAATTTGATGAGTCAATCAAATTCAAAAACGCTTTATATTCTCTTGTTAATATAAAATCACAATTAGGCTTCGTATCCTAGTCTTCACCTTGATAAACAAAGAATCTTATGGGTCTTTTCTAAATACGAAATGAGTTTAGTCCAATGCCTCTATATCAACACAATCCTAACTGAAAAACCATGTTGACTACTCCTGAATACTACTGATACTGCTAAAGATCACACAAAATGAATTATTGCAGTATCACAGATTCTAACCTCAGCCAATTCTCGTGGGCAGTTGAACATCTTAAGTCCAATCAACTTAAATCCCTTTTTCTCAAACCTTGAGATGATTTCTCCAACCTTAAGACGAAATGGAAATAGCAATTAAGATTAAAAGCTCAAACTTGATTGATGAGAGAAAATGTTTATGGTGAAAAAGACTCGAAAATCATAGAGGATGAATAAGAAGAAACAGAGAGCTTACAAGGCCTCGTTGTACACCATCGGGTTTCACCATAATGTAAGTCTCCTCAACTTGTTCCTGAAACCATAAAGAAATCACCAAAATAAGGAATTGGAAGCTCAAGCAGCTGCAACGAGTATTCGTCAAATAGAACTAAAACTTCGTTTCTTCAGTAATCAGAGTCAATTCGAAGTTAAGCAGATTTGAAAAACCAATACCGGTAAAACAGTACAAGTTTAGAGAGAGAGAGAACCAAAGAAGCGACGAGGTGTGGGAGGAAGATGCCCGATTCGGCGGAGTTGGAAGCGCGAAGACATCGGGAATGGCGAGAGAAAAGACGGAACTGCGGACGAAAAGCAGCCAGATCAGCCCGTAAGTTAACCGTAGAGAGAGAGCTATAAGAGCTTCGATTCATCGAATTTCTCGCCGCCGTCGTCTTCCTCGACGCCGCCGGAGCGACACAGTGAGACCATTGACTAACCACACCTACTCCCTCCATTTTCTGCGTTCTGCGTTTTTCTTTCTTCAGTTTATCATGATAAGTCGTTTTAGACAAGACGAAATGACAAACTTACCCTCTATCCAGATGGGTCAAAAGTGGAAAAAGTTTGGGATAAATATAGAATTCGTTGCCCATGATAAGTTTAAATTACCAGGGGGTAAACTACAAATATAAAACTCTTGGGGTGAAAACAAAATTGGTTGATAAATATGGGGGTTCATTTGTAACTTTACCTTTCTTCTTTACTGCAAATGAATTAGCTTATCCACACTGTCTTCTTCACTCTCTAAAACCCCTCCAAACCCTGAAGAGAGGCGAATCATGCAGATTTGCCAAACGAAGCTTACCTTCACCTTCCCTAATCCCACAAACCCCAATTTCTGCAAACCCAAATCTCTCTTGCTCGGCTTTCAATGGCCTCCACCTCGTCGCCTTGCCTTGCCGCCTTGCCGTGGCTTCAGCTCCGATGAATTCCCCGTCGACGAGACATTCCTCGAGAAATTCGGACCCAAGGACAAAGACACGGAGGACGAAGCTCGCCGGCGCAACTGGATCGAGCGTGGGTGGGCTCCTTGGGAGGAGATTCTCACACCGGAAGCCGATTTCGCACGCAAATCGCTGAACGAAGGCGAGGAAGTTCCGCTTCAGTCACCGGAGGCGATCGAGGCGTTCAAGATGCTGAGACCGTCGTACCGGAAGAAGAAGATCAAGGAGATGGGGATTACGGAGGACGAGTGGTACGCAAAGCAGTTCGAGATCAGAGGGGACAAACCGCCGCCTCTGGATACTTCCTGGGCTGGGCCGTTGGTGGTCAGGCAGATTCCGCCGCGGGATTGGCCGCCGAGAGGGTGGGAAGTTGATCGGAAGGAGCTTGAGTTCATAAGGGGAGCTCATAAGCTAATGGCTGAAAGGGTCTGGATTGAGGATTTGGATAAGGATTTGAATGTAGGAGAGGATGCTACTGTTGATAAGATGTGTTTGGAGAGGTACAAGGTCTTCTTGAAGCAATACAATGAATGGGTCGAAGCTAATAGAGATAGGTTAGAGGAAGAATCTTACAAGGTGCGTCTTTTTTAACATTTCAGAAGAAAGTAGTGGTTTAAACAATGGCTTCTGTAATCAAGATGGTGTTTTTATTTGTTCAGCTCGATCAAGATTTTTATCCAGGTAGGAGGAAAAGAGGGAAGGATTACGAAGAGGGGATGGTTAGAATCTTACTCTTGGTTTGCTGATTTTGGTTACTTTGCTAGCTAATGAAATGTCTGAAGTTAATTTCTGTATGTTTCTGTGCAGTATGAGCTTCCCTTCTACTATCCAGGGATGGTGAGAATCTTACTCCGAGGCCTTGTTTATTGTAACTAATGGTTAATCAGATGATTGGTTATATGAGCAGTGAATGTCCATGCAGATTTGTGAAGGGGAAGTTACGACTTTGCATCTGTATCAGGGAGCATTTGTTGACATTGGAGGTGTTCATGAAGGGTAAATCTATGTGCTTTTACTTTGTAATTTTAGTAAAAAACCTGCAGTCATTGTTGTAATGAAGGGTATATACTCTGGTCAAATTGTTGTGTCTCTTGTCAGTGAAAGAAGTTTCATATGCTATATATGAAAGTTTCTCATTTTTATGTATCTATTGGTTTCGCAGATGGGTTCCTATCAAAGGTAATGACTGGTTTTGGATCCGGCATTTCATAAAAGTTGGGATGCATGTTATCGTCGAGATCACGGTACTCTTGAGAGACAGATTTTACTTTCACATTGATAAAAGCTGAATGGAAATTTTCATGCTCATGTCATGTTTCTGTGCTCTTTTTGTTTTCCAGGCAAAAAGAGATCCATACCGGTTTCGGTTTCCCTTAGAGTTGCGCTTCGTTCATCCTAATATAGATCACATGATGTATGCAATTCATTTCCCTTCGTTCTGCCTATAAACGGTTTTGGTTCATGTATGTGTGTTGACTGTTTTTGTTTCTAATCTTGCTTCAGCTTTAATAAATTTGACTTTCCACCGATATTCCATCGTGATGGGGATACTAATCCAGATGAGATAAGGGTTAGTAGAATCCTTTCTTTCTTCAAATCTCTTGTCAGCTTGAAGTCTCTCCCTTTATCTTTTCTTAATCTTAGCACATTGATTGTACAGCGAGATTGTGGAAGACCTCCTGAGCCTAGAAAAGATCCAGGATCCAAGCCAGAGGAGGAAGGGCTTCTCTCTGATCACCCGTATGTCGACAAGGTATGTGCCTTGTACCAATTGTTGGTTATGAGTTATCTCCTTTGCTTTTGTGAAAACTACTCTATCGGCGCTGTAATTTGTGTGACATCTTCATCACGTCTCTTCTTGTTTGCAGTTGTGGCAGCTGCATGTAGCTGAGCAAATGATTTTGGATGATATCGAAGCCAACCCTGAAAAGTACAAAGGCAAAAAGCTATCAGAGCTATCGGATGACGAAGGCTTTGACCAACAAAAGGATATCGAGCACGGCGAAGGTTATTATAAGAAAACCAAATTGCCCAAAGTGATTCTGGTGAGATTTTCTCTACTGGTGTGTTGGTGCAACCATATTGTCTCTGTTATCTGATTTAAATGTTTTCTCTTTTTCTTTTTTTCACAGAAAACAAGTGTCAAGGAACTTGACTTAGATGCTGCCTTGGTAGAGCGCAAGGTTAAATTCCCCTTGACTTGTGTTGCATTTCCATGGTGAACTTGACTGTTATATGCATATTTAATACTGACAGTGGTTAAAATTCTCCTATTGTCTTGTGCAGTACCACAATAAGCTGATGATGGAAGCTAAAGCAAGGGGAGAAGGATACAAAATCGACAAGCTAAGAAGAAACATTGAGATGGACGAGTATGACACCTTGCACTGGCGCCGATCTTTGGAGGAAAGAGAAGCATTGCTCAGAGATATCAGCTCGTAAGTTAAAAAAAAATTCATGAAACCAAAGCGGATTAGTGAGAGATAAAACGATATTGATGTTTTGAAAATTTGTGTTGCAGTCGTCAAGCGCTTGGTTTACCATTGGAGGAACCAGGGAGGTATAAGCCAGGAAATTTCTTTGGGAAAGACCAATACGATCCAACAAGCGCATTGTACCAATATGACTACTGGGGAGAGCCAAAGAACTCAGAGATTAGCAAGCAAGAGAGAATGAAGGATGCACACAACAAATCCATTGTTGGGAAAGGCAATGTGTGGTACGATATGTCTTACGATGATGCCATTAAGCAGTCGATTGAAAGAAGAAAAGATGGGTCTAACTTGGCGAATCAACAAGAAGAAGAAGAAGAAACAGAGTCTGAGGATGAGGAAGAAGAAGACGAAGATGATGATGACGAGTTTGATGATTTTGACTATAGCATTCTGAGTGATGAGAGTAGTATCGGTTACTCGGAACAGCAACCTGTTGTTAACGGTGCTCAAGTCTTCACAGATTGATCTTTAGACGGAGGTTTAAAAGTAGAACCAAGAAGCCTTCTTTGTTGGACTTTCGATTGTTAAAGTTGAAGAAAAACATTTGCTTAATTTAATTACATAATCACAATTAGCGTAATAAATTGAGAACAAACGACTAATGATGGTTTGAGCATTCATCAGCAGCTCAATCTTGTTACAGCTTAAACGTTTCAGTCTTATAAAACAGCAGATAAATAATTCAACGGTTTTGTTGATCTTGGTATTTAAATACCTCGAATAACTGTGTATATTTAACAAAAAAGACCAGCTTAACTATTGACATTCAAATATGGTTTAGGATATAGATTAGTCAGTCATTTCCTTTTCCATGTCAAGATATTCCAACTGAGTGGAGAAGAGAATCTGTGATGATGTTGAAACCCTATGCATAGATTCTAACTCTCTCATCATCTTCTTTCTATTTATACGCTTGCAAGTGATAGAGATTCCAGCTCTCTTTAAACACTCGGAGTTTGCAAGAATGTATCTTACGATTTCTTTTTCTTTGCTTCTTCCTCTATACCCTTTCCACTCAAAGATCTCGAGATGGGCTGACAAACATCCCGGAACAGAACTCGGTTGGTTCCATGAAACCGCGAAATCCTCCTCAAATCGAATGAATGACTGTGAAGCAACAATGAATATACATTTAGAATGAGCACATTTACTTTTACTTTGGTAAATATTCCATCGAAACATGCATGAGTAAAAAATGTACAAACCTGGTCGATGAAAACAACTTTTAGATTAGGAGAATTTTGAAGCAAGCTCGTTAGTGGATCCAACCAGTCTAAACCATTTAAAAGAATTATCTTACACTCCATAAGCTTGGAGAAATTAATAGCGTTACAACATGCAACCTGAAATGAACACAACAACAACACATATTACATAAGTAAACGCTATAAACTATGTGACCATCACAATTAATTAACCATAGTAAATAAATAAAAAGAGTGAGATTGGTAACTACATACCGTTGTAAAGCTCAAAAATAATTCGAGGTAAGTGAGTGAAGAAAGAGATCTCAAAAACATGTCATCAAGGTAACAATCAACATAGATTCTTGCTTTATCAAAACGAGGCCTATTCATAATCAAGCAAGAACCGTCTGAATTGTATGTGAGAAAGAGTTTCTTTAAAGCCAGAGTATCTATAACCAAACTCTTCCCATTATCTTTATTCGTTGCCGTATCATCATACGACAAACATTCCAAAGATGGGACGTTTATCTTGAAATCTATCGCTGTGTCTTGGTGATTCCGGTACACGATCAAATGCTTTAGTACAGGACAACTAGATAAAAACCTAACGAGAGAATCTTTATCTTTATACAAGACAAAGTAAAGGCCAAGAGATTTGAGGGATGGGAAGCAAGCAGAAGAAGGAACATCCACGAGAATCTTGTCTGAAAGACCCAAAGAGACGAGTGTGTCGCATGTGTAAACACTATTAGGCAACTTTGTAGGCTTGGCAGACCAAGATAGCATAAACCCTAGCTCACTAACCTTGCGATCAACGGCATTTACAATCCACTTTTCCACATCAACATCGACAGGACAATGTTGACCGAGTTGTATAACTAATCTTTCTAATTTAGGTGCCTTGTTGAGTTGTAACGACTTGTCAAGGTACCACCAAACACAATGCAGTTTCGGATCGGATTTTCCAAGTAAAGGGTTTAGTAAACGGCCAAGCAAACCGGCAACAACTATTCTACGAGTACCATCATTGTTCTCTATGTACCTGAGTCTTGGAACCATCGTCCAAACAAAACGCCAGCGTTTCGACAAAATCTTGGTAGCCTCAACTTCTTTTGTTGGGACAACAAGCGACAATATCCGCACGAGCAGATGGTCAGGCAAAGCACTGATCCTGTCTTCACCTTCATATCTCTGGCAAAGTTTGGCTCTCCTCTTCTCGAAGAATCGTCGGGATGTTTGCTTTGTTTGTTCTAACAGTATCGGAATCACTTGTTCTACCAGTGACGAAATTTCACACCCAATATGGACTAAACTGAAATAAAGAAGAACCGCTTCCATCATATTCTTCATCCTGAAACTAGACCAACCAGGCAACAACGCTTTAGGTGCTAATTTAGGATAATCTTATATATATACACACGCATATCTTTAAGGGTTTTGATTTAGGATATATACAAACCCACGTACGTAGGGGTTGTGGATTTATCTTTCTCTGATTTTTTATTTATCTTTTTGAAAGTGAAGAGACTATAATTTTTATTTATTTATATATTATTGTTGTTCATTTGAGTATAGTTTTCTGTTTTACTCGTTGACTGAAAATTTTCTCGTTGACGTGGTTATACGTCACCGATTTGATCCATATATATATATCAAAATTTTATCGATGTTGACAAAAATAAATACAAAACAGGATATTACTGACGATCATTAAAAAAAAAATTGAACAAAAAATAAATAAATAATTTCACACACCAAAAAAAGCAAAATATTAAACCCCTAGTGACAACTAGTTAGTAAAGTGTTTGTGTCTCTCTGTGATAGAGCCATTTGCTCCTGATTGCAAAACATATGAGCAGCCAGTTGATGAAGGATTCAAAGCGATAGCTGAGGAATGCATGGATCTTCAAGATGCTAAGAAGCTTTTTGGAGAGAGTGATTTGGTGATCTATCACTTATTTTCAGGCTGTGGAAGCTTGTGATAGTCAGAGATTGCCCTTTCGGAGACACTACACTCTTGCAATCCCTTTGGATGTTGTTCGCTGCTTGCAAGATTCTGAGTCAGAAAGTGCCAAAGCTCAATGTCAAAGTCATTTGTGAAGAGGGTCCTCCATATTCAAGACCTATTGAGAGATTGGATGTGCCTGAGTTTGTGTGGACAGTATAGAAGAAATCTGAGATTGAGGTATCGAATCTGGCCATACATGTACACTAACCTCATTCTCTGCTGCTTCAGTCATAATCTACCATGTTCTCTCTTTCCAACTGATTTCACAAATATGTTTAACGTATCAGCGATAGAAGCATTTCATAGCTTGTAACTCTGTAAAGCAAAACTTTGTCTCTGTCCAGAAGTTTGGAATACAAATGCTCACTGACTTGCTGAAACTTGAAGAATGGTTAAGTTTGCTTTTGAATTTCTTTTTTTCTTTGAAATTAAAAATTAGACAATCATGTGCAAATTAATACTCATTCAATCTTAGTTCAAGTCTAGTCTGATTTTCATAGTCAATTGGCCTTTGTGTAGTAGAACTGTGATTTCTTGTGATGCAAGTTTTCCCGGAACTGAGAAAACACCTCTAAAACTTAAATTAAATATGCTGACTTGCTGAGAACATTGAAATCTTAGCTAATCACTCTATCAAGATATAATCAAGCTTCTGAGATCTAGTATGCGTTGTCCAAAACAAAGTAGAAGTAGGCAACGAAAATGGCAGATTCTCTTTCACAATGTCATTCTCACAAGATTAAAATATTTTTACTTGCATGTATAATTTATCAAACCTGAGCTACATAAGCGCATAAAATTGGATTTGGCATTTGGCTGAAACTCTGGGAAGCTTGCTTCGTTTCATCATCCGTGTCTCGCAAATACTCACCGTGCATGTGGTAATTTTTGTTGAATACCAATTCTCACAAATATAAGACATTTCATTTTCTCCAAATAAAGAATATCTCATTTGACACCAATCTCTAGCACTTTCACGTGACATCTCTATAAACAACATTATTTGGCTTCTTCTTCCTTATTCTTCTTAACGATGCAAGCGCACACGTTACAGAATTGATTGAAAGAACCAAATTACCTGGTGTCAAACTATACTTTGTTTTGCCACACGAACATTTCAAATTTTCAGTAAATTCAAGACATCATTTAGAGGTACGGAACTCGATTTTCAAGTCTAGAGATTCCAAGAAGATAAAAACAAAATGGCTTTCGTTTTGAAAAAAAATCCATACATTTTGAATTCAGGTTATGGACTCACCCAAATATCTAGAAGTTGTAAATAGCACGAAAATTATTTATTAGGCCTAAGAAGTAAAACCTCTAAAGACTTTAGCCACATATTTGAGAAATTTGGTACGCCGTTGAACGTCATGAATTTGCCGTTTTCTTTTAATGCTGAAATTAACCTTCAAGATCACACACACACACACACACACACACACACACACACACCTACAGATAGCTAACATTGGTCCACGTGACATTTAAATTATTGCATAAATTAGATGATAGATGTCCCATGTATCATTGGATATCGCAGGTGTAGACTGTAGTACATTCAAAACTAGTAGTACAACATTTTATTCTTCACCCTCTTTTTTGTTTTCTTTTGTTGGACATGTCCACCTTTTATTGGCTAGTTACTTTTTTATATTCTTCGGTCGATGAAAATGTGAATGCCGCTAAAATAACATATCAAAATCAAAATGTGAGGTCCACTGAAAAATCATTTCAAGAAAGTAACTGACTTTGCGCACAAAATAAAAAGTTTATAACCACACTTTTAATCGTTTGTAGATATTTCCGAGTTTAGGAATGAATTCACGAACGCTTCCAGACGATCATGAATAATCGCATATACATAGTTAATAGTTTCAAAACCGGTTCGGTCACATATTTTCGTAGCTATCAAGAAATTAGGTTTCACGTTTTGGACCACCTTGGATTTTGCATGGTTGGACGGTGAGCCGGTGACGACCTTACCATGAAATGTGACACCGACGATAAAGGCAATAAATGCAAATTTCATTAATTACTTTTACACCTTAAGCTCGAAATTTAGCATCACAAATACGTTAAGAAGAAAGAGAAGGAGAAAAAAAGGGATGCATTTTTACAAGAACTCTAAACAAAATCTATTCAAGGAAAAAAAAAAAAACGACATAAAATATGATGTTAAAATAGTCAGAAATTTAGTATTACGAATGCATAGATTCTTTCGAGGACATCTTGTAATGTAGCGGTCAGGACCGTTCCTCTCGTCGGCGATCGTGCACAATACTGATCTCTACGGTGGACATTGGCTACAATCTACGGGTCAAAGGCACAAAGCAGCCTTGACGTCGAGCCTCCAAGCGAAACCACCACAATCCATTCTCCACACGTCGCAAGGCACCGTGACGGACCCTCTCATCTCACGATCTTGACACGCGTACTGTAGTTTCACTCTGCATGTGAAAGCCGGGTACGTCAGCATTGGCCTCTCCCTCATTACCAACCGTACGGTCACCTGAAAAATATCGCCGTTCGTGTTTTCCGGTGCACCTTCTTCCACTGGAATATTATCCCTCGCCATCTTCCTGTACGCGTCGTTTGTCCACGTCACTTTCCCTAAAACGTCTGATATGAAACCAGGACACGTGTCCCTCACAAGATTCATTTTCCTTTCTTCATCTGACCTCCCTAAACCATAACCATCAATCCAAGCGTCCGTTACACGCTCCACCGTCATACACGACGAAATCACCACCGTCCTCCTCCGTACAACCTCTTCCCTATGATACATCCTGCCGCCTCCGTCGCTGCTAAAACTCAGCCAGAATGGACCCTGTCGCTTCTCCTTCTCCACCGATGTCTTCCGATATGTAAACGCATCTTGATCGGGCGTCTCCGGCAATAAAGACAGAGTCACCGCAGCAGCACCGCCGTGAACGACGGACTTAACCGATCTCCTCCGCCGAGTGCACCTCCTTGCGTTACCGCCATTGTCCTTCTGCTGGCATTTCCTCTTTCCTCTACCTGATTTAAAAGAAACGTCGGAGCTTCCTCCACCACTACTCTCTCCGCTGGATACCGGTTTTACTCTGCCGCCGTCGCTGGTTGGTTTAGGAGCGATGGGACGATATCGAAGCATGATGCGATCTGCTTTAGAGAGATCGTACAGTCCAGCTCCAACGGCGTACCTTGTTATGCAACACCCTCCCCTACCGTCCATTTTCTCTCTCTCTGTCTTAGTGAATAGAATGTTTTGAGAATTAGCTGATAAAGCTTAATTTACTGAAGAACACTGAACCAATGGGTTTAGGGTTTTATAACGTCAGTGATCAGGACACGCGTCGGAGTCTACACGAGTGTTTTGGTCTATAAGGATTGCGATCTGGACGCGTGTCGTAGCCTGCACGCTTGTGGTTGTGTTGGGTCTAGAAGACGCTCATAAAGGGTTGGGCTGCACATGGAAAGTTATTCTCCTTTTTCTTTTCTTATTTTTGCCTAAGTTATTCTTCTACCCAAAAATAAATGTAAAGTTATTCTTCTACCTTGTGTTGCGAAAAAAGAAAAGAAAAGTTTTCTCCCATGTAAATGTTTGCTTCGTGCTGTATTTTATATGGTCACTTCTGTTTGGACAAAACGTTTGTAATTTGTAAATACTTTTTTTCAGTTAACTACTATCGTAGCGATTCACTCCCGAACATGGCTCATGTGAAATTTGTAAGTAATGCAATATAGATTAATTAATTCTTGCTCACTTTGACCCTTGTTCTTTACTGGAACTAATTTTGTTTGGTAATTTTGCGGACAACGGAAATATTTCTCAACTAACTATTTTAAGAGAAAGACAAGATTGTATAAGGTTACGTCTGCATAGAAGAGATAGGCAATTATCCATATATTATGGAAGACGGTATTTTGTTTTATTATTAACCAAGTGAACTGTATTATATCATAACAAATTAACAATATCAAGCTCCGATGGTTATATCTCTAATTCAATATATTCCACTAGCAAATGGAGGACCTGTATAGTAATCCTCAAATTTTAAAGTTTCAAAACACATAAGGTTTTGTGATATTTCTACAAATTTCCTCTAAAAACAAATGCCAAATGAAGGTTAAAATATCTTACAAGAAAAAAGTTTAATTAGGCACGATCCAAAAGATGAGGATCGATTATAATTATAATCATTGACCAAGTCTCAATTTAAAGCGAATGGCATCTTAGTTAAATTTAAAGTGATTGTGACAAATTAGATCTCAAAGGGGACAAGATGATCTCATGTGTAAATGACTTTGAAGATATAGTGCAAATGAAGGTGACAACAAAAAAAGATTTAGATGGAGTTAGGTAACCGTTAATTATACATAAATGAATATCAATTAATCAAATGAATATAGTAAAATAAGCAAATACAATACAAAATATTGGATGAACACTGAACAGTGTCTTCAAGCGGAATATGAACAATGATATAAGTTTGGTTATAAAAAAAGGAGTACTCTATAGGTTAGGTAATGATATTTAACGTTAGATTTGGGATATCGTTCCAAGGTGCGAGGGTATCTAGAAAATATTGTTATGGGTGGGTTGTGTTGTATACTTTGCGAGAGAACACGCATGAGGACACGTAAAGACAGCTTATTAGCTAATGTGTTTACAATACTACTCCTGATTTTGAACTATACTATACAAATCAACCTGATTTTGTTTCATTAATTGTAATAAATTAAAAAAATCAGTAGTTAAAATACTTAAACATACACCCATCTGCTTAGATGTTTTAAGTACAGCACATTTATCGCTGGAAATGTTTTCAGGCAGGAACTCTTTTCTATTTTTTTTTTTTTTCTGACTGAGACATCAATACTCAACTATTCAAATTTAATTCGGTATAAGTCACTATAATTATGACTATGTTGGAATCTTCTCCTATAAATATCTCCTTCTACAATTTGGTTTCCGTTAAGTTTTCTACAAAATCGAACAAAAATCAAATATCAGTTGGTTCAAATTAAGTGTTTTGGACCTTCTGGTATCATTTTCCTTAGCAATATATACGTTACTTGCTCTTGATAAAATAAAACCAATGTTTTTAGCGGAGTTAATAAATTTCTGAATCTGTTATAATCTACTTATTTGGATATAAAATAAAATCAGTTTATTTATTATTTTTTTGCTCTGCTTTATCAACATGAAATTGACTTTGATCTGATAAAACATCTCTAGTTCCATTCAGTTATAAATATAAAAAATGTATTCACACTCTCGCACTACATGATGACTTCCTCGCATTGAAACTAGCTCGCGTTTTCTGACTTTACTGGATAAGTTTTTGGTCATTAAAGAGCTCCTTTTTCCATTATCACTAGGTTAATTGGCCTATTTAGAATTGAGTGTAACTTAACTCCTTTTTAAAAACTTCCGGTCTGCTTAAATTTTTCGGATGTTTACTATACATAGTTACTACTTACTATGTTAGGAAAAAAAAAGTGTATTCATTGATTGGTGGACAAGGTTTGGTGGTTCCTTGCATAAAAAAATATGGTAACAAAAATGTTAACCCTCTTTTAAGTATATGCCTCTTGGAGCACGTGGCATATCCCATATAGGTTACCACAATAGCTACATTATTTTAATATTTTGTTTGTTTCATAAGATAAGCTTCACAAATCTTATCAACTAATATAGTCATGCTAATAAAATAGGATTGGATGCTATGATTGATCTTCCGATTTAATCGTTGTAAATTATGAGGATAATACATATCAAGCTAAAAAATTTAAAGGTCGAGATAGTTCAAGATAGCATGTTATCTTTCATATACGAGGAGAATAAATTATTAAGTTTCATCAACATAATTATACGATCAAAGTTATTTTAATGAAACAAGAAAGCATTTTTATCTAAATTATACTATGAAAACGTAGTTTATGATTAGTTATTATAATAAAGTATTCTCTTAAAATCAGATTATTTGCTTACATGTTAACGATTAACAAAGACCTATTACAATGTTTCTGAGAGCCAGTTACCTATAGTTTCCTATAAGAGCATAACTTGAACTTGACCATATAGACGATTCTCATTTTAAATTCGGAAAATAATTTATTAAAAATCTCAAATGTTCTCCCATAGTTCCATTGAAAATTATGTATCTATATATAGTACATGTCACATTGTTTAAACATAATTACAAGGGTACATGAAATTGAAGGGTTCCAAAGTGATATCTAATATGAATATATATCACACCCCTATGAATATATAATTACATAATGTGTAAAAACAATTACATTCCCTACCCGATATATAAACCTTAAACTTATGTGATAATTAAAGATGGTGTCCATGTACATACTACTATATATAGTACAATATATAAATATAATATTATCTAGATGATATAATTGGAGGGTTTCCCTTTACAGACGTTTTAGGACTAGTGATTAAATAACCGAGCAGGCCGATTTACTTTCTAAAAGTAGAAGCCGGGCAATCTCTTATCTTTAGATGTATGCTTTTCAAAGACATTGATTAAAAGATGGAGAAGGAGATACATTCGCGAGAAAAACGGGAAAACAAAACATTGATTACGTTTTGAATCTCACCTGCTGCTTTGATACCTAATTGTATAGTTAATTAGTATCCGATACAGTAATACAAATTTCGCACACAGTTTCGTAATATTATGTGATGAAACCATTGGAGATCTCTTTTGAAGTATCCGTAAAGAAAACAAAAGCAGGCACGTTCGACTAATGAAAATCCGCCAACTAAAGTTAGATAATTTGGGATTGGGACGTTTAAAAGAATTTGTGAGAAAAGAATTAGGTTCTTCTTGAAGGCCGCAAAAGTCCCAAAAACCAAGAATCCTAACTTGGAAAAATGACGAAATGGGTTCGCGCCACGTGTTATGATTGTAATCTGGTTGGCAACCTAGGATGAGTCACCAAAGCTATTGTCCCCTTCAGGGCAATAGCTCCTTGCTCCAATTATGCCAAAGTAGCCCATGACTCGACCACTTCTCCACTTTTTTTAGTAATTAACTAATCATCGACTCCTCAAACTCTCATTGGTTATCATCTATATATAGGCTGACTGTAGATTTATTTATATACTCCGGATAAGTTTTAGGTTTTACTGTAGATTTATTTATATTTTGGTAAAATGTTTAATATTGGCCAAGTTCAATTCACATAATTATCACATTTTCTTCTCTTTATTTTCTCTATCATGTTTATTTCATGAGCTTAATATTCGGAGTTTTTGAAACCAAAAGGTCCAAAACGCTGCTCTTGGATATTGTACGTCAAATTGAAAATCTCAAGTATTATACCATTATTTGCATATTGGATAAAGGAGTAGTTTCGTTATATGGCATAACCAGCAGATTTGAAACAACAAGATTCTTTATATGGAACCAAAGCAAATTTAAAATGGTGCACAAAGCAAATGTTTCATGGGGATGTGTCAAGCGCCGGCCGTGAATTGAGGGACTTTGTTTCTAACATACACACACACGCGCAGAAGGATATGTACACATTCAACAATAGTGAAGCATGCACTACGAGTATACCAAATACCCCTCCGGTTCTCTACTTCTCTATGATAGTTAATCCAGTTGATTCTAATTTTGCGTGGGTTCAACCCTAGTGAGTTAAACTATTTCAAATTATCAGCAGCAATGATCAAATGAAGAAAAAACAAAGTTCATTGTTCCTATATATCTTTATATTACATAAGCTGAAATCAATTAAAAAAGACATAAACCAAACTGAATTTAATAAACGACACTGTTAAAGCTAAAACCGAAATAGATGCTTCTTCACCATATGACGACCATCTTAGGGAACATATTGCTCATGAGGGTTTTTTGCCGGGTCCAAATTCTGACGAGATGCATAGTCTTGTTGTTGCATTTGTAGTTGTACAGAAGTGTACATGAACTCGTTCTCCATATCAGTAAAACTTGGTGGGGGAAATGTAGATTCCCAAATGGTTGTATCAGAAGTCATGAAACGTTCATGATCATGTTGGACCGTGACCATATTATCGGTAGAAACGTAACCTGAGATTTGAGGCATTCCGGCGGGAGACACCATGTTGCTTCTCATCTGATGATGAGGCACACGTGAACTGTTGAATCTTAAGAAGGATAAAGATACTTGTGAGTCATGATGAAAAGAAGAAAAAGCTGGAGATGGAGAAAACAAATCGGCATGGTTTGTGTGGTTTGAAGTGACGATAGGTGTAAAGAATATTAGCACATTAAGTCACTACTTCGTTGGGTTGTCATTTGTGGACAAGAGATCAAATTCTAGAAATAGTTTTGGATCATGAAAATTTATATCTTGTATTCGTTGCATCGAGTTTTGGTGTGGGGTATAATCCGTGAAAAGGTGTTAGCAGAGCTGCAACAAGTTAATCATTTTCGGGATAAATACTTTTTAAAAATCTTTGATCGACAACTGACTCTTACTAATGATCATTTGAATGAAAATACAAGGGATCGATTCTTTTTTTCGTTTTTTGTTTTCTTCTCGTCAACAGATTCAATTATCTAGCGAAAAAAGCAATTACACTACCAGCTTTCATGTCTTTGATCAGTAGTCTCTAAATCTCAAATCCATCTCTGCCAAATAGAAACAGTGAAGTGACAAGAAAAAAAGAATAAGAGGATAAGAAATCACGGAGCTAAGTCTTTCTGCATCAGTTACTCACCGGGAGGCACCATGTTCAGACCGTAATTAAATGGTAAAAAGGGATCTTTCCGCTAAAGACTATGATATGGAAGATAGGTACGTCCTTTAAAGATGACTGAGGAAACGACAAGGTATGAACCCAAAAAAAACTACAAGTTAACATAATGTTGTGGATGGCAAAGGTTAAATAACACTTACAAGATAGCAAGTCCACTTCCCACTTTTCGTTTTCGGGTAAACCCTTTAGTATTAACCTCGTGAAGAAGATAACACAAAGGAATATGAGGATAAGAGAAAATTCAAAACTCAATGGATCTCATTACTAGAATCAACTTCGATATTGTACAAGTCTAATACAATGGGTACTTAACGAGAGACAAGGAGAGGAAGAGTGAGAAAAAGAAAGACCCACACACCTTGCAGATTCATGGACCACTCATATCTAACCTTCATCAACACTTCCCGCAGCGCAACGATCACCAAGTTCCCTATCTCCTCTTGGTTCGAAATCCCATCTTGTTAAGAACCACAAAGTAAAAAGTAAGGATGAAAAAGATACAGGACACAACCAATGACTTCCCTGGACCTCATAAATATCATATTAGTTTAGAGGAGACTCCTGTAAAAGATGCAGCAGGAAATTTCTTACGTAGTAAATTGTACCTGCAATACAGAGACACAAGACTAATCAGACCAACCAGAAATGACTAGTGAGCAATAGACATACTCATAAAACAAGTCAACACTACATGAAAGAGACTGATTACTCACGGTTGCTTACGAAACTTGGCTTTTGCTCCCGGCAACGACGAGAATCCAGGCCAGATCGCCTCGCTTGGTGTCCCAATTCTGAAAGAACTGGAGCTCCTGTAAAAGATGCAGCAGGAAATTTCTTACGTAGTAAATTGTACCTGCAATACAGAGACACAAGACTAATCAGACCAACCAGAAATGACTAGTGAGCAATAGACATACTCATAAAACAAGTCAACACTACATGAAAGAGACTGATTACTCACGGTTGCTTACGAAACTTGGCTTTTGCTCCCGGCAACGACGAGAATCCAGGCCAGATCGCCTCGCTTGGTGTCCCAAGAACCGCAAAGATCTGAGCAGACATTTCAACGCTTTGCTTAGTAACGTGATAAACAAACATCAGATAACACAGGGTATAGAGAAACTAGAACAACCACAGTTTACCTGTTGAAGCTGGTCAATATCATTCTGACTTTTCCCTCGGAAAAGAGGTTTCAGAGACAACAATTCAGCCATAATGCACCCAATCGACCACATATCAACTGTTGTTGAATACTCCTTCGTTCCTAGAAGAAGCTCTGGAGACCTGTACCACTGTGTAACAACCAACTGAGTGTAGGGCTTGATAGGACTCCCATATTGGCGAGCCATTCCAAAATCACATATTTTCAGCTCCCCACTGTTGTTCATTAGAAGATTCGACGGCTTTAGATCCCTGTGAATGATCCAGTTGCTATGGAGGTATTGCATACCCTCCAACAGCTGAATCATCAAGCATTTTACCTCGCTGGTGCTAAAAGGCTGCTTCATCCTGTCCATGACACCCCTCAAGTCATGCTCCAAGTGCTCCATGACCATGAAAACACTATCACCGTTTCCCACCACAACTTCCTTGACGTTCACAATCGACGGGTGGTTGCACGACAAAAGAATGTTGATTTCCCTCAAAGACGTCAACGGGAATCCATACTGATCTTCCATGTTCATCTTGATCATTTTCAGTGCCACAATCTCCTCCGTCTTCCTGTCCTTGGCTTTGAAAACAACACCGTAAGTGCCTTCGTTTATCTTACTTAGCTTCTGATACTCATTTACATCTCTACTACCAGATAGCATGCTCAAGCCTCCCTCTGGTTCATCATTTTCTGACTCGTTAACATCAGAAGTACAACACTCTGCTTCACCAGCATCCATATCAACACGACCCTCTGACTCATGCTCTGAATGTTCATGAGCACTAACAGGTTCTAAGCTGCGAGCTCCGCTACCGGAACCAGACGAGTTAGACCTCCGTTCTTCAGAAGCCTCCACTTGGAATTCCCCGCTCTCAGGACTATTCCATCTGCTATTACTGAAAGATGTTAACTTTTCCTCCTCCTTTGGAGATTCCAAACACGTAGCCCATTTAGACGTAGCGATATTTGGTGCCAGAACCACCTGCTCATCCTCCAACTGGCCCTCCTCGAGATCATCAAATGGATGCTGGCGAGTCAACGGCACTGTAGAAACACGCTCTGGGGAGAGAACACCGACGTGATCCTCAGAAGATATCTTCTTTGTAGCAGCCACATCAACAATCTGCTTGGATATTATGTTGTTCTCACAAAGCGTAGCTCGAACCACTTTATCTTCTCTCTCCCAAGCGAGAGGAGAACACTTCCTCCTCTTCTCAGAGGGTCTCTGAGCACCATCTTCCTCACGGGCTTCTCCTCTTTGAGAAGCCACGCGTGAATCGCGCCTCCCATCATTCCACCTGCGGTCAAATTCGTTGGGTCGTTTGGTCTGACGCCTCTCACCGTCTCTACCACCGTGGCGTGGGTAAAACTCACGAGCACGATCAACGGCGACAGAACTTCTGGAAATTTCAACTCCTCCTGCCGCCATCGTATTAATAACCAGAATTCTTCTCAATAAGCAATCGGAAATTGAAATTATCGAATAGCAAAAGAAAACAATCGGATCAATCAAACAAAGAGAGAATCTCGATGAAAACAAAATCAGATCTGGAAAACCCTAAATTGAGTTCGAGGAAGGATAATTCTCTTTCTCTCTCTCCTTTCCGCCGATTCTCACAGATGCCGGAAGGTCTTACCGGACGGCGAATTGCAAAAAGGAATCCAGAAGATATCGATCAAACGAGCCAAAGAGATCGATCGAAGAGCAAATCGGGAGTCTTCTGAAATCCTTTGAAGGAGAAAGGAAAGACGCGTTTATTTCCGGCCTCACGTCGATTGTGTCTTTATCTTTATAAACACACGGAGAAGTCAACTAGATCGGCCGTCCAATAATTTCCTTTTTCAATGATTATTATTTTTAGTTATAATATTCCACATTTGGTTAACCAAATGTGTAGCTATGCTTTTAGTACAGACTCAACTTGATGTAATTTTTTTTTTTTTTGGTCACGACAACTTGATGTAAATTAGATAAACGTTTTTGGTATAGAATGTATGTATATGACTTTTACTTCTTTTAATTAAAAACAAAAATGATAATGAATCTAATTTTCTTCGTAGCTAGATTTTGGTCTCATTATGTTGCAATAGATCGTGATAGGCACTCGATATGGAGTTCTTTTATCCATGGACTAGCTAGCAACATTCAGCAGCATGAATGTGATCGTATTTTGCACCTAGCATCTCCAGCCCTGTTTCTTAGGTGGGTTTTAAGGTGGGTTTTAACAATTAAAGGCAATTAAGAAAAGAAAAAAGAAAATAAATCTGTGGAACCGAGTTGTTAGCTAGAATTTTTCTTCTTGCTTAAAACCCGACACGTGTCGGCACCACATTAATTCGATTTTTGAGAACAAAAACAAATTTTGCTCGCCAATCTCCTCAATCTTCTCCAAACAAATTTTGCACCACACTTCCTTTCAAGGAACAATTTCCTGTTGAATTCGGATTTAGCGGAGACCGAGAGCTCGCCCGGTGTATCGTTGTCGCTGAAAATTTCTCAGAAATCACTCGTTAAGTTGATTTCCGATTGCCCTCATGTTCTTCGATCGGAGTTCCTGAGGAAATGGATAGTTCCTATCTCGGATTGCGTAAAATTCGGCCTCTCTTCCTCCGCGATTACGAGCATTCTCGAATATTCCAGTAGAATCGGAATCGGTCCTGAGAAGTTTTGAAGGGTTTAAGGTTTTGTGATAGCACTGTTAGTAAGATTTTAGGTTCGTTTCCTGGCGTTATTGTTGTGAATGAGATTGCAATCCGTAGAAAGATTGAGTTTTTGGTTGGAATCGGCATTTCTCGAGATAACATTGAGAGGTTCTTTCACATTTTCCCTGAGATTCTAGGGATTGGTACTGAGACTAGACTTAAGCCATTGCTTGATGAATTCAAGAAGATGGGATTTGGCAATGACGAGATGAAGAAAGAGATTGCAATAGAGCCGAGAGTTCTTTGCTGATCAAGACGTTGAAATGCAGAGAAGTGATCAGAGTTAGTATCCTCAGCGAAGGAGCGTTCCGTGCTGGATTCAAAGTGAAGCTCAAGATCGATAGTTTATGCAGATACGGGATAATCTTTGCGCTGCTTGAAACTAAGACTTGCCTCTTACTAAGATTGAAAGAGATTGGCGAGTCTACTTTACTACGAGCTGCTCTGAATCGATGTGACTAATGATATGGATTAATAGGAAACTTCAGGGAGCAATTAGACCCGGTTTCATTTTCCTTGAGTTCATGGCTTAATTTTTCAGGGAACGAGTGACAAAAACTAATGTATAAGCATGTCCACTTCTTGATCTGCATCTTGGAGGCAGAAGAGAACTCTCTACCAACGCCATTGGCTTTCGTTTCCATGTTTCTCCTTGAATGATTTGTTGAGGAAATTTTGTAAAATTTAAATTTTTTTTGTTAAGAACCAAATAAAAAGTTTTAGGGATGGAGGAAGAAGAAAATAAAAACCACCTAGAAGTTGCTAGTATTGATTTGTGTGAAAATTAGTAATAAAAAATAGTTTAGAACCAAAAACATGGTTTTAGGGATGGAGATGGTCTTTATATTATTTCTTGTTCCACACAATTCATGATTTGTTCTAAAACTGTTGCTCCGTTTGGACGAAACTAGAGGAAATACAATAAACCGGTAAATAAGTTTCAACCAATGAAGCCTGATGTTGTATATAGGTAACAGGCAAACCTTTTAAACATCTCTTCGAACAGTGAAGAAAAACAAATCACCTGGGGGATATTTGTTAGATCAAAACGTTTGTGTTTTAGACTTTTAGTGGTACATGGTTTCTTTTCTAGCCATTTCCTGCTTAGAACTATGTTCTTACGTCAACTCTGTAATAGTTTAGGTAAATTAGTCACACGTTGATTGTTGCACACAAAAAAAAAGTCATTGTAGTCTTGTAGACAAAAGCATCCGTAAGTGCTAAGCTCAGATGATGTAGAGACTGAAGTTGAACCCTGAACATTTTGTTTTACCGAGCTGTGCACCCTTTCTTATTAAAGTTTTTTGAATATACATTGCAACAGCCAATAAGTTGAAAATGATATTTGCTATTGATTATAAACCATACATACGTGTCTCGAATTTTCTTGCAGTCTATGATGGAATCGAAGGGGATCGGAACTATATTTGAGTACAACTGTAGAAGTAATGTTGTTTAAAACCAAAAAAGAAGAAGTAATGTTGTTATTCTTAAATTTCTCTGTTTTTTTTCATCCGAATAAAATGGGAAAGATGAAACAGAGTGTCATAAAGACGGGCCAACACCAAAACAAAGAGATAATAAAACCAGAGACATATTATATTTTTTTTTTTCTAAAAGGAAATTTCGTTAGTTTTTTTTTTGGAGATTTGTCGAGCAGAAAGTTCATCCATCACAATCACACAAAAAAGAGGAAAATATGAGAAATTGTTAATTTAAAAGTCAACATGGACTAGGGTTTAGCAAGCGTGTAAACATACATTATTATGAATATCAATAAAATACTAAAGGGAAACTAAAGTACGAACGAGAGAGAGATCAACCCTAATAGATGGCATCATTGAGAAAAAGAAAGAGGTCAAAGAGAGCTTTGTACTGGATAGAAAGAAGAAGAAAAGGCAAAGTTGCTGCAACAAGAAAACCAAATATCATCATAGAGGATTTACCTGAGTGCTTGCTATTGCAAGAGATCTTTTCCAAGCTACGTAACCCTAGAGATTTCGTGGCTTGCAAAAACGTGAGCAAGCGATGGAAGTCTCTGATATCTTCTTCTTCTTCTTCTTTCCATCACAATCCAAGCCTGGCTTTGATTCTCAACACGCAACCTCAATATGCTACAAACGACATATGCATGGAGGGTTGGAAAGGATTCGAGCTAAGCAAGTATGTCGATCCCGAGTTTGATCCTCCGGTTTGTGTCCTAGCCTCTTGCAAAGATGTCTTGTTGTGCATGAAATCTTCATCTAAAGAATTCTATATTGTGAATCCTTTGACTATGCAATGGACACGTCTTCCTGAACCAGGCTTTGCGACTTCGGGGGTGCCTATTGGATTAATAGGGAATGGGACGAAAGGCATATACCATGTTGTCAGGTTGATGAGATGTACACGTTCCTGGTTTAGAGTGTTCTTGTTTGATTCTATGATCGGTACATGGATAGGCAGTAAAGTTGATCATCCTCCTTGGTCACAATCCAGTTGGTGTCCAACTCAATACCAAGCCTTAGTCTTTAAAGGAGCTTTACATTGGTTAGCAGAGGACGGGCCTGTCGTGGCTTACAACCCTAATGATCGAAAGACATGCCTACTCATCCATCGTTCCCACGAGATGTGTCATGCTTCTTACGGTGGCGACGCAATTGTTTCAGAGATCTTAACAATCTCCATGGGCCACCTACGCGTCCTTCAGCTCGTTGCATCTGTTGATCATCACCATCTCTTGATTTGGACACTCGTGGACTACAAACAATCCATATGGAAACAAGAGCATGATCCTATCTCTTTCACTGGCCTTCCATGGCTGCAAGACTGGACATTCTCTGCCCAACACAACATGTCAGGTTTCATGGCTCAACCAGAGACCAGAAAGCGGATTCTTTCTCCACAAACTTTATGTTGTCATCCATACAACCCTCTGCTCGTCTACTTTTGTTTGCCCGAACGCATTGTCTCTCTTGACGTTGCAACAAAGAAAATGCATCTAATTACAAGACTCAGCAAAAGTAACACAGACGGCGTTTACTGGAATCAATATGATAAGGTTATACCAATGACAATGCACTTAGATCCCTCTCTAGTTCCACACCATGGCAACGTACTGCGGCCACGTCGTCGTAAACATGCACAGATTCTTTAGAGTTTAGATTTTTGCTGACGCTAGGATCCTGGATTTGGAGGCGATTTTTAAAGCTCCGAGAGAGGGCAGTAAACTTTACTCCGAGGTAGACATTCAAAATAGACTTGACTCATCATTTTGGTATGATCATGTCTTGTCTCTAATTTACTTGAAAGTTGAAACCACTATATTGGGCTCGGTTTAGTCTAGGGGTTTTTAATTAAAAATTGTTGGGCTCGGTTAAGTCTACGGAGGATTTTATTCTGTTTAATTCAACAAAAGTTTAAGTGATGTTTTAAAAAATAAAATATCCGACCTGCCGGAATCAAACCAGCGACCTAAAGATTTGCTGTCACAGACTACAGTCTTCCGCTCTACCAACTGAGCTAAGGTCGGATGGTGTTTAGAAAGACTTTTTCTTCTTTTTAATTGAAAACGTAAATCTTTCGTAAAAGCAACAGCATGTCCGTACACTCCCAGTGGACGCCAATATCAGCCTCTGCGAGGGATTAGGGATAACGCATTTTCTTCCTACATCCTCTCGGACGAGCTAATTACAGAAGTCAGAAGAGCAAATGTGAATGAAAGGGTTTCTTCTAGATACCTAAGGACATGTATACGGGAAAGTAATCCCCCTTCCGGCTTAGCATTCATCTATACTAAATTACTAACACATAACTGTCATGTGCATTTACGTAGAGCAGAATGTAAAAATCTTGTAACAAAAACATCAGACGATTAAGATTTAAGAGCAAGTAGGTCGAATCAGAGCCGTCCCTGACTTTAGGTGGGCCACAAGCTTGGAAAATAAAATGGGCCGATTTATTATATTAAAAATCATTAAAAGACAAAAAATTCACATTTTGCGGCTACGTAGAGTCAAACTAGCGAGGGATTGGATGTCAAACACTCACATAAACCACTAGACTAAAGGCAACTTTTGGAAAATCAGGGCCGAAATATAACTACAGTAAAACCTCTATAAAACAATAATGTTGGGACTTTGAAAATTTATTATCTTATCGAGTTATTGTTTTATCGATAAAATAATAATTATAAAAATATTCTATAAAAAACAAGAAACTTTATAGAAATATATGTAAGTAGGTACACGTAAGGAATCAATTGTGGCTTCGAAAACTCTTCACAACTTTTGGCCCCAGAAATTGTTGATGCAATAAGAAAAATTCGAGATGAGCTCCAACGAGAATCCAACTTTCATAAAAGACAAACTACATTGGAGTCATATTTTACTAAATTGCCTTAGATATATATGCCTTAGTTTTATAATTATTATCTTAGCCTATTGTTGGGACTATATTTTTACATAGGAGTTTCAAAAATATTATTGTCTTATCATCTTATCGCATTATGCTATTTTTTACATTGGCCCGAGTTGGGACCGGAGAAATTTATTATCTTATAGTGTTTATTGTTTTATCGAGTATTGTTTTATAGAGGTTCTACTGATTGAAACAGGGCCGCAAGCTTCAGCTTGCTTTGTTTGCGCTTAGGGACGGCTCTGGGTCGAATGAAAACCCTTACTTCTCTCCTTTCCCTTCAAACTTGTGCTACTTTATTAGTTCGTTCAAACCGTTGTCAATTAAAATAAATAAAAATTAGTTAATCAAAGCCGTTATTTTAAATAAATAAAATCCGACCTGCCGGAATCGAACCAGCGACCTTTAGATTTGCTGTCACAGACTACAGTCTTCCGCTCTACCAACTGAGCTAAGGTCGGATAGATTAGACCTAGGCACCTCTCCTTCGATCCGCCGCGATGTTTATATATAATCCCTCGACGCTGGCTCGTTCATACACTTCCGCGTTCCGAAGAAAAACAAAAAAGGTCTACCGTTTCCTGGCTCGGAAGAAATCAAGCAAGAAATCGAAGAAGAAACACTCTGATCAGTAGTTGATGTAAACAATGCTGCTCTGGAGGAGGCTCTTTCCATCGATGCCTTCCTACATATCAAAGTGTTTCTTCTTCGGTTTCTTGCTTGATTTCTTCCCAATATTATCCAGATTTTCCCTAGTTTTGCTCTTTTCATGCAAAGAATCTAATACATTCATGTCATTTCAGAGGATGAATCTAAATCTTGATGTCGTCTCCAATAGAACATCACCAGATAGTTCATCTGATGGTGATATGTGTGCTGCTTGAGGCTAGATGGCCAAAGGCGTTTGATTTTACAGCCGTTTTCAAGGACATGGTTACATTGCTAGATCATGTGCAGCAACTTGACAGAAACAAAAAAAAGGTCTTTTTATTGATTTGTATCCAGGGGAAAATGGTAAGTCCTCATTGCCGCATTACGTGCCTTTTCCAATTCATAGGAAAGATTATCATTTAAAATAAAATATAGAGATGGATAAGAAAACACTTCTCAAATTAGGCTAAACTGAAATCAGCCATTATTATAATGAAAACATAAATTTGCAGAAAAATAAATCTACATCTTTGCACAATCCGCTGGTTTGAATGACAGCATTTTAGAAACGGTGTCGTATCCAACAAGAAAGTCCATCTGTGACAAATTGCCGTAAATGGCGTCCCCCTCCGTCTCAAGGAAGGCAAAACAAACCAAATCCTTTGAAACTTGTACAAAGGAATTGAAAATGTTCAGCTTCACATCTGCACCATCAAAATGAATAGTAATGTTTGGATCTTTTACATCCGCATTTGCGTTGTAACACAAACTCAAACCGCTCTCTGGATCTTTTTTCCTCTCAGCCTTGATTGAAGACGCAACCGCAGCTTCGAGCTTGGAGTAAAACGCGGTGGGTAACATTGTAAAAGTTGTGCCCGAGTCGATGATGATATTTCCCTTGCCGCTTCCAGAAACTGAGCTTGGGTACTTGAGTTTCGTGCTTCCCACGCTAACGGATTCTAGGGTTAGGTGATAAGTTACCCCTCTTGCTCTCGTGATCAAAGGAGTTGAGACAGCTCCCGTTCCGACACAACAGCATTGGTTCCGAAGTTGATCTTGCTCGTTGGATTGTCTTTTGAATCTAGAGGGACCAAACAATATGAGAATTTACCGTTGATCGACTCGCCGAGTTGCGAAATGAGCGAAACTGGACTAGCTCCAAGCCCGACGATTCCATCTTCCTTCTTTTTAAAACTCCCAGCGTTGTTGTGACCACATCCGATGATCATGTTTTTGATCTGCACGGGGCGGTTATTAGTCGAACCGAGAGTTAAGGTGTCGACAGCGAAGTTACCCTTGGTGTATGAGAAATCACCGTAACGTATATCGTAACTGCAAGTGTTGTCTTTTGTGAAACAAGAGGCGGCTCCAGCTTTACTAAAAGAATTACATTGGCTTGAGGAGCAAGAAACATCTTTGTATGTAGAAGACGCTTTAGGGTCAAAGATAGGATCATCTTGAGGGTAACAGCTGTCACATGGTTTGCACTGTACCCAGAGGAGTTCGCTTCCCGTGTCGGCGACCGCCATGATTGGGCGCGGAGGAGTTCCTAGAGATATATTCATGAGATATTCACCGTCATACGAGGTGAGCTCGGTTTGGGGTGAGCTAACTGATGCATCTTGGCCTGAGAAATGGAGACCACGGTTTATGGATCGGTGGATTGCGTTTCTTAGACGCTGGGACGAGGTTTCGGACGGGTTGTAGATCGGAGAACTAGGCGAATCGCGGTGGATCAGATCTGTGGAGAACCCGAGTTTTGCTTTGGTGTTTGCGTTTGAGAGAAAGGGTGAAGAAAGTAAACACAGAAATAAGAAAGCTGAAGAGGATAGAGAGGTCATTTGTCTTTGTATTACAGTGAATAGTGAGTTTTTTTACTCTGACAATCTCATGTGTTTTTATAAGGTCAATGGGATAGTGGTGAATAAAATGGTTATACATGTTGAGATGTTCATGTTTTGAGTAAGTTCATTTACAGATAGATTTCATTCCTGTTTAGAGAATCTCAAGATATATATTAAACTATTAAAAGGGAAAAATTTCTTTCTTTTTGTTTTTGATAAAGTAGAAGGGGAAATTTTGTCATCTATGACTATGCATCCATTTCATTCTTTTTTCTTCTGTTTTTTTTGACAGCTCATTTTATTTTCTATAGCAAGAGTTTATCGTTCATTTCATATAGATATGTTTCTTGTGGCTTCTATCTTCGTGTTATGTTTTCTTTAAATGCTAAACATATAATGTGTTATCTTTCAAAATATTCAAAAAATACACATGGCGATTTTCATGAACCAGTATCTATATAATGAGATGTTATCACCATTTAACTAGCTATATCCCGTTGGTTATATCTGATGTATTACACTCTGACTATTTTTCTTCCTATTAATATAAAGTTCAGATGAAAAAAAAAAAAAACTAGCTAAAATACAGATTTTGATTTAGCCGGAGTATTACCGTATTAGTAATAGATAAATCATTCAGTTTGATTTTACCTATTACATTAAGAGATTCTAATTAAAATATGGTTGACACTTTGATCAACATTGACTTCTCCTTTTGATCTTCACCTTGAGCCCACCAGCCATATGAGCCGTTAAAAGAGGAACAAAAACCGGACGGTCCTTGTTAACCGGTACAATCTCAAACCGATTCAAAACAGAACCAACGACGTATTTCATCTGCATAAACGCCATCTCCTTCCCTACGCAAACCCTCGGTCCCGCCTGAAATACCGGAAACTTGTAAGGACTAACGGGTTTCAGAACCGGCGGTGCACTCCCCGGTTCAGATTCAAACCACCGGTTCGGTTTAAACTCCTCCCATTCCTTTCCCCATAGCGTCTCCATCCTCCCCATACCGTATGGGAAATAAGTCACCTTATCTCCTCTCTTGACACGTGTCCCATCCGGCAAAACGTCGTCGTTTGCGGCATGCTTAGAGTCCCACGACACCGGAGGATAAAGCCTCATGGCTTCACATAGACAAGCCTTCGTGTAACTCATCTCCTTCAGTTCCTCAAACCCTAACCCTAAACTTATCAAAGGGTCTACTTCTTCTAAAATCTTCCTCCCCACGTCATCGTTTTCAGTCAACAACCAAAACAGCCACGTCATCGCTGCTGACGTCGTATCTCTTCCCGCCATGATAAAACTAATAACCATGTCCCTCACTGCTTCACCGTCGTGGCCGGCGGCTAAAAACCTCGACAGAAGATCTTGCTTGGCTTCTTCTCCGGTCCCGATCTCAAGACTCTTCTTCTTAGCCCTCACAATATCAGATACCAACACGTGTACGGTCTTGATCGCTTCCTTCAACCTCCTCTCGCTTCCCACGTTTAACACACGCTTCACTTTCCAAACAGCGTAAACCGGCTCCGTGGCACGGCGTGCACTAATCTCAGCCGCGGTGTCAAACGCCTCCACAAGAGGATTTACGGGTCGGGTTAAATCCAAACAATCCGGATCCCAACCCAACGAGACTTTACAAACAACATCGAAAGCAAAACGTTTCAAAAGATCTTGCAAATCCACGGTCTTCCCATCATCAGCCGCCGCGGAAAGAACCTGTAAGAGACGGTTTTCGACTTCGTCTTTAAGAACCTCGAAAGCGAAACTCCTAAGCGAGCGAGTCGAGAACTCGTGGCTAGCGAGTTTACGCTGCGAGCTCCATGAGTGACCGTCGACATTGAAAATGCCTTTTCCGAGGAGATCACCGAGGAGATCGGTAAAAGGTTTACCTTTAGGGAAGTTGAAGAAGTTTGTTTTGAGAATGTACTCGACGTTTTCTTGGTTTGCTGTGACGATGGTGCGACGGTTTCCGAGGAGAGGAATTGAGATGGTTTGAGACGGAGAGAGACGGAGGAGTTCGGTGTACCATTGGAGAAGACGGTGACGGTTTTTGTTGAAGGAGAGTATGGAGCCAATGAGTGGATACGATGGTGGTTCGTTGGTGGTGGTTTGTAGAGTTTTCTTTGTCGAAGATGCTGAGAAAATTAAGATGATGAATACAAGAAATGCTAGAATCAAGAAGCTGAAAAGAAATGCCATTTTTTCTTGATTTTTGTTGTTGTTGTTGTTGTGGATTTGTGAGAATTTATGAATGTGATTTCAGTTTATGTGTGTGTGTCTTGGTGTGTATTGCGCGTATTTTATAAGGGGAAAGGTGGCGGGTCCGACCAATCGTCCAAGACGAATCGTTTTAAATATTTTGTTTAAATGTCGTCATGACACGATAATATGTGTATGGTAAATAATGTTAGTATCTTCTTTTTCTCTTTCTTTTGTCGTGATTGTTTTTTAAATGTTTGTTTTGGCCTTTTGGGAATGTTTTCAACGAAAAGATGAGTATATTTAATCCGGTTACTTCTTAGTATAAAATATTGTATTGAGCTCTTGATTAAGTTAGATATATATGTTTTGACTCTTGGAATCTCCATGAGGAAATGGAACCATTGTAGTTTGATTTTGTAAGTATGAATTATACAGTATACACCCTTATACTATAAATTAACAGTTTACCCTTCCCTTTATAAAACGATCTTTTCTAAAATAAAATATTTTATGTATGATGATGCCAAATGGCCTTTTATTTTTTATTTTTTGGAATAGAATGTAAAATTAATTCAAATGGCCTTTTATTAGTAAAGTCGTCCGTCTGAGCCGCATCTGTGTTCCAAAATTGACGTGTTGTAAACGCATTGGAGAAGTGTAAGTCAAAAGCTCATCACGTGGCATATTCGCCGACAAGAGTCACAAAACCACAATAGAAACTATGACGCCGAAAAGAGTAATATAAAGTTATCAACAATACAAATATTGCATGTAAAAATATATATATTTTAAATGGCTAACCAAAACCCAAATGATATACGGCATCTCCAATTTGGGTTTTGGTTAAAATAATGGTACGGAAATCAAAAAATTATGTAATATTTATATCAGATCCAAATTTGTATTTAATAGTTGTTTCTAGGATGTAAAAGAGTAATTGAAATTTGATTCTATTGGTAACTTGAAAATGCAATCATGCAAAACATAGATCCAAAACAAAAATACAGCTACGGTTTACACCACGTGATACATGATTAAAATGCACTTTAAATAACTTGGCGATTGTACTTTTGATAAAAACGGTCGGGTGTTAAGTAAACTTCGAGCCGGAATGTAGGAAGTAGACATTAAAAAGGAAAGCACAAGTATGAAGTATATTGGCATGACCAAATACTGTTCCCACGGGGGAATTTCCTTTTTGCATGTGCTTCTTTAGGCTTAAATTATGTACTTGTGATTAGGAAAATGATAACAATAAGGTTGGTTTTAGAAGAACATATTAATATTATAGTACACTTCCTACATTATGTGAATGTTAACTAAAATTAAAATAGAACGAGCTATATATATTCTTATTTTATAACCAAAACGCCCACAAATTTTCGCCTATATAATATAAGATCTTGATAAAAGATGCATATCTCCATGAAGTGATTCCAGCCACCGAAATAACGGCGCCGTTCTATGAATTGTATGATTCCAAATTTCCAATATTATTTGATTTGATAGAGATAGGAAAAAGGAAAAGAGAGATTTAATTTCAATTTCTTTTAACTCTTACCGACCAAAGAACTCGTGATTATACACAAACACGAGATTTTAAGTTGTATCCAGTATTTTTCTGATGTTGTTGTCATGTATACAAGAGTTTCTTTTCTATTTTTCCGCCAAAACAGTTTCGCTACACAAGTGAAATTCAAGGACCAAGATAAGGCAACTTTCGGCCAAGCTTCATTTTAAGTTTTTAAGTAGACGACGTGGGAATGAATGCGCTGACCTTGATTGTAGTACTCTTCATAGTTAACTTAAAACCATTGTTGGTAGGAAAGGGAGAAAATATTATCTGGATATTAATACTTTTATTTACACGCAGTTTGTTTGAGTGAAAAAAAAAAAAAAAAAAAAAAAAAAAAAAAACCATAAAAGACTCTTTATAATCATAAAACAATAACTATGCAGACATGAATTTATCCAATCTACAAGATCGTTGTCCAAGATGGTCCGACTAATGATCTAAAATAATACAAAATTTTAACGGTTAAAGAGAACGATAAGCAATTACCAAATACAGTAGTAGTTAACAGCTGTAAAAAGTAGCGGTACATTTTTTACGAAAATCTAAACAGTAACGTTTTCGATAGTGTTTTCTGATTATTTTTATTTTCTTTTGTAATTGTGAAACCATTGTTTTCTGATTGATTCATCGGTTCTTCCAATAGATTCAAATTGAGAGATCATTAGCTATAAGCCTATAAGTACAAAGCCTACAATCGCTAGTGGAACTCGCATCGCTAATTCGTGATGGCCTATCTTACTCCACTCAATCGATAAGGTACATTATTTCCCCTTAGTAAACATATGAACGTTTTAGAGCGACGCCTAAAATCACATCATTTTAAATACTAGAAGTGTTTAACTATATATTTAAAATTTTAAGAAAATAGAGAAACTAAAAAGAAAGGTAGCATGAAATATATACATAATTTACAAATATACCAAATGGTGGAATTTAAAGATCTCAGGCCTCAAAATTTGCATAATAATGTTGAGGAGGCTTAAGACAATTGCATTTCTTTTTGTTGATTAGGTATTTTTTCCTTTGATGAAACTATTCTTTTTCCTTCCTTCCTCCCAGGGAGTCTGTATGTTGAAAATATTCATTTTTTTAATAGTTATAAAAAAAAATATTCATTTTTTAATTAATAAAAACATAAGATACATCATAGTTAACTTGATTTTCGATAATTAAAATACCAAAAGAATGATTAAAGAAATAAATTAGGATGGTCGGCTGCCATTTGATGTAATCCACTAATCCAAACTAAATAAATAAATAATTTGGCGCGGACACTTACAAGGATAGACCGACTCATAGAGGATAAGTATGACTTCGACAAAATGGAAAAATATCATTATTATAATCATCGCCTATCGCTTTCACGACCAACCAACGGTCCCGAACTTCTTCCACGTGTCACGATCATTCAATTTAACGGCTCAGATCTTGAGTCTACTAAAAAGGAGTACAAATACATACAAACACAGTCTACCATTTTACGGAGGAAAAAAACAAAACAAGACTTGACTAAAAACTGAAAACAATCACAGTTCCACCCAATACATTCCATTTTGTTTCCAAATAAACCCTTATCTTTCTGATTATACTCAATATCCGGGGACATTTTTGATCGATTAAAAACATATAGGGTCCTATTTGTAAGTAACTAGACTCTAGGGTGCTTCTGAATTTTTCTCCGCTTCGAGATCTCTACTGATCGTAATGGATATTTCAATTTCTACTTCAGTTGAAAGATCTTAAGCCAATTGTAGATAACATCAGACAGATAAAAGAGACGAACTTTTTTCATTTCGTGTTACCGGAGAAAACGAAAGTCGGTACCTTTTTTCACTCTGAGACTACCGGAAAAGATGGCGAAAGTGCCGGAGATAAAGATAATGAGAAGCGAGAGCTTGGGGCATCGAAGTGACGTCTCGAGCCCAGAATCTAAGCTTGGGATGCGTGTGGAAGATCTCTGGGACGAGCAGAAGCCGCAGCTCAGCCCAAACGAGAAGCTCAACGCCTGCTTCGAGAGCATCCCCGTCTCTGCTTTCCCTCTCTCCTCTGATTCACAAGGTAACAAAACTCTATGCTGATTTGATCTTCTGGGTATTTGTTCTTGAGCTGATCGTTAGTTAGAATTCGTGATTTTTCATGGGTTTCATATATGATCATGATAGATTGATCTATGAAAAGTATGGAGATTGATCGTGGATTTTGAGATGCGATCGTACCTTTATTGATGGGTCCAAAGGATAAGTCTTTTGCTGATTATTTGTAGTCTAGATTGAAATTTAAGTCATAGAAGTCAGAATTTGGAATCGGATACTTGAGTGAGTTCGATTTAAGGAATCAGAACTAGTTGTTGATGGTTTTAGCTTCTTAGTTCTCTCTGTGTGGTATATTCTTGAGTTTTTGTATATAAACTTTGATCCTAATTTCTCTTCTTGGTTGCCTTATCTAGACATCGAGATAAACTCAGACACGAGTCTGGCTGAAGCTGTTCAGACGCTGTCAAAACTCAAAGTCTTGAGCGCGCCTGTTGTAGATGTTGACGCTCCTGAAGACGCCAGCTGGATTGACCGGTACATCGGTATTGTGGAGTTTCCTGGCATTGTTGTATGGCTTTTGCATCAGGTTTGTTGTTCCTTCTATCTTCTCTTTCAAACATTTTGGTTTTTATCAATCATACTAAAGCTCTTGTCTTTGCTCTACTTGCCTACTTAAAAAAAAAAACAGTTGGAGCCACCATCTCCAAGGAGCCGTACTGTAGCAGTTTCAAATGGAATTGCTCATGATTTCACCTCCGATGTTCTGGATAACGGAAATTCAGCAGTAACTTCTGGAAACTTCTTTGAGGTCCTTACTTCTTCAGAGCTATAGAAGAACACCAAGGTGAAGCTTCCATCTTTACACGTTCCATTGATTCTTGTCCTGATTACGGCTTCTGGAAATGCATTGAATATCCTTCTCTCTTACAGGTTCGAGATCTCTGGAACATTCCGATGGGCACCGTTCCTGGCTCTGCAGAAAGAGAACTCCTTTTTAACCATGCTCTTGCTTCTTTCAAAGTACAAAATGAAGAGCATCCCTGTGGTTGATTTAGGTGAAGCAAAGATCGAGAGCATCATCACTCAATCAGGAGTTATCCATATGTTTGCAGAATGCGCGGGGCTCCACTGGTTTGAAGATTGGGGAATCAAAACTCTCTCTGAAGTCCGTCTTCCCATTATGTCAAAAGATCATATCATAAAGGTCAGCTTTGTAACTTTGTATTCCTAATCTTACTCATAGCTCCATAAGAGTGCATTCTTTGTTCTTCTTAACATACTCACCATTTCTGTTACAGATCTATGAAGATGAACCTGTTCTTCAGGTGTTCAAGCTGATGAGGAGAAAGAGAATCGGAGGCATACACGTCGTTGAAAGGAAAAGTGAGAAGCCAGTAGGCAACATAAGCCTTTAGAGATGTTCACTTTCTCATCACTGCACCATAGATCTACCATGACTACAGGTTAATACTTGTTTATAATATATATAACTTACAGTTTCACAGCATTGGTGAATCTTCAATGCGTTATCTTGATCTTTTTTGTAGGTCAATCACAACGAAGAACTTCTTAGTAGCGGTTAGAGAGCACCTGGAGAAGTGTGGGGATACGTCGGCTCCTATACTGAGTGGTGTCATCGCTTGCACTAAGAACCATACGCTAAAGGAGCTTATATTGATGCTAGACGCCGAGAAGATCCATAGGATATACGTGGTGGATGACTCAGGCAACCTCGAAGGACTCATCACTCTCAGAGACATCATCGCAAGACTTGTCCATGAGCCATCTAACTATTTTGGGGATTTCTTTGACGGTGTTTTGCCTCTTCCCGAAAACTACCGAGTCTAAGAGTGTCTTTCTTGTGTACATTTGTCTTTTGGTTTCGTTCACTCTGTTTGTGCCAATGTTGTTGAAATTGTGTGATAAACAAAAATAACAAAAGAGGAAAGAGCCAGTCTTTGAGTGTGAAATATGTCTGCAATAAAGTAATCTTAAGATTCTCAGATTTGTCCCTACATATTGAACTGCAACAATTAGGTCCCTGGTCAGAGCAAGTGTTCTTCGAACTTGATCAAGATCTGATCCATCTCCGGTTGATGTTTCCTAACCTGAAAGTTAGTTTCAGACAGATTTAGATACTAGACTGAGATTTCACCATTATAATCGTTGTCCGGAGAAGTCACAAGCTTGTATTAATCTAAGAGGCTTTAAATTACTTTGATGTTGGCCATGGATAAGAGCTTGTGAGAAGCTACGTAGGCAACATTTGAGTCCTTTAGTCTCTTCTCCACAAAGTAGATGACCTCAGAGACACCAGACTGCAAGAAAGAAAACCAGAATGAAGCAAGTCCATGTGATAGGGATGATCTACATTCAAATCAGTCCGAATAGTTTGAAGAAGAAACCTGTATGATAATCTTGGCACATTCGTTGCAAGGGAACATGGTCACATAAAGCTTCTGCAAAACACAAACAAACTCAAATAAACCGTCCACACCTGAATATTTAGAACACAAATCACATAATTTCAGACTTTCTGTTACAAACTCTTTGAAGCGGAAAGTCTCAGATTTTCTATAGCAAATAACATTTTCAACTTATTAGCTGTTTGAATAAAGTTTTTATCTTTTGGCTCAAGCGAGAAACACATTTTGAGATGACAATGTTGAAAGAAGCGTACCTGTCCAGCTGCAGATGCGTGGTTAGTGTTTAGTATGGCATTGACTTCAGCGTGACAGACATATCTACAAAAAAATGCAGAATCAGAAACATCAGAGCTTAGGAATAAAGTGTGCACAATACTCAGCAAAACAAGAAGTTCAAAATTCAAGTGTAATCTACATCATTTGAGATTAGTACTTACGGATACTTTGTCTCCAATGGGTCTCCAGATCTCGATTTCTGAAAATTGCTCGGAGAAAGTTAAGAAAATTTATAGGAGAGAAAGTTACTTTACTCTTCTCTAGACATTCATTACTTTACCAGTGCATAGTTTCTTTCGTTGAACCTCTTTTTACCAAATATCTTAGTTTAGTGAGACATAATAACTCGAATACATAATTCTTGTCTGCCATAGAAATTGAAATTTTGTGACAGAACAACCTCTTGGAAGAACAGTGATGTAATAGTAATACCTTGGCCCAAGGAAGTTTGTCATCCGAGCAACCTCTTGGAAAACCATTATAGCCAATCCCTGAATTGAAAGATGAAAGTTCTTTATTCATCGTTTAACTGTGTCAATCCCTACAATATTCATTCTTCTGTTCAAAAAATATTTAAAAAAAAAAAAAAGACGAGTGTGATCCATCATCTTACCAAGAATTACACCATTTTGGCTCACCAAACACGCACCAACCTATCAAAAAGCATAAGAATGGGATAGATAGTCAAATTTTGATTATTCCAACAAATAAATATGATAAGGAACACGAGATCCAGCCTCTTTTGCATCCGAATTTCGAACCTTTAAGATCTCAATATACGATTTTCAGTAAGGCTGTAATTAAATAAACTTCCACTAAAGCAAACATACTACAGAAACATTGAACAATAATTTGATACTCATTTTCTCAAATCATGAAATGAGAACTTTTTCAACTAACTAAATTTACCTGCCTGTTAGGATCCTTTGATCTTTCCGCTGATAAGAATGCAATCGCCATGAAATAATCATCCCACGATAAGTACCTTCACAACGTTCACAACAAATTCTTACATATTAACAGCAAAGACTACCAAATTCACCAGCTTCCGGCTAATTTTTCAATTGTATCCCAAATTCCTACTCTAGCGAATCCCAAAAACAAAGATGATACACAATAAACCTCCAATTTCTCTGAAAGTTTTAAGATTTCGCTAGACTGTGAAGTGTGAACCGAACTCGATGGGACAAACGAAATTCGCGCAAAATCGATGAATTTAATAGAAATTCGACATACCCATTTCGCTTCAAAGGACTGAAAGGATCTAAACCCGGGAATCTGCTAGAAATTGCGGCGATTTCGGTGGAAGTAACTCTTCGGGATTTAGGGTTTGATGAGAAGAAGCGAAATGCTATAGCTGAAATCAAAGCACCAACAACTGCAGATGTTGATACGAGAGCAAAATCTCGAGAGTTCATGGTGTCTTATCAATGAAAACTCTTCTTCTAGAAGAAAAAAAAAAAAGGGCCCTTTTCGCGGCGAGAGAAGAAAGAATTGTTTTTCTCCCGGGAATGTTCTCTGTTCTCCTTATCAACGGAACCAAATGTAGCGGGAAACTATAAGCGAGTAAAATCCACGCGCCTCCGGTACAGGTAATGTGAAACGGTCGAGCTATCAATTTTAACTTTCGGTTACTAATCCGGTTAATTTATTGCTCGGTTTAATTATTCTTCATGAGTTTAAAGTTGAGAGTTGAGGACTCTTCCTCAGCCATCAAATTAGATATGGATAACATTTGGCTTCTCTCACTTGTCTTCCTCGTCTGTATTCTTCTCGCCACTTTCAACCACAAGAACCGGCGTCAACGTCAACGGAGACCACCGTCTCCTCATGGATATCCAATCATCGGAAACTTACACCAGATCGGAGATCTACCTCATCAATCACTATGGAGACTCTCCCAAAAATATGGTCCTGTGATGTTTTTGAAGCTTGGAAGAATCCCAACGGTCGTGATCTCTTCCTCTGAAACAGCGAAACAAGCTCTGAAGACCCATGATCTCCATTGTTGTAGCCGTCCAAGCTTAGTAGGGCCAAGAAAGCTCTCTTACGACTATCTTGACATTGCTTTCTCTCCCGTTGATGATTACTGGAAAGAGCTAAAGAGGATGTGTGTGCAAGAGCTCTTCAGTGTTAAACGAGTCCACTCGATTCAACCCATAAGAGACGTGGAAGTCAAGAAACTAATCGATTCGGTCAAGGAATCAGCTTCTCGTAGGGCAGAGGTTAACTTGAGCGAGAAGTTTCTTTCTTTAACAGTTGGCGTGACTTGCAAGGCAGCGTTTGGTGTGAGTTTCGACTCGACTGTGCTCAACAATGACAGATTCGACAAGCTGATCCGCGAGTCGTTTTTGTTTTTGGGGAGCTTCTCTGCCTCGGATTTCTTTCCACACGGAGGTTGGATCATCGACTGGCTCACCGGTTTACAAAGGCGGAGAGAGAGAAGCGTGAGAGATCTTGATGCGTTCTATGAGCAAATGTTTGATCTTCATAAACAAGGAAACAGAGAAGGAGTTGATGAAGATTTTGTGGACTTGCTCTTGAGGATGGAGAATGAAGAAACTGTTCTTGGATATGGGAAGCTCACGAGAAACCATATCAAAGCAATCTTGATGAATGTTCTTATTGGAGGCATAGGTACTTCTGCGATAACGATGACATGGGCGATGACAGAACTTATGAGAAACCCTCGAGCGATGAAGAAAGTGCAATCCGAAATCAGAAACCAAATTGGGAACAAGTCAATGATCAGCTTGGATGACATAGATCAGCTCCTTTACCTGAAAATGGTGATCAAAGAAACATGGAGGCTACATCCTCCAGCGCCACTTCTTGTTCCTAGAGAAGTAACGTCTGAGTTTGAGATCAATGGCTACAAGATACAACCCAAGACACGGCTTTACGTGAATGTTTGGGCTATCGGGCGTGATCCGGTTACCTGGAAAGACCCGGAGATGTTTCTACCAGAGAGGTTTATTGATAGTAACATCGATGTAATAGGACAGAACTTTGAGTTGCTACCGTTTGGGGGTGGCCGGAGAATCTGTCCTGCGATTTACATGGGGACAACAATGGTGGAATTTGGTCTCGCAAATATGTTGTATCACTTTGACTGGAAGTTACCAGAAGGCATGGTAGTCGAAGATATCGACACGGAAGAATCTCCTGGACTCAATGTAAGCAAGAAAAATGAGCTTCTACTTGTTCCTGTAAAGTATTTAGATCATTGTTCTTCATGAAATTACTAAATAAACTAGCACATCGATTGTCTATACCAAAAATAAAATAAAATCTTGTGTTCCTTTGTAAAAAAAGAAAAAGAAAAGAAAAAAAACTAAATTGAAGAGAGGAACCGTTTTATGTTACATTTTTACACATAACAAACAAGTCAAAATTGTTTTATGAGAACCGTTTTGTAAGAATTTGGTTGAATGACTAAAAATTTCGTACTTGGTAGCTTGTTAGCTTTTGGAACTCATTAACCCACGTGCATCTCCAATTATTACACAGCCCACATCCTAGCTTTCATATATTTTTATAAACTGAAAAAACGATAAGTTTACATATATAATCGCAAAGTTACCAACTTACTATAAATAAATATATAACAATTGAAATGAGAAAGGATGATGAAAAGTGAAAAGGGTTTCTTTAAAAAGCCTCTCATGCCTCAATAACGTGATCCGTTATCTCCCATCAGCACTGTCTTTTCTTCGACGGAGATTTTCTCGACAGCTTGACTATTATTATCTTCAATTTTCACTTTCTACACTCATTTTACCAAACTACCCTCTTTTATTTCTATTCACAATCAAGATTCTGCAATCGGATCGGAACTTTTGTTATTATTGTTTAACACGTAAAAGGAAAACATTTACATTTACATGTTGTTTCAAACATGCATAAACGCGAACGTAAAAAACAAATCATTTAGTTTTAGGATGTTCCTAATTGTTGTAGTCGTATCAGTCGAGATAATCCATGGAACAACATTTGACAACTTTTTTTTTTTTTGGGGATGATTGGTGGGAGCTTAGGTTGCTCTCCACGGCTCTATATCTCTCTACAGCACTCCAAAATTACCAATCATGCTCTCCTTTTATCTCTTTCCATTTTTGAAACATAGAGCAATTTTATTTATTTATGGAAGTTCCGTAACTGTGGAAAGCAATTTTTCTAGAGCACTAAATTTAGTGCTCTCTAAATTCTCTTTCTTCTCTTTCCTTATTATTTTGTCTAAATTCTTTTTTTAATCTCTTATTTCTATATCTTCTTTTTTTGTTTTAATATTTCATTTAATACACAATCTACAAAAAAAAAAAATCTTAGAGCACTAAAAACTAAAGCCACAGCACTAAAACCTACAGCCTAAACTCTACAGCCAAAAATCTAAAGCCACAGCCACAGCCACAACCAATCAGGCCTTTATAAATAAATAGAAAAAAAGATATACACAATGTGTTAATAGTATATCGGTTACTATATATTGGCTAAAATATGGGGTTGTATTATCACAGAAAAAGATAAAAACAAAAATCCAATTTTACATTACACATGTGGGGTTAGTGAAAAACAAAAGGGTATAAGCGTGACATCAAGTAGATATATATATATGTGCACAGACACGAAGCAGCTTACATATAAAGTGATTGGTAAATGCCACCCCCCACTTATTGAAATCTGCAGCCTTTTAGCTCCCAAAAAAAACAAAACCATAAAATGGATGAACAACAGCAACAACAAGATCATCATCACAAAGAGCTTCAGCTTTTACCTTCTCCACCGTCGACGGAATCTCCTTTAAGGAAACTCCGACCAACAGTTACGACAACTGATCATCACCACCATTCGTCCTCCATGATCCACCACGATCTCGACCTCAAACTATCCATCAACCTCAGCACAATCCCAACGGCGACGGTGGAGCATCCAAGCGGTGGAGGCGGAGGAGGAGGTGTGGAGGCGCTGAAGTGGCAGGCAGCGGAGCAGATAAGACTGGCTGCGATAGAGAAGGCTTACGCCGAGAGGGTCAGAGAATTGACTCGCCGTGAGATGGAGATGGCTCAGTCTGAGTTTGCACGTGCAAGGTAAGCGAGTTTCAATTAGGTAATTCCGGTTCGTTTTGGTTCGGTTTAGTTAACCGTGTTGGGTTGGAAACAGGGTGATGTGGCAGAAGGCAAGGGAGGAAGTGGAAAGAGCAGAGAGATTGAAGGAGAGATCAATGACGAAGATCGATACGAGTTGCTTGGAGATCACTTGCCACTCTTGCAGGCAGAGGTTTAGGCCTTGATTTTTTAAGTATTTAATTGTTTCTCTTAATTATTGTTATTATCATAAATGGAAATTTGAGAGAGAAAAAGAGAATATTGGTTTAATTAGTTTGAGAAAATAATTTGAAGCCATTCTTTTGTCTAAATTCCATTGTGTGGTTAATTCAGTTTGTTTTCATTTTCGAGTTTGGTAATATTAGGTCTTTTCTTTTTGTTTTCTTGAAATCGAAGGAAAACAATGATATGATCAGATAAGAAAATGACTTTGTTTTCCAGCTACTTTACTAGTTATTGCTTCCTCTTCCTTTCCCAACAAAAAGAATCACTTAACACATTGTCATAATTTTTCATTTGGTAAATTTGATTTTCGGACCTGATTCTTTACATAATTAGAAACCATTAACGAATTGCTTGGAACTTGGTGAAAAATCCGAGTGATGGAGTCAAATAAAATTAGTTACGGTGTCTTCATTAACCATGTCCATTCCGCAACGATCACCAGTTAGCTAAGTGTTAATATAAAAGTAACAAGAAAAAGAGATAGAGTGAATAATAAATAATGGTGGTAACATTCATAATAGAGTAACGTGGAAAATAGAAAAGGACTGAATGATTTGCATGATTTGAATATAATTGACCTATATATGGTTCATTTTATTTGTTGTAATCATCTTCGAAAATGTTCGTCCAATGAAATTTGATGATTATTTTTCTGAACACATATTACGTACAGATATAAAGACATATATGCATGGAGATTATGGGTATAATTATTGCTTACCATGCTCACTGCATCTACTTTAATTTAATTTCTTAGGGCGACTTGAATACTATATGTATAATATCATTGTGTTTGTGCGTACATTGTGTTTTCATTTATATGAGATATGACAATCATATATACTAAGAATTAATTATACTTTTCCTTCGTTTGAACAGTTTTATTTTCTCTTTACTATTTTGATGAACAGTTTGTTTTTTGACACTGCTAAAGCTATAATGTTTTTTTCTATGAAACTAATTCCGAAACATAGGAATCTTGAAGGACCAAACTCTTATGCAGAGAGAAAATAAAAATAGAGAATAGCTAAATCGATACTAAATAAATAAATAAAAATCAATATCTAAAAAGTGCGGGTAAGATCAACTAGAAAATGCTGAAAATGAATTCCATGAAACCCTAGAGAGCTTCTTTATTGCTCTTTGGATGTAAATAAAGTTTTTTTTGTCAACATAAGGATCTCTTTATTTAATAAATTAAATAAAAATACCTACCTATATACACTGAAACAAAATTTCCATTCACACGGGTGTATAAACACACGCGTACATTTACTTGTACGTAGCTGTAAATATTTTATTACAGAAATAATATAGTAATCAAGATTCCAATTTGGGCAGTGTCTGATGCCAAATATATAGTTATACATTATACATATATATATAGCCCATCATGATCATGCACTACTTTTCTTACATGCGAGTGAAGTTGCAATCTCTTAGTTATTTTCTTTTCCTCAGGAAGATTTTTTAAGATTAGTTTTCTAGTTCACCTAGTTAGAGAATGACTAGTTTTGTTTTGCCGGGTTCAGGTTCGAAAGCAAAATATTAAAGCTTATATTATACATATTGATGCATAAATTTAAATTAAACACATGGTTTCTACAAAGAAAGTTGCAACTCGAAAACCTTGATTGATACAAGCAGACTATCTCTTTGTATAGAGTAGAGAAGCTAGTTATAAACAAACTTATCTCAAATTCAGTATGTGCTATACTTTGCGAATCTATTAAGTCAACAAAAAAAACGAACAGAAATAATATTGGACTATCATTACAGAATTTACATAAATAGTAACAAATTAAAATGGAGTGAAGCCGGAGGGGCCATGACTCATATTTTTGATGATAAGAACCTTTGATAATGAAAGATAGAAGCAAATGGATCAAAACAAAAACCACAATCGATCGTTTATGTTTTTCTGAATAATTGATGAGAGAATTACAAAGACAACAAAGGGTGGGAAGGAGTCGGAGTATCCACTTGTTTTCAACTTCTTCTTCTTAGACCCTTTCTCTATACACAAACTCCAAAATAAATATTTTGTTTACAGATTTAAATTAAAATATTGTTGCTTCGTGCTTAGAAAATATCACTTCCCTTCACTCATTATCCAAAATCACCCAATTGATATGGCCTCTTGCTGTGCGTCTAAATACGAACAATTTAAAGATATGATGGTCAAAAGATCTATGATTCTAAGTAATTACATTCTCAGTCCAAAAATAAAACTTTCTTCTTTGATTTCATATTATGAAACCAATAACAGTTATATGTGTAAAATAATCAATTAATCTAGAAATTAGTAGGGTTTATAGACAATATATTTGTTGTACAGTCACGGAAACGTACGTACGTGTATGACTATTATGATTGTGTCTCAACTCTACGTACATACAAAAAAAAAGGAAATGTATAATCACAACGTTGAATTCACCAGAAGGAAAGAGATGTGTCTGAAATATTGGGAGATAATGGAAACTGATAAGATACATCAAAACATAGAAATCTTGCCCATTGTGACACAACCTTAACATTTGTCTTTTCACATTTGTCTTTATATAAAAAATTATACGTACAGGTATGCATGTATAGGTATAATTGTGTATCATCAGTGTATAACTTTACATAAGTTTTGTATATACACACATATACATACATATAGACATGTGTATCATCGGTGCATATAGAACCAATCAGTATCATATAGGTGTTTGTGAGATAGAAAGAGATCAAAGAGAGCCATCATTTTCCAAATGTTGTTTTCCTTTGTTCAGCTTTTTCACCAATTTTATATATTTTCTGAATCCCATGTGGGATGGATCTTTGCTTGTCCCCTCTTGTTAGATTTTTTTTTTTCCCTAAAAATATATATAATTATTTTCTACATTGTAAACTATTTAATAATAAGCGGTGTTGTCTCTTATAGTTTATATCCTTATGACAGAGATTTTTTAGTTTCGATGTCTATATATTTTGTGGTCCTTACACAAGTTAGCTTCATTATTGTGCATGTTTATATCTTTTTCTTCCACCTTCTAGAAAATATAGTTTATTGCGAAATTATCATTTATAATTAGTGTTGATGTTCTCCTTTTAAAAAAAAAATTAACAATATGCATTACGAATTTGATGTAGATATGAATCAATACTAATCTTGTCGTCCACACATATAAACCTCCATATCCCTTAATTTTAAAAATAATGTTTTGATTATTTAGGTCTTTATTAAATTAGGGTTTTTTGTTAAAGATGAATCAGCTAGTAATTTTTGTATATAAATGGAAGTTTAATTAGTTCTAATAATTGGGAGAAAATAAAACAAGAAGAAGAAGCCAAGTTTGGTTGGATTTAAAAGAGAAAGTGACAATGCCCTTAGAATGGAAGGGAATGAAAAGACAGTGTTAGGGAAGGAAGAGGGGACAATGGATGATGGAAGTTGCTCTCATCATGTGATCCATCACTACCTTATATCTAATTTACATATATTTCATTAAATAGCCAAGTACTTACCAAGTATACATTTATATGTACATACACAAGTACCTTGTAAGCAATTTCGCACTAGCTAGTGAAACCATAAACGTCTTATTTTTCTTTATGTGTTACAATTCAGGATATTGGTACACTCAGAACAATTATAACCAATAGAATAATTTATTAATTTTTACTATTTTAAGAAAATGCCCCAAAGTTCTAAGCCGAAACATGTACAATGAAAGGCCGGAACTAGGCTGATGATAATATCAAAACATAACGTAAATCAACCTTCTTAAAAGAGTAAAAGCCTGTGTTGAAAAGAACCAAATTCTTGCAATAATCTTAGAAACACCATAATTTGTTTTGATTTAAAAGTTTAAACAGTTGAAAATTAAGATTATACCATGACGTAAATAGTTGCCGGATGATCATAAAATTAAGCAATTAAAGGAAGTTTACATTGGGATTTGGGCAGGAACCTTAACTAACCTTAACTAGTATTGTTAAAAAGTTTATGATCGATTTTTCTTACTGATTTATTGTAAATGTTTTGACTGTTCCTAAATTCATATGTCAGCCTAAAAACTCCATTACCATATAAAAAAGGGGCCTCGGTCTCTCGGATCGATAAAACTACAAAGCAAACATTTCAATAGAAGTACAATTTCATTTATGTGTGTGTATAATTTTGAAGACAATGATAGTAAATACAGTACTATACAGATGGCGCAATTAGACGGAAATATATGGAATATAATATCTACTTTATTTTATTTTTTATCATTGACAAAAAGAAAGAGAAAGTGAAAGAAGAAAAAGAAAATCACAAAGTCAAGAGATTTTATTTTGTATATAAATGCCAAAAGTAAAAAGGAGAGAAAGTGAGAGTCTTCCCTTTATCGTCTCAGAAATTCGATTGACCATATGATATGTATAATTGATATACAAGTGGCTGTTATATTATACTAGATTCTTATTATTAACATGCTATGGAATATAAAGGTTGATACTTGATCCTGAATCTCACATGTAATATTCAAAGTAACATACATCATATTTTGATATATATGTCTGACGCACATAATTGATCACCTAAAAGTTCATAGTTTTTTTGTAACTGTTAATTACAAAACACAATAAGGATAACTAATTAATAATTTTACGAATTTTTTTGATAAAAAGCTTAATAATTTTTTTTGCCATATTACAAAGAGAATGTACAATAGATTATTTTTTTGTCCAATATATTAATTAAAGCCTACTAAGGGAAAAAGGAAATCCACAGCCTGCCATCATGACCTCATGCTGGAAAAAGAATGAAAACAATTTAAATTAGTAATATTTTTGCTGTTTATCAAAGTACGAATTTGATAACAATTTTTTGTTATTCTAATTAGTTTGAACAAAAATGCTTTTGGCTACGAACACAAACCAAAAAAAACTTTTTGTTATTGTTTTCCTACTTTCAATGTCTGATGAGTAGTGAGTGCTTCTGGGTTCCTTTTTTGGATCATGTGAATCCTAAATCAGAAAAATCCATATAATACCTAATTCAGTATATTTTCATACTTCAGTAGTATATCTTATAAGAATTTTTAGCTCTTTTTAAGCCGATCTTTTAAGCCTTTGCAGGGTTTATCATTGGATTTAGTGCTAAGTTTTTTGATTTACCATTTTTTATGTCGTTGAGATCTACTTGTAACTTAATTTCTTTTAAAGAATTCACATAATTTTTTTTAAACCTAAAATAGGACCAAACGTAAAATCAAGTTCAATTTTAGATTCCCATATTTCCTCGTATACACATAACTCGAAAAGTGAACATCGTAGTCTTTTCATTTTCTTTTGTTTGGAAATCATTGCTCAGATAATTACTTATTTGTGATACCGGCATCGTTATCAAAACCCTAATCTAACCCCAAATTATTGAACATGCTAATTAAACCAAGTAGAAACGGAAATTTCCTTGCATGATTCGAGAGAAATGGACCAAGTTAAAGGTAAAACAGCTTAGACTTATGACTTGGGAGAATAAAAACTTCCGATTCCAATTACTCAATTCTCCACTTTGTTTCGCAATAACCAAACGGAACCATTATCCACAATAGCTAAACCGAACCGGATAATTTATTTATTTATATATAAAGAAAACGGAAACTAAAACGAAAGCAGCAGTAAATAGTCTGTGGCTAAAACCATAATGCAATTCAACAACTAAGAAACCCAAAATACCACACACACACACACAAAAACTTGAAATTGCAACCAAGTCTTCACCATATGCATACAATACATCCACCAGTCTCCATCTCTCAGAACTTGGTCCGACCATCTCCTTCCGTAATGACATCCTTGAAACTGCCGCCACTCGGGATCATCGGCAACACATGTTCTTGGTGCGGACAAACCACATCCAACAAGTACGGCCCCGGTGTATCCAACATGGTCTGAATAGCCTCTCGGAGCTCATCTTTCTTCGTCACCCTCGCCCCCGGGATCCCATAACCCGCGGCAATCAGCAACACGTCTGGGTATATCTTCTTCTTATTCGCCGGATCTCCAAGATACGTGTGAGCTCTGTTCGCCTTGTAGAACCTATCTTCCCACTGCATAACCATCCCAAGATGCTGGTTGTTCAACAACATTATCTTCACCGGAAGATTCTCTACATGGATCGTCGCCAGCTCCTGTATATTCATCTGGAAGCTTCCGTCTCCGTCAATATCCACAACGATCGCATCAGGGTTCGCCACAGCCGCTCCCATCGCAGCGGGAAGTCCAAAACCCATAGCTCCAAGCCCTGACGACGACAACCACTGCCTAGGTCTCCTGTAGTTGTAAAACTGCGCCGCCCACATCTGATGCTGCCCTACACCGGTGCTAACAATCGCCTTCCCATCGGTTAGCTCGTCAAGGAGCTTAATCGCGTACTGAGGAGGAATCAAATCACCAAACGTCTTGAAGCTCAACGGAAACTTCTTCTTCTGTTCATTCAACTCACTCCTCCAAACCCCGAAATCAAGCTTAAGCTCCTCTCCACGGCTCTCAAGAACTTTATTCATCCCTTGCAAAGCAAGCTTCACATCTCCACAGACAGACACATGAGGCGTCTTGTTCTTCCCAATCTCAGCAGAGTCGATATCAATATGAACAATCTTAGCCCTGCTAGCGAAAGCCTCAAGCTTCCCGGTCACACGGTCATCAAACCTAACCCCAAACGCAAGCAACAGATCACTATGTTCCACAGAGTAATTAGCATACACAGTCCCGTGCATTCCAAGCATATGCAGAGAGAGATCATCGGTACAAGGATAAGATCCAAGCCCCATCAATGTACTCGCTACAGGGATCCCAGTAAGTTCGACAAATCTACACAATTCATCGCTCGAATTCAAGCATCCACCACCAACGTACAACACAGGCCTCTTGGATTCAGAGATCAACCTAACAATCTGCTCCAAATGAGAACTCTCCGGAGGTTTAGGCATTCTCGACATGTAACCAGGTAAACGCATCGGCTGCTCCCAATTCGGAATCGCGAGCTGCTGCTGGATATCTTTAGGTACATCAACCAATACGGGTCCGGGTCGACCCGAGGTCGCTAGGAAGAAAGCTTCCTCTACGATCCTAGGGATGTCGTCAACATCCATCACGAGGTAGTTGTGCTTGGAAATCGAACGCGTTACCTCGACAATCGGCGTCTCCTGGAACGCGTCGGTGCCGATCATCCGGCGAGGGACTTGTCCTGTGATGGCGACGAGAGGGACGCTGTCGAGCATCGCGTCGGCTAATCCGCTGACGAGATTGGTCGCTCCGGGGCCGGAGGTGGCTATGCAGACTCCAGGCTTCCCTGAGGATCGGGCGTATCCTTCGGCGGCGAAGATTCCCCCTTGCTCGTGGCGAGGGAGGACGTTGCGGATTGTGGGGGAGCGGGTTAGGGCTTGGTGGATCTCCATCGACGCGCCTCCTGGGTAGGCGAAGACGGTCTCGACTCCTTGACGCTCCAGGGCTTCCACGAGGATGTCAGCTCCTTTTCGGGGCTCGTCTGGGGCGTATCGGGAGGTGAATTGCTTGGTTCCGGTGGGTTTTGATGAGGAATCAGTTGAGACATTGACGGCTGAGTTGAGAACGGCGGAGCAGGAGAGAGAGCGGTTGCGGCGGCGGGAGGAAGGTTTGTGGGGATTTAGGGAGAAAGGAAGGGAGAATCTGGAAATGGGAAGAGGAGATTTGGAAGAGGAGGGATGAGAAGGTTTTGCGGTGAAGGAGATCGAGGAAGATGCTGTTGCCGCCGCCATGGTTAGATTCCTTTGATGAGAGGAGGAGCACTGAGAGAGAGAGAGAGAGAGAGAGAGAGAGAGGATTTTGTGAACCTGGAATCGTGTAAAACTTAACAGAAATGAGAGAATCGTGAGGGTTTTGTTGTGTGATTACGAAAATGCCCTTGGGATTTGGGATTTTTGGTCTTTATTTATGGAGATTAAACTCGCGTGGCGGAATCTAATATCGTCTACCTAACTATACACTAGCTTTGTGAATCGGTGGCCATGAAATGTAAAACTAGTGGCCGTGGATTTTTTAACCAATAGTTTCTTTTTTAAAGAGAAAATAGAAACAAGTTGGATTTCTTGATTGTGACTTTTGTGATACGAATTGGATCAGTGAACTGGACAATATACTTTGCATAAATCAAAAACAATTGAAATTTATATGAGTATGCAAAAACAAGGGGAGCAAATGGATAGTGAGAATCGAACAAGGAGGGGAAAATTTGGCCGCCAAAACAGAGAGGTTCCACAACAGTTTTTGCAGTCATAACTACTTCTTCTTCTTCTTCTTCTTCTTCTTCTGCTACTCCATTTGCCTGTCGCAAAGTGAAATAATTTAGAATCTTTTACAATATTCACAGAATTACTTGTATTACAGAAACAATCAAACAAATTTGTACAACAATAATGGACTCAGCTAAAGCAAAGTAAACACGGTAATGACCTTCGTTAACAAGAGTATCAAAGGAAGAGAGAACAAAGAATCCACGAACAAACTCACTCATGGGACAAATAGAGGGCAAAGATACACGGATACAGAAGCATGTCAATGGCAGAAACCATGAAGACAACAAAAAAGCTTGAATCTTGTGAGGCAAAAACGCAAAAAGCTAGCTGAAATTCATCCTTATTCACATCTATTATACAGCAACAACTTACAATTCTAAAGCATGAACCAGGAAATGTGGTCTGGCAAGCAATTGGACAGAAGAATCAATTGAATCAATTCATATACTTGAAAAAAACATAACCAAAAATGCGATTCCCATTACAACATTGACTATCATCACTATGTCAGCTAAATGCATCCAAATAGATATACATAAATTAAGAGCACGCAATGTTTCATCAATCACAGGTGTAAGAAAATAGGAGTAAACCTCGATAATTGCTTCTCCTAAGAAGTTCCAACGATGATGTTGTTGATTGGGATGAATACGAGCTTGACGAAGAACCCGACGAATCCCATCACCACAAATCCAATCGCCGTACGCACAGCAACTTTCGTGAATTCTGACAAAAAAAACAATAAAAGAAACCAATTCAGAAATCCAAAAATCTCCAGATCCAGAACAAACCTTGACAATCTAAACAGATCGCAATCGATTCCTCTAATTTGGAAAGATGAAAAAGATTAAAAAAAAATTGGCGTACCCTTGCGATCGGGTTTGTGACAGCGCTGGACGAGACGGACACTGCTCTTAGCGAAATCTCTGAGTGGGTCGATTGCGGCATCAATGGCGTCCATGGCTTCTTAGATCGGATTGGTATCGGAATTAGGGCTTGAGGAGGTTCGTCGTTTTTAGGGCTATCAAGTCTTAACGATAAAAGAGGGTTTCATTTGACATTTCTGAGTTTATACTCCATTTATTGTTCCGTTGACTTCTCGACATAATTCCCAATTCTGATTTGAATCGGTCCGAACACAAAAGTCCGGTTTGGTTTCTTTTTAGTCTTTGTATTTGTCTTCCTTTTTTCCAAAATATATTACGTCATCTTAAGAATCTACAAATAACGACTCAATAACGTTTCTGACAAACGAATCTAAAAAATTAACGTATGAAACCGTAACAATTGAATTCGACATTCAACATATGAGATTCGCTGAAACTTAAGATTCACAAAGTACATTTCTTTTAACATTTAAGAAAGAAGACAAGTTGAGGAGGAGAGTCATTGTTACGAGTTACGAGTTACGACATCTGTCTATATTTTTTTATGCAAGATTCCAGATTTTGATAGGTAAAAATCTTGTGATTCCTATCCATTCTGTTATTGGGGATCAATTTTCGATGCAAATCAACACATGTCTTTTATCTCTCTTAATCTCCTCACTCATGTACGGCGTGGCGTCTATAACAGTCCGTTATTCACTAGGTAACGGCAGAACCATAAAATTTGTTATTTTACTCTTCTCCTATAGTTGGTGTTCTATCTTCACATTTCGAAGTTTCTTCCCACTAAGAAATAAAATGAAACAATGTGGTTCTTTCTTTCTCTTTTCATGAAAAGGTCTATTGAGAAAAACTTGAGTCTTTTTTTACGGAAAACACATCGAGTTGATCAATTTTCTTCCGAGGAGATCATTTAGTGGTTTTTTTTCTTGGTAAAAGATCATTTCGTGGTTTCCTTTCCTTTTTTCGTTTCTTTTGCTAACAATAATATAGTTTTATTAAATTTCCTGCCTAATTTTTGTTGAGATTTAAGGTTTAAAACATATCGAACGAGAGGCATTTATTAATCAAGTGGTGAATATTCGGAAGCCCTTCCACATTGATCCGAGTACGAACACAATTATCTGTTGAAATCAGGTTTACTTTCCAATACATCTCTGTCTATAATACTATATACATCATTTTATTTTTGTTTTGTCATCTGTCTATATGAGATTTAAAACGTTCAAAATATACTTGTTTCTCAAAGCGTTTTACATTATGTGATTCATACTGTTAACGAAAAATATACTACAATTTTGGACACGTAAGTTCGTTATGTATATTCACATTGGCATGTTGTGAAAATGAGCTGTCGCTTTGGTGGCAACTTTTTTGGCACTCTCGTTCCGCATTTATGATAACATTCCAGTTGGCTGCACGTTTTGCTAAACCTGATTAATTAATTTGATTCAAACCAAGAAACAGTCACCATCCATTTCTACAAATCTCTAATTAATCTTATCTTAAAAAAATGTTTATTACTAGTACTTGATCACTAACCACAAGCGACAAACCTCATTTTATTTCGTTAGTTACATATAATTGGCAGCGAAAATTGACAATGACATGATCCATTAAATAATTATATCAGCCATTAGGACGGAGTAAGACTAGTAAGTGGCATGGTATGGTCATGTGAAATACCACCATAACAATTGTCAACATTACGGCTTTCCAACTAGAGAGACTTCTGCAGGAAACAAACACGGGATTTTCGTGATAAACGGATTAGAACAAAGGAAAAAAAAAAACGGTGTAGAAAAAAAAAGTCATTTGACAAAAAGGAAACTTGAATATTGAAGTGACTAGTGGCAAACAGTTCGGATAATACTATTAGTAGTATCTACAATTAATAATTGGTACTTTAGTCATCATTAATATGATGATGATTTAATGAATAGTTTGGAATATGTGACCCAATGAAGATAAATATAGCTATTAGAGTTAACTCTGTATAGGTAACTATTTAAGCTAAACAAAAATGAATTAGGAAATTTGTAGCTTTTGAGATTGCAATGCTTAATGTGTATAACACGCGTTGGCAACAGCTTTCACAACACTAGAAAACAAGCTTACATTGCAAACAGCTCAAAAACCTAGAGGGATTATATATACTGAATTAAACATTTTTGATTAATAGATATGGATTGTGAATTTATGATGATGCAATGAATATAGACCATTTGGTGAAAAAGCAAGAACGTAACGTACGTGGCTGCTCTATTATATCTATATAACACAGCCAAACAGAGTCGTGTTACAGTGTGGATAAAACTGAAGTGAGATAGAAGCAAACAGAGAAAGAGAGAGAGAGATGGAGATGAGAGGATCTTATCCGAAGATTCTTCTACTGATGGTTATGGTGGTTGTAGCGGCGGCTCGAGATAAAGACCCTAGTGGGTTCGTGACATGGAACAATAATTACTACACAACATGGGGACATCAAGCGTTGGTTCTTAATGAAACCTCTGAGCTCCACCTCACCCTCGATCATAACTCTGGTTTCTATCTCTCTCTCTCTCTCTCTCACTATATTTCTGTCTATATTTGTGTGTTTTGTCTCCATATGTGTTATGAAGTTGTGTTTGTGTCTATCTGATGCTTATGATTGGTCTCATGTTCCTTCACCAGGGTCCGGGTTTGAATCCTACTCGATATACGGATCAGGATCGTTCAACATGAGAATCAAAGCACCACCCCAAACCAAGTCTACGGGAGTCATTACTTCCTTCTACGTAAGCCCATGGACATTAACTTATGTTTGTCTGATGATGTTACGTACCTAGAGAGTTTCTTGAAATTATGTTTTTGATGTTGAATGCTATATGACAGTTAAGATCCAAATCAAGCCGCCCAGACGAGCTCTGTTTCCAGATTTTGGGAAATGGGCGACAATATATGCTCAACACAAACATGTTTATGTACGGTGAAGGAGACAAAGCTCAGAGGTTCCGTCTCTGGTTTGATCCAACCAAAGATTACCATTCCTATAGGTTTCTTTGGAACCCACATCAACTTGTGTAAGCATTTCTTCAACACTTATTTACATCATCATTACTTAATCAACTGTAACAAAAAGAATGTATATTTCTACAAAAATTTCAGGTTCTATGTAGATGATACACCAATCCGAGTGTATAAGAAGAATCCAAACACTTACTACCCAGCGGTACAGACGATGTTCATGCATGGGAGTGTGCAAAACGGATCCAAAATCGACCCGAAGCAGATGCCTTACACTGCAAAGTTCCAGGCATCGAAGATCGACGGGTGTGTAACTACGTTCATGGGGATAGACAAATGCACTGATCCTAAACTCTGGTGGAACCGCAAAGAGAATTGGCAGCTAAGCTCTAAAGAGAGGGAACTGTATACCAATGCAAGGAAAGTATACCTCGATTATGACTATTGCTCTGACAAAAAGCGATATCCAAAAGTGCCTCAAGAATGCAGAAGTTACGGTTAAAGAAAGATTCAAAATCTGTCAAAAGTGTTTAGCCTAACAAAAAAACATGTTTACTGTGACATGTTCTATAAATAATATGTACTTATTAAACTATTAATCATCAGTTACAATAAGCTACATTGCCAAGTCACTAGTTCATATTGGTTCTCAGAAAAATGTTCATGCAAAGAAGTGAAAACATCAGCAAAAGCATAAATTAGAAACTGCACATTAGATACATAGTTAGGCAAAGTCTCTCAGCAGTGATGGTTTTTGCTACAATAACATATTAAGCTAATAGAGATACAAATAAGAGTTCTGTTTCTTATAATGCAAAGATTGAATTTAGGCATAATCGATAAGAACACATCCCAAAACTCAAGGCAGAGTCGACTAATATCTGCTGTCTTCAACAGCAGGTGCATTGGCATATCCATTCAGTAACACTCTCAGCTGCAAATTCAAAAAAGAGTGTTTGTTCATTGATTCCAAAATCCTAAAACCTTAGAGATGATCATGTATCTATCTACATTGCACAGAAATGAGAGCAATAGAACGAAACTTACCCTTGGCCGTCGAGATTACCCTGACCGCTGCTTACTCCACTGTCGTAGGAAACATCATCGCCGGTAGCTGACGTCTGCCAAACGCTCTGCCACGCCTGAGACGGAGGCTGCACGTAGACGCCATTCGGATCCATGGCCGGTCTCCCAATCATCATCCCTCCAGGTCCCGTTGGCTGACCCATCGGCGGATAATAGTAAGGCACGCCGCTGGCGGCGGGAGAGACCATCCCGCCGATCGCCGGCTCTTCCTTGATCTCGTCCCTGGGGACGATGTCGACGAGGAAATCGAAGATGTCGGTCCTGGTAATCGCGGCGGCGATGTCGTTTTTCTGGAGGGTGCGGCGTTTGTTCTCCTCGGCGTGGAGCCAGGAGCGGATGGTGAGCTCGAGGATGAAGAGCTCGCAGGCTTTGGAGAAGAGGATCGGCGCTTCGGCGGAGATCATGCGAACGTCCTCGTCGGCTTTCATGATCTTCTTGATGCGAGCGAGAGGGAGCTGGTGGTTTTTGAAGTCGTTCACTTGCTCGATGTCCTTGCGTTGGTAGGACCAGAAGGCTTGGAGATGTAGCTGTTGTTGCTGGAGAAGGTGGTGGTAAGCGGCACCTCCGGCGGCGGAGACGGAGGTACCAGGAGGAGGAGGAGGGATTCCGGCGGCGGAGGGAGACGGTTGCTGATTGTGGTTGTTGTGGTCCATTTGGTGTGGTGGTGGGAATGGTCGGTGTGGATTTGGTGTTTGTGATTGGATTAAAGAGGGTGTGACAGTTTTTGCCAAAGGGATTGGGTCAGAAGTGGATAAGGTGGATAGCGATGCACCAGATTTTTCCTTTTGTTTCTTTTATAAAAACAAAAAAGAAATTATTTACCTGGTTTTTTTTTTTTCATCTGAGAACAATACATAGAAGAAGCGATTACAGAGCAAAGAAACAAATTATTACCTGGTTTTTAAATGTGAATAATGAATCAATTAATGTAGCATTTTTAAAAAATGAACTTTAACTTCTAAATTACATTACATTGTACTTTACAATAGTTTAAACTCTAAAGTTTTAGGGGGAAAATCATATTCTCAGTTGTAAGAATTAAAAACAGAATTTACTGTAAAAATAATAAACATAACTAGTTTGGTCTTCAATCCATATTCACTTCACACATATACATTATCTTTCCGATTCGTTATAATAATATCATTATTTTTAATCATTTTTCTGTTCCTGGATGTATTACATTGTGATTTCAGTATTTCAAGTTTATATTATTAAATGTCCATAATCCTATTCCTAGGACGTTTAACTAGCATTTTAGATTCAGTTAAATGTTCTTGTTCAAAATCAAACAAGTATCTTTGAATCTACGAACTTGTTCTTCGACATCATCATCTAGTTCTCGTTCTTTCTTGTTAAACTCATCATTCTTTTTCAAAATCTGAAATTAATTAGACATAATTCATGACCCAAAAAGTTTTCCATGCACTAAAAAAACACAAAAGCATGAAATTTACCACATTTGGGTCAAACTAAGATGGCGAACCGAGATCCCTAAACCTAAATATTTCATTTGCATGAGTTTGTTGATCCATTGTTCGTTGATACCTAATATTTAGATTTGTCAAAATTCATCATTTTCAATCTTTTCTTAAGTATTCATAAGCATTTCAAGGATTTTTTTATTTGCAAAAATAAAATGAGAAAAATAATGTAGATGATTTAGTGAAACAAAAAACAAATTAATTTAGAGTATTTTTTATCTTGAGTTCGAATTTTCTCTATTTTTTTAGGTTTTTTTTTTTTTTTTTTTTTTTTTTTTTTTTTTTTTAATCTTTACTTTAATCGTTAACCATTGTTGAAGAAGAGATTGAGTTTGGTCGTCCAAGTCACGGCAAAATGATGAAGAAGAGCAGAAGAGCAGAAATCCTCGAAAATTTTTGTGTGTGTATGTCATAAACTGATTTTTAAATGTGAAAATAAAGAATCAGTTCAATGTAGCATTTAAAAAAAAAATTAACTTCTAAATTACTTTACAATGGTTTTAAATGTAAGATTTTAGGGTGAAAATCATATACTGAGTTGTACGAATAAAAACCAGAAATTAATGTGAAAATAATAATAATATTTGATTTGTTTTTTTAATCCATATTCACTTCACACATATTCTTTTATCTTTTTCAGATTCGTTGTAACAAAATCAGTATTTTCATCATTATGTTCCTCGATCACTCGATTACATTGTGATTTCACTCTTTCAAGGTTATATTTTTCAGATGAATAAAATTAAAAAAAACCATTGCTGATTAATTTTAAATGAGAAAAATTAAACTACTTGTTCATTATGTCCCAAAAAATAACACTTGTAACAAAATCTCTCAGAGACGGAGTAACGGAGATTTTTGTTGTTGTTGTTGAAGCAAAGGAACTGAGAGATAAAATGGAACGGTAGAAATCTCATCAATTGCTTTTGTTTTGATGCAACAACTTCCTAAACCAAAGAGCCGATTTCTTGGGATATCTTTTACATCCATCCTTGTAATCCACGTAAACCAACCCAAACCGGACCGTGTAACCATTTGCCCACTCGAAGTTATCTAGCAACGACCACGCGAAAAAGCCTTTCACATTGGCTCCAACCGAGATAGCATCTCTAACCATCTCTAGATGTCGAGCGTAAAAATCAATTCTCTCGCCGTCATTAAGCAAGATTTCACCGTATCTACTAGCTTCATCTCTCCCATTCTCGGTTATGTACATGACAGGATCCTTAAACTTGTACTTTGCATAGAGGACAAGATCACGAATCCCCTTTGGATATATCAAAAGCCAATCCGAAGCAGCTTTTGGACCAATGGGAACTCCTTCTCTCTCGCCTGTGGTGCTTGCACAAGGATCAGAGGACATCGTGACGTTTTCGGTGGAGCAAGGGACGTTCTTAGCGTAAGAAGAAGAGTAATAATTGATGCCGATGAAATCATATGAGCCTTTTAGCATCTTGGATTGTTCTGAAGTGAATTTTGGCAAGCGATCGCCTTTTACGTTGTTGACCATGTCCATCGGATATTTACCGGTAACCAGTGGCTCCATGAAGTAGTCGAATGTGAAGGCCATGACTCGTGCCGCTGCTAACCTATCCTCGGCTGATTCTTCGTTATAGGGCAAGTTCCAATCCGCGTTCAAAGCAATACCTACTTGACCTTTTTGAGACGCCTGTTGAACAACATTCAAGAGTAGATTCGTCACAATCTTAATTGGAATAAACATATTAAGATTCGCTGATTCTTAATACAGATTCATAATAAACATACACACGGTTTTGGTAACTTGGCAGTCAAGAAACAGAACGGATACTATAAACGCAGTTGAATTATTTGTTTCTTGATTTTAGTAACTTGGGAATCAAGAAACAGAGTGGATGTTTTAGTTTTTAAACTGACCTTGTATTTTTCTCTATAGACTTTGACGGCTTCTCCATGAGCAAGAAGGAAGTTGTGACCGACGATATAAGGCTCGGTTGCTCCATCTCCAGCAGTGCAATCAGGGTTTGTAAATTTGGAGCATCTTCCTGGAGCCATTACACCAGCAAGATATCCTTGTTGCACAACTGTCAACGGCTCGTTCAAAGTCATCCAATGCTTCACTCTATCACCAAAATTTTGAAAGCAAAGATCCGCATAATCTCGGAAATCGTTCACAATCTCCCTTCCCAGAAATCCACCGTAAGCATCGTCAAGGCTTTGCGGTGTATCCCAATGGTAAATTGTGACAAAAGGCTTAATCCCTTTGGAGAGAAGCTCATTGATCAAGTTGTTGTAATAGTTTATACCAGCCTGGTTGATTCCTCCTTTAAGAGTCCCACGAGGCAAGATTCTTGACCAAGAGATGGAGAATCTGTAGGCGTTAAAGCCAATGTTGTGCAATAACGCCACATCATCCTTGTAGAGACGGTAAGAGTCATCTGCAATAGATCCATTGCTACCACCTTGTATCCGCTCTGGATATTTTTCAGAGAAAGTATCCCAGATACTTGGTCCTCTACCATCTTCATGAGCAGCTCCTTCGACCTGGTAAGCAGAGGTTGCAGATCCAAAGATGAAATCTTTTGGGAAATCACTTCGTTTTAGTTTAGGTGTTGAAGAATTTTTCTTGGCAACAACTTCATTGGAGGAGGCCAAGACAATGAGCATTAGTAAAGACAGACATTTTCCTCTCATACTTAATTTTCTTGTGGTTGTTAAATCTTGTGTTTCTTTCAAGAAAACGAAAGAAGTGGAGGTTTATATAGGAAAGATAATTGTGAACCTATTAATAGAGAATCTTGATAACGATTATGTGATAGAGAGTGATAGATTTTCTAATTTCTAGTTGTTTCTTAATCGTTTTGGGTTAGTTGAATCTTTCTTAATGATAAACATTATATAGATATCCTTCAAAATAGGAAATGAGTAGCAAAAAGATAGTGGAATCTTTCTCTTCAAACACATCCTTGAATGTTTTTCGGGTCGGTCGGAAATCTTGATTGGTGAATAAAAAACTTTAGACTTTGTGGAAGTTTTATGAAGATTGTTGAATTGGTAATCACTAGCTACGTGTGATACAAGTCACAACTCTCGGCTATTGCCTATTGAGGGATCCTTTCATATACATCAAATCTCTGGAATCCAAATGCATTTTTTTTTGGGATTAATTGCAGGGACCAAATCATAATCACAAAAACACACTTAAAGAACAACTTTTAGATCCACAATGTAACTATTAACTGATAAGCACATATATAGTGACACTAAGAATGAGTTTTGTCTACTTTTTGTTCTTCAGTTCCAAACATCAAATTACACATTTTCTGATCAAAACGGAGGAAGAAGAATACAAAGCAAAACAAACAAACCCACCAATTTTCACAAGATTTTTAATCCTTCATTTTTTTTTAAAAATGGTCACAGGTTGCGTGGCCGAGTAGTGAGCGAAGATCGCATATCAACAATGGCAGATTTATCAGCACCAAGCTTCATTGCCTCTTTGCTAGCTCTAATAAACCGAGAAGTAGCTCCTTTGACATACTCATGCGCTTGCTTCACAGTCATCTTCTTCCCAACTTCGTCCGGGTAGCTACTTAGGAAGTGATCGCCGTTGAGAACCGCTGCAAGCTGAACAACTTCGCTCTGAAAGTCGGAAAGTGCTGCGTCCTCTTTAGGCTCAGTGGCTCTCATTGGTGCAACATCCGGTAGAGTCATGGGACAATCGGTTCGAGGAGAGGTTAAGTGAGAAACAACGTCTTCGAAAGTAGCAGCCCAAGCATCTCTATGTGTCAAGTAATTGGAAGAGAGATTGAAGAGTTTCTTGATGGTCGCTGGTATTGATGAATGTTCGTACTCTGAGCTCTCTGTTGGTCCCTTTGCCTCACTCACCACTTCACTCACAAACACACAATAGTTGTTATTAAAATACTAAGTATAATAATCTGTTACTAAACTATATACTAAAATGAATAAATCAAATGGGGGTCAGAGGATGTTGAAAACAAGAGTCACGCGACGACGCCGACAAACTATATAATATACAACTTTCAATGGAATAATCAATAGATTCAATTATTTGCTAGACCCCCAATTAATGGATACAATCAAGAAAATATTAAATACTAATGTTATACAGTTGTAAATTCCAATCCATGTGACTTGGTTTTTGCAGCCTTAAATTTTGTTAGCAAATATCAAAATTCCAATCCATAGCTACTGAACAAACAAAATAAATCATTACATTAATAATATCAAATTTGGTAAAAATCTTGAGTTAAAAAGTCAACTAAAAAGCATTGCACAGTGAAAACAAATTTTGTGAAAAAATAACAGAGAAAGAGATCTTACCGGTTCCTTTCTGAATCCAAGGTGAAATCATGATGGTGGGAACCCGAACACCTAACCGGTCAAATTTAAAGAAACCAGGAGCCGGTCCGGTATTTCCATCCGGGTTTGGTATACCGACGTAAGGAGTCTTGACATGATCATAAAACCCACCATGCTCATCATAGGTTATGACTAGGAGCGTCTCGTTCCACTGTGGACTCGACCTAAGTGTCTCGTACACTTCCTTAACCAGCTTCTGACCGTTAGCCACGTCGTGCGACGGGTGATCGTCATTAGCCGGTAAGCCCTTGAGGTCGAAATACCTCGGTTCGATGACGGTTAAGCTCGGTAACTTTCCTTTAGCTGCGTCTTTCTTGAATTTCAGATCGTATTGGTGCAATTTGAAAATGTATTTTAGCTGTCGGAGATTACGGTAGAACAATGTCGTCGGAATATTCTGAAAGTATATTCCGAAATCAATGTCATTTTTGTGGAGCGAATCGAATATCGTCTTTTGTGGATACCTAGTAAAAATCAAATACTTGTAACGTTAGTATTGCTCAAGGGAAGACTAAATTGGTTTCTAAAATTAGGATTTGCTAATTCAATTACTCAAGATTTATTATGGAAATAAATCTACTAAATTCAGCGGTTAAGTGTGAAATTTAAACTTACTAAGACTAAATTAAAAAGAAAGAGTTTTGATAATGTACCCTTGAGCAAGCTGCTTCTTGACGTGGCTTGTGGAACCATGTGAAGTAGCCGAATAGACAAACAACCGGTTTGGTTGAGTCGGACCGGGAATTGAAGAAAACCACCGGTCGAACACAGCGAATTCTTTAACCAGCTCGGCGTAAACCGGTACAGCTTCGGGCCGGAAGCCTTTCATGACCGTCTCCGACATATTTCCGGGCATCGAAAGCGCTTGCTCGACGAAACCCATCATCGACGGGATCTGACCCGACCCGAATACCTGCTGCTCAACAGCCTCGAACGAATGACCCGGATCCGGATCCACGAACTCCGCGTCGCTCGTGAAACATATGGTTTGTGTAGAATTCGGAACCGGGTTACATTCTTGACCCGTAACACCGTCTATCGTCGGGTTAACCGATTTCTTCATCCAGCCTAGGAGGTGATCGAAAGATCGATTCTCCATCACCAAAACGACGACGGTTTTGATTGGTGATTGCCATTGATGGGATCCTAGAGCTACATGGGTATGTGTGAGAAGACAACAGAGTGAGAAAGTAAAGGAAATGGCTCCCGAAGCTGATGGTTTCATGAATGGGTTAAGCTTTTAGTAGAGGATTTGATTCTGTGGTTTTGTTTTGCCTTGGATTGGTTTCAGAAAGAACATAAAGAGAGTGGAGAGAGAGTTGTCTCTTTGAAACCACAGAACAAAAAGAGAAAAGCAAACAAAAAAAAAGGAAAAGGAGAGAAGATTAAAATGAGAAATGACTGGGAAACTTTTTTGGGTAACTGTGAAGTGTGGAGAGCAAGAACCAAGGCAAGAACAAAAAGCAATGGCTTCTGTTTACTGTTTTTTTCCCCTTACAGTGATACTTTTAATTTAGGTGGGCTCGTTTTGTAAAAGAAGATTCTGTTCTCACTGAGAAAAATAACTAAAAACTCAGAAAGTTACAGTTTTTTTCGTGGTCAATGAAAATCCGAAATTTAGCCTCATTTATAGCTAAATTTTAATTTTGTAAATACGTACTCACGAGAAGACAATAGCCTTAAGAAAACCACGTACATGACCATTGGGTTTATGTTGTTTTCTTGTACATGTTACATGTGGACTCCTAGAGTTCTTAATAGTAGTTACTAGTCTATTTGCCACCTCTTGACAAAACGATTTAAAATGTAAACTATTACCAAAAAAAAAAAAAAAAATTGGATCCACAATCTCTATCAATAGACAGTAGTAAACAGAAAAATCATCATCATTACGCTAATAACTTTGTGCAAATGTGCTCCACTGATTTCCATAAGGTAAAACAATTTCGGTAGTTAAAGAAACAGCCATTTTTTAGTGTTTTTTATAACCAAACAAAAAAGGTTGTGCGTTTAGTGTTTTTCTTTTCACATGTTTAGTGCTTTTAACTTAGCCATGCATAATCAAACAAGGAATAAAGTGTAAGAAAATAAATAAAAAGAAGAGTGAAGCCAAAATATAAAAGGTGTAATAATAACAAGAAGGAAAAAACAATAGGCCACAAGTTCACCAGTGAGCGCTCGTGAGGAGTGAACTGATTCACGTCATACCAACCAGCAAGATTTGGTCGTCTGAACAGAGAATACATTCATATAGCCACAAGACTTTCTTTTAGTTTGTCCTTTAACCCAATTTAAATATATAAATCGTTCTCTTTCACTCACCTTTTTCTGGAAATAGGAGAGATATATACGTCAATGACTGAGTACAAGTGGGTTTCATTTCAAGATATTAAAGATTTAAAAGAAACTCACCAACTTGACAACAAATAAAACAAAATTTTTACTAGTCTACTACAATACAAATAAATTTCAAATGTAGTTCAAAAATTCGGGCAATCTTTTATAATAGGTTGTATTGGGCCAGATTGAAAGAGATGAAGAAACTACTCGTTCACTTTGTTACATTAGTCACCGACTCACGTGTCACGTCGTTCGAAAACAGCGTATCCGCACGTGACGTAACCACTGTCATACACATTTCAGTTTCGCACCGCACGAGGCAGTTTCGTACTCTTCAAAACTCTCTGTCTCTCTCTCAATCCATTTTCTCTCTTTTCTAACTTCTTTTCTGCTATTTCTCTCTCTCTCTAGTGATGGCGGATTGGGGCCCTGTGGTGATCGCTGTGATCCTGTTCGTGCTTTTGACACCGGGACTTCTCTTTCAGATTCCGGCGAGAGGTCGAGTGGTCGAGTTCGGGAATATGCAGACTAGCGGCGCGTCGATTCTCGTCCACACCATCATTTTCTTCGGTCTTATCACCATCTTCACCATCGCCATTCGTCTTCACATCTATACCGGTTAATTGCATCGTAACCGGATTCGTAACTCTCCTTGTTGTCGTCTTGTTTAAGGTTTATGGTTGTGTTCTTTTTTTAATTGGTTTGTTTTGGATTTTAAAATTGGTCTTTTTATTTTCCGGCTTTGTTTATAGTTTGCGGTGTCTGGTGTAAACATATTGGTACTATGTGATTCGGAATCTGGATATATGCATTAAAATCTGCTCTGTTTGATTTAGGTTTTAGTGGCCTTGTTTGGGTTCCAGTTTAATCTTGTTCTTGGTTTGTGATTTATTTCATGTGTCGATTTGAATGTGATGTTAGGCAAGTTAGTTAGTCATTGTTGCTTGTTGAGTGAAAATTGTCAACTACAGTAATTGGCATGAGATTGCTTAGGATACGGTTTATACTTTAAACACAACAGATAAACAGTTTATGTAAACAAAACAAATTTGGGGGCCAAGGCCTATGTCTCTTCGGGCTCTGTCCACGGCCGGAGATCAAATATGACAACAAATGCTTCTTAACCAATATGGCACATAAGTGTTTATACATGGAACCAAGCTCCTTCACAAAAGTCGGACACTTTCTTGGTTTTAAAACCGTGTCGCTACCCATTACAGCGACTGATAGATTTATAATTGTTCATTTTCACGGTCGAATTTTCTAGCAATTAATATTTTCCAAAAAACTATTATCTCTTAAGCATTCATTTACTTGTCAAACGGCTAGCATTGATCACAAATTAAATTTCATATTACCAAAATGAAAACATAATATCGATAAAACGTTATGCTTAGAGGTTCAAACTTTTTGGTTAAATTTTAAGTATGTTGCCAAAGATACATATGAATGTAAATATTGTAGAAACCAATTAAAAATTAATTTAACAATACAATAAAATATTAGGACAACACACATAACCAATTAAACAAGTTAAGCTTTTTCAACTCTTTTCTTCTTTCCTTTCCTCCTAGAATTATATTTTAATTATATCTCTCATTAGTTATGATTTCAGTTTTTGTTTTTGCTTGGGTTCCATTCTTGGGTAAGTATCATTTTGGTAATTCTTGAAGTCATTTGATCGAGAGAATCTAAGTCTTTTGGATTTTTTTTTACGTATCGGTGATCTCTATTGCTACAGTGGTGCACACGAGTCAAAACCCTGTTTAAGGAACACTATCAATTTTCCACGAAGAAATTACTAGCAAAAAAAGAAAAAAAAATGACCATCACGAAAAGCTGAAAGTTGTAATTGTTCTTGCCATAATGAAGAAATATCATTAGATTGTGAGTGAACCCTCTCAAAATGTCTTATTTGTGCACAAATTGATCAAGCCGAAGTAAGCCAAAACTTAAGTCAAGGATGATGATGGTGTTCTTAAAAGAAAATCTTTTTGTTTACCTTCGGGTTTAGGAGTTGACTTTACTGACTTTGAAAATTATGCATTGTTGAGAGACGCCAGCTACAAAACTCATAAATATAAAGAGATTATGTAAGCTTTGTAGATGTCATTTATGTCTCAGTCATCTCCATCGCTACAGTAGGGTATGGTGACCAATCCTTTAGTTTTCTGGATTGGTATCTCCAATCTTGCTATGGCAAGCTTGTTATTTTACTGTGGGGAGAAGATAAATGGCACGGTCAAGAAATTGCACTATTATCATTTCCTCCTTATCTTTATATGTTCATAAGTTATAAATATTTGACACTTTTTTTTGCTTTTTATTTGAATCAAAAGCAAAGATTGCTTTATCAAAGCTCACAGAGATTGGCAAGATTAATAAAGAAGACATAATCGATGTTTTGAAGTACTACGATGGGCAATCTGCGTAACATGTGAGCTAGATATTAAGATGAAAATTGCTTTTGATTTTTTATTTTTTTTATTTTTTTTTTTTGTAAGAAATAGTACAGAAGAATGTTTTTGTTTTTTTGGTTTTAGTACAGAAGAATGTTGTGATGTGACATTCCGTTTTGTGGGATGCTTCCGCATCATATTACTTGTAACTCAAGAGTCAAGACATTAAATAAAAGAATCAGCAAGAGTAAAATAAAAAATAAAAATAAAAGAATCAAAAACATTTACGAGTTTTGCTGCTAACAACGCAAACTCTACTCCTGTAAATATTAAACTAATTAATTCTACAGATTTGGTATTTCTACAGATTTTTACACCAAGACTCAGAGCAAATAGTACCAAAGATCCAAGAGTTCTACTTACTATATACGGAAACGTGTTGTGTACTATTTTCATGTTTAACAAGTAAGATAATTAAGTCAGTGATTCAGTGAAGCAGCTTAATGCTCTCAAAAAGCAGATGCTTAAGCTTAAACCACTTGATTGGTCACAGAAAGATATCACCTAACTGTCTACTAAAAGCAGCTTATGTATTGTACACAATGGGTATACTAAGGCGTAGCTAAACGCTGAAATTACCTAACAATATGGACGACTAACAATGCGTATATATTCACTTCAAAATGTAGGATTTAATGTACCCCCTTAAAAAAAACGTTCACTAAGCAAAACATTGTTTATAACAACGGTGTATAAATCACGATATCCAAAACAGTAGATATATACAAACGTTGCCGTCAAAATAAATACAAACCATCATATGCATTTGTTTTGTTTGTCTACCATAAATGACCCCATATCATATGCATTTGTTTGTCTACCACATCTGGTTTTTTGCATTGTCTACAAGATGGTGAAGATTGTTTTTCACTACTTCATACTATCATTCTACAAACAACAGGGTTTATCTTTTACATCTTCTACTAATTACTATTTCTGTCCATAAACGATATTCTAAAATCAACACAGCAAAAGTTCATGTGCCTCTCCATGTCTTAACACCTAAGCATTTTTAAGTGTTCTAAAGTTGACACCTTATTAAAATCACAAAGCCAATGGAAACATTTCATTTAATACCAGTCAGCATTGCTTTTGGTTTACTTGCTACATTTTTGTCTTGGTTTGACCCAGGTTAAATCCGGTTTAACTCCAATCAGTTAGCTACTCACTTTCCTCTCCGGTTAAGATTCATTATTCTTCATCCACGAAATTTCATTGTTCTTCTATCGTTTGCAAAAGTCTTCTTCTATGGATTCTTTTACTCTATTGATTCATCTCAATCATTTCCTGATGTGTCACTCTTTAAATTGGATCAGCGCTGGAGATTTTGAGCTGGAGACATGTGTCGGCGCCGGAGATTTCGAGAGTGTGTTCTTCCTGCTCTCCTCCGATTCAACAATTTGATTACAGAGTAAAAATTGATTTTGATTTCTTCTGGGATCTTCTGGTTAGAGAAACAATAGATTTAAGGATCATAGATTTGGTGGCAACGGATTTAGTTTTTTGTTTTCTTCAATCGGAGTATTCGATCATCATCACTCTGTTTCTGTAACTTTCATTTTCTTTAAAAAGGATTGAATTTTGTTTGCCAACTTTACGTTTTCCTTTCTGGGTATATCTTTGAATTTGAACTATGTGCTGAATTATTCTCTGTTTTAGCAGAAACCCTGGAAGAACAGACCAATGGGCGAAGGGAATTTAAGCGGGGAAGTAGAATCGGAACAGTGAAAGCTGCCATTTTTCTATTTGAATTAATACCCCCATATCTTTATGCACTACAACTTTGATTTTGTGTTTTGAATGACCAAATTTTTTATGTGGTCATCGAGTTTGAGGAAAAGGTTTGGGATTGAGTGCTTGGAGGTAATCTCAATACTCTCACTTTGATTATCTAATATATCATATCGTTCCAAATAGATTCATGTTCACTTCTCTGTATCTACAAAGTTGTGGAAGAAATAAAATAAAAGATGCCGAGGCCAAGTCCAAGAACGTACGACTGTCTCAGCAGAGCTTGGCATAGTCACAAACACCAACCAATGAAGAGGTCCCTCATCCTAGAGTTTTTCCGGTCATCTTCTCTCTCTCTCTCTCTAACTTTGTATCTATATATCTGTGTGTGTATGTGATCTTGCAGCCTGAAAATTTACAACTGGATGCATATGGTAACCTCAAGATCTCAGATTTTGGATTAAGTGTTTTGTCCCAACAAGTCAGGGTAAACAAAATCTGTCTCCATAGTATTGATTTTCATAGTTCTAAGGAATTGTGTGTTGTCAAAAGTTTTGTATACTTAAACTATGGTTTATATTGCTTTTGGGGAATCAGGCTGATGGACTCCTTCATACATCTTGTGGAACTCCAAACTATGTTGCTCCTGAGGTTTGCCTAAACAACAGAAATTTTGTTATAGTTTGATAATACTATTTTTCAGGGCTTTTATAACCAAATCTCTTTATCTTTCTGGTTTTGTAGGTTCTTAATGATGGAGGCTGTGATGGAGTGATATTACTTAAACATAATACATTCTTGTAATGGGCTAATGGCATGATGGAGCCTATGACTAAAGATGGAAGGATATGCCTTCGATTCAACTTATGCTCTACTATGTGTAGATAATAAGCGATTTATTTCCGGTTGGTTTTAGTCCTTCATATTCCTCATTCCCATGCATTTATCCTTACCGACTTTGCTTATTATTTTCATGGGAGATGGTTTGGTTCATTTATTGCTTTTGTGGTCAGTTTGGTTTGGGTTCATTGGCTTTCGCCATATTGATCTCTCTGTATTTAAAATACTATCATAGAATGTGTTCACAATTTTAGCATTGCTTAGTTACAAAATTGTGAAGATGGTTTTGAATTTAACTATGCTGTCTTTCCATCTCAAAACGTTGAATCTAAAGTTTGGTTCAACCAATTATGTTTAGTTCTTCCCACTTTTGGGTCATATTCTTGAATTATTTGTGAGTAAAGTAGTAATTTTAACCAAAACAAATGTAAAAATGCATAGTTTTACACGATTTGTATATATTTTATAAAAGAATTTTAAGAAAAACCTGCACATGATATTTTAGGGTTTAGAATTCTTTTAGGATTTAAACTATCAAAGCAAATTCCGATAAGATAGTGTTAAACAAAATTTAAAATAAAATAAAATAATAATACAATTCTTTTATATTACAAATTATTTCATTTGAATTTAACAACAAACTTTTAATAAACATAAAAAATATTAGTATAAATTTTTAAAAGTGTAGTTTCTATAAATAATTCTTAAAATCAAATTGAAAGATAAAATATAAAAAAAAATTATCTAAATAATCCCGCAGCGTAGCGTGGGTCACCTTTCTAGTAAACTTTAAAATTTGTTTGGGTTTGTGATATAAATTAGGGTTTATGAAAATCCGTATCTGATTGAATTAAAACATTAGTTGTGCGGACAATTTTCATTTTCTTTAAACCTAAGGGGTTTAAATGTAAATTTTAGATAACTAACATTTTATTTGGATACAACGGTAATGGAATCGTTCGTTAAGCGGAAACAATGGCGATGATAAGCTTTTCGCTTCCATCTCCCGCCAAACTTCCGATTTCATCTCGACCGTCCATTCCAAATCGGGTCAACGTCGCCGACCGTCTGATCCTCCGTCATCTCAATGCCGGCGATCTTCGGGGAGCGATCTCCGCTCTTAACCTCATGGCTCATGATGGGATCCGCCCGACAGACACCGTCACATTCTCCTCACTCCTCAAGTCTTGTATCCGAGCACGCGAATTTCGACTCGGAAAACTCGTTCACGCCCGGTTAACCGAGTTCGAGATTGAGTTTGACTCGGTTCTCTACAATTCACTAATCAGCTTGTACTCGAAATCCGGAGATTTAGCGCGCGCCGTGGATGTGTTTGAGACCATGGGGAGATTTAGTAAGCGAGATGTTGTTTCGTGGAGTGCTATGATGGATTGCTTCGCTAATAGCGGAAGAGAAATCGATGCGATTAAATTGTTTGTTGGGTTTCTTGAAATGGGTTTGGTGCCAAACGATTACTGTTACACGGCGGTGATACGAGCTTGCTCGAATTCGGAATTCGTTTCTGTTGGAAGAATTTTACGGTTTTTTATGAAAACTGGGCACTTTGATTCCGACGTCTGTGTGACTGTGTGGGTTGCTCTTTGATCGATATGTTTGCGAAAGGGGAGAAGAATCTCGAGAATGCGTACAAAGTGTTCGATCAAATGTCTGAGAGAAATGTCGTTACTTGGACGTTGATGATTACTCGGTGTATGCAAATGGGGTTTCCTAAGGAAGCAATCAGGTTTTTCATGGAAATGGTTGTAAGCGGATTTGAGTCAGATAAGTTCACACTAAGCTCTGTTTTCTCTGCTTGTGCTGAGTTGGAGAATCTGTCATTAGGAAAGCAATTGCATTCTGGGAGATTAGATCGAGCTCGAGGTCGATGTTGGTTGTAGTTTAGTCGACATGTATGCAAAATGCTCTGTGGATGGTTGTGTAGATGATTGCAGGAAGGATTTGATAGAATGCAGGATCATATTCATCGCGTTATGTCGTGGACGGCATTGATCACAGGTTATGTGCAAAACTGTAATCTCGATACAGAGGCTTTAAATCTCTTCTTGCGAAATGATAACACAAGGTTTTGTTCAGCCGAATCATTTCACTTTCTCGAGCGCATTCAAGGCGTGTGGCAATCTTTCGGATCCACGAGGAGGTAAACAGGTTCTTGGACATGCCTTCAAAAGAGGTCTTGCTTCGAATAGCTCCGTTGCGAACTATGTTATCAGCATGTTTGTTAAGTCTGATAAGATGGAAGACGCTCGGAGAGCTTTTGAATCACTTTCTGAGAAGAACTTGGTCTCGTATAACACCTTTCTTGATGGAACCTGCAGGAACTTGGTTTTTGAGGAAGCTTTTGAGATTTTCCGTGAGATTAGTGAGAGAGGATTAGGTGTTAGCGCTCACACATTTGCTAGCTTTTTGACTGGGGTTGCGAGTATTTGAATCATTTGATGGATGAGAGAGAGAGAGAAGAAACCGAGCTTTCAGTACAAAGATCTCCTTCAACATGCTTCTGGAGTTGGTAACAGCAATTCCGACAGAAGAAGCGCCAAGGAGAAAGCAAGCCACCTTGCTCTTGTCAAATACCTCCAAGAAGATCTTGCTGATTCAGCTTCAGAAGCAGAGCCCTCGTCGAAGCGCATGAAAACTGGAAATCCTATTCCAGATTGTGGCCAGGACGAGAAGATAATGTATCCTTGGAAAGGTACAAGCTTTTACTTGCTAAACTCTAAAAGAAACTCACTTTGTTTATATCTTAAGAAACGAGAACTTCTGAGTGATGGGTTTAACATATATGTATCCAAAGGTTAACACTTTGGAGTTGTTGGTTGTGTGCTGAAACAGGTTTTGTGATAAAGATTTATTTGTGAATGTAACTCTGGTACTCCTTTATCTTTAAACGAGATACTCAATTCAAATCTGTCAGTACGGCTACTTTTAGAATATTGGTGTTTGGGCAAAATTTAACCGGTTCGCAAGTACAATAAACGGAATGACGCAGGAGAAGATATCTTATTAATCAATTGAATATCGAGCTACAACAAGTCAATATCAAAGATTAAACTAAGAGAATCTCGTCTGTCGCTCGTCGTAGATCGTAGTTCGTCGTATCTAGGTTGTTCGTCGCTTGCTCGTCGAGAGGCGAAGAACAAGTAGCTATTAGGGTTTTTGTGTGTTTTTCTGAATAGTCTCTTGGTTCTAGGACCTCTTATTTATAGGTGTTCGTCGGTCCTAGTCCTTATCGAGTTGGGCTTTGACGTCGTCGTAACTTTCTATTTCCTACGTCGGTCGTCATTCCTAATTTCCTTTTAATTGAGTGAACGTCGGTTCTCTACAATTCCAATAGATTTAGGAAATTGTATAACCATTGGTCATTGCTAAACCATTATAACATCGTGGTCGCTGCCTCGTCATGTCGATGTTAAGCCTTTTAGACACTAAGAAGTAGATCGACCGGTCGTCATGGTTGTCAGTCGATAACATTTCCAGCTTATGAGTAATAGAGGAGGACTGGTTAGTGAATTTATTTCACCCAACAACTTGCCCCCTACTCTTCAATTTCTCATTGAGAATTTGTAGAGTAATATTCTTATATCGTCGGTCGATGCTCGATAATATCACATGTGACTGTGGGTCATTTACCAATGTCGATGTAGAAAACTAAAAAGAAATTCATGCTTCGATCTCTTGAAGTCAACCCATTAAAAGATATATACCATCTAGTGGCATGATTACTTTTGAATTATTCACCAGTATGGACATGCCCATAGACTTAAAAGATATAATTTAAATAAATAATAAATAGAAAGATATACCTTTTCTTCGTCTGTCGCTCGTTGATTCTTAAATGTGTAATATGCACCTGTTATTTTAATCACGTGGACATGTCCAAAACAAATACAAAGACATACACCTTTAAAGGACATCGACCGACAACCATCTCCCCCATTTTCTTATGCTGCTCACGTGATCTTTCTCTATAAGGAGGGTCCACATACTTTTATGATATCGTATGTACCTCCTTTCCTCTTTGACTTCTCTTGTCTGTTATGGACTGACCAAATGAAGGAGCAACGACATACATTGACATACATCTTTTAATATTAACGTAGGACTGGTTAAAAAGAGACGGACAAGTATCTTTCTCCAATGATCAATGACAAAAAAGTTGATCTTGAACCATGTCGTCTTTCCTCTTTTTCCATGTAGGTCCCAAGGAAGGTGTACTTAACCATTCAGGTGACTTAACTAAAATTGAGGAACGTAGCTGTGTTGATCGTTCATGTGAAAGATGACCAACAATTTGCTTGTGCTTCCTTCCTTTTTTTTTTTTTAGTAGTCGAGCTTCAATTCGTTAGTCGCTGGACAACAATGTGGCATGGGACCTTGATCTCTCCCTATTGTAGATGCTATTTTTTGTATGTCGATCCTTTGACTCCTTATGTCGTTCCCTTTCTTTTATTTGGAGTTATTGCTCCTTTTCTTTTAGTTGGTCTTGGTCACGCAAGACCTAATAAAATCTAGCAAGAACAGACACATTTTATATGTTCGTCTTTGGTTGATCACTTGGATTGATAACATAAGTCTTATGCGAGGTGCACAAGTACAAACACATAGAACTAAAAGTCGAACAAGTAGCATGAAAGAAAGCTTATTATTTTCTTTCCATTGGTCTTATGAGACTAACGACAAGAATGTTGCCCCCTTTTGGATTTGACCACAATGAATTTGTTTGCATGTGGCTCATCTATTATTGAGCATCGACGATTTTAGAACTTTCTTTCTCAGTGGATAAGCAATTACTTGACTGTGAGGGTTTTATCCCTTAATTTATTGTCATATTTTCATGAGGACGTACCTCTTGATTTTGTAGATGTTGTCACAGATTAAGGACGTACCTCTTCATTTGTTGCTAATGATTTATGATCATAATCATTTGGAGGTCGTGCCCCTTTGTTAATCAAAGAGCGATGTGACATCATAGTCTATGGAGGTCGTACCTCTAACTTATTTCTTAGCGACTGTCGTGCTATCTATTGAGTACGTACCTCTTTATTTATCATATCATGACTTATCATGGTGAGGTCGTACCTCTTAATTTATTTAGTAGCGACTGTCGTCACTGTATATTGAGGACATGCCTTCTATCTATTTGCTTATGACTTGTTGTCGTAGCATGTGGAGGTCGTACCTCTAAATCAATCATTAGCGACTGTCATCGCTGTTGCTATATATTGAGTACATGACTCTTTATGACTTGTCGTCATAACATGTGGAGGTGTACCTCTAAATTAGTTATTAGCGACTGTCGTCGATGTGATATACATTGAGTACATGACTCTTATCTTCCTAGTGACCATGGTCAATTTGCCATGAGGCATTGCCCTTAGTTTTTTTTGAAGAAACGTCGATCGTCGTTGTTGCTCTATCATGAAGAGGCAATGCCTTTTTTTTTTTTTTATCGTTTGTCATAAGCAATGCAATGACTGTCGCTCGTCACTAGTTGTGATACAACGTCGATATTAAAGCGAGTGACGAACATAATCTGAGAATTCTTAAATACTCATATGTAGAAAAACCTTTTATTAAGAAGTTCGTCCGTAGACATGCGCGAAGTAAAGAAAAACAATTGAAAGCAGAGACATCTCGTGGATCGTCTATGACTATGACAATAACGAAATAAATAAAACCAAAACACTGAAAGCCAAACTAACCTAGAAGAGGTAGGTTTCGAGGTTCGTTTCATCAAGATCTTTTTCCGTCAGTGGATCTCACAGAGTTGTTCCACCTCTGCTTCTTTGGTATGTGGAATCGACGATTGGATCTCTAGTTGATATAGCTCATGACCTTTCCCTTTTAGGGTAGTTTGGTAGCATGAACGTGCATGCTCTTGTTCTCCCTTGATCTCTTTGACTCCCCATGGAGTAGGAAATTTTATGGTTTGATGGAGTGTCGATGGCACTGCCCCCATGTCATGAATCCAGGGACGTCCCATAATTGCGTTGTACGCAGTAGCACAATCTAGTATCAGAAACTTTGTCTGTCGGTTAATTCCTCCTGCATACACAGGCAGCGTCACTTCTCCTATGGTCTGCTTTACTTCACCGCTAAATCCTACCAGTGGTGTGATTTTCGCGTCAGTGCATTCTCATCCAGCCCTAATCCTTTGTAAGCATCCATGAAGAGAATATTGGTCGAACTCCCATTATCAACGAGTGTCCTTTTCATCAGACTATTAGCATTGTCAAAGATATGACTAATGCATCATGATGTGGAGCTAGGACACATTCATGTCTTCATCTGAAGCAAAGCTAATCGTGCACTTCGACAGTCGCTCGCATATAGCTTTGACATCTCCATGATGAGTTCTAGCTGTTCTAGTACTCTTAGCAGCAGAATGAGTAATTCCACTAATCTGATCCTCCCGATATCACGTTGATGATTCGATCATGCTCCGGAGATTGAGCAGGGATGGTTTTCTTTGCACCTCGTCATTGCTTCTGTCGTCGATGCGACTCCTAGCCCTGTCGGACAAGTATCTCTCAAGTGACCTTTTTTTAGTAGCTCGTTTACTTCCATTCTCAACGTGATGCAATCTTCTGTTCGATGACCATGGTCAGAGTGAAAGTCGCACCACTTTGATGTGTCTCTTCGTTCCCCTGGTGCTTTCATCTTTTGAGGCCATCTTACTCCAGATATATGATTAAGAACATTGACTAGTTCTGCAGGAGATATTGCGAGGTTACTCATGTCTGGCCATGTGGATGATGAGCGTTGGTCGCTCTCAATTTGGTTGAGTGGTCGATGGTCGCTTCTGCTGTCGCTTCTCTTGCTAGTGCTTTCACTGCGTGGTCTCTGGTACGGTCTGTCATCTCGAGAGGGACGCTCGTTCCTAACAACGCGCGAATCAGATCGTGGGGAAAGTAGGTGTCGATATGCAGGGTCTTCCTCCCACCTTATTTGAGCCCATGCTCTAGATAGCACATCTTCCATCGTTCTGCACTGGTACTTCGTCAGTTCCTTGTACAAATCACTGTCTGGGAGCAATCCTCTTTTGAATGCAGAGATGGCAGTGGACGTGACACATGCCGGAATGGATACTTTCTCTTTGTTGAAGCGACCTACGTAATCGCGCAACGGTTCTCCTCTCTTCTGTATCACTTCATAGAGATCGTCGGCTGTCCTTTCTATGTTCCTGCTGCTCGCGAATTGAAGCGCGTCAATGACGCGAACGAGTCGATTGACGCGTTCGGTCGTAAACCACTGAAGAGCTGGTCCCGTGAGGCTAGATCCAAATCCTTTACACATACTAGCTTCGCGATATTCTTTTGCTATTGCCGTTGTGAACATGCGTTGCTTGTACTGGGCTATATGATTATCAGGGTCGGTCGTCCCGTCGTACATCTTCATTGAAGGGACGATGAACTTCTTTGGCATCTCAACCAACGCGATGGCATCCGTGAAGGGAGTGTCTGCATAGCAATTAGGAGCACTTTTGGTGATTGGAGGAGCTACTCCTGGAAGTCGCGCGAGCAAGAGCTCCATAGCCTCCAATCGCTTTGAGAACATAGTATGCGAGTCTTCAGATTGATGTTCCATCGTTGGTGCAAGGGGTGGAACCAATGTTTGGTTACCTTGCGCAGCGTCGGTAGCTCCTGCTCCTAGGGTTGCTCCTGTTGCACCCGTAAGTGGTGGAGTGTCGAACGATTGCATAGGAGGGACCGGTCTCGATATCTATTGCGAGCCTGAGCCAATGACGCGTTTTCTGCTCGTAGGGTTGCGTTCTCCGCCTGGATTTGCGCAAGTCGTTCTTCGTTCTGCTTCATCTGAGCTGTGAGAGCCTCCAGCTGAGCAACGGTGACGGTCGGTGTTTCGGTCGGTGCGGTATCATCTCCCGCCGCCATGTCTCACGCAGTTAAAATTGCCCCTCCTTCTAGCGCCAAACTGTTTGGGCAAAATTTAACCGGTTCGCAAGTACAATAAACGGAATGACGCAGGAGAAGATATCTTATTAATCAATTGAATATCGAGCTACAACAAGTCAATATCAAAGATTAAACTAAGAGAATCTCGTCTGTCGCTCGTCGTAGATCGTAGTTCGTCGTATCTAGGTTGTTCGTCGCTTGCTCGTCGAGAGGCGAAGAACAAGTAGCTATTAGGGTTTTTGTGTGTTTTTCTGAATGTCTCTTGGTTCTAGGACCTCTTATTTATAGGTGTTTGTCGGTCCTAGTCCTTATCGAGTTGGGCTTTGACGTCGATCGTAACTTTCTATTTCCTACGTCGGTCGTCATTCCTAATTTCCTTTTAGAAGTGCGTCGGTCCTCTACAATTCCAATAGATTTAGGAAATTGTATAAACCATTGGTCATTGCTAAACCATTATAACATCGTGGTCGCTGCCTGTCATGTCGATGTTAAGCCTTTTAGACACTAAGAAGTAGATCGACCGGTCGTCATGGTCGTCAGTCGACATTTCCAGCTTATGACGTAATAGAGGGAGGAGGTTAGTGAATTTATTTCACCCAACAACTTGCCCCCTACTCTTCAATTTCTCATTGAGAATTTGTAGAGTAATATTTCTTATAGGTCGTCGGTCGATGCTCGATAATATCACATGTGACTGTGGGTCATTTACCAATGTCGATGTAGAAAACTAAAAAGAAATTCATGCTTCGATCTCTTGAAGTCAACCCATTAAAAGATATATACCATCTAGTGGCATGATTACTTTTGAATTATTCACCAGTATGGACATGCCCATAGACTTAAAAGATATAATTTAAATAAATAATAAATAGAAAGATATACCTTTTCTTCGTCTGTCGCTCGTTGATTCTTAAATGTGTAATATGCACCTGTTATTTTAATCACGTGGACATGTCCAAAACAAATACAAAGACATACACCTTTAAAGGACATCGACCGACAACCATCTCCCCCATTTTCTTATGCTGCTCACGTGATCTTTCTCTATAAGGAGGGTCCACATACTTTTATGATATCGTATGTACCTCCTTTCCTCTTTGACTTCTCTTGTCTGTTATGGACTGACCAAATGAAGGAGCAACGACATACATTGACATACATCTTTTAATATTAACGTAGGACTGGTTAAAAAGAGACGGACAAGTATCTTTCTCCAATGATCAATGACAAAAAAGTTGATCTTGAACCATGTCGTCCTTCCTCTTTTTCCATGTAGGTCCCAAGGAAGGTGTACTTAACCATTCAGGTGACTTAACTAAAATTGAGGAACGTAGCTGTGTTGATCGTTCATGTGAAAGATGACCAACAATTTGCTTGTGCTTCCTTCCTTTTTTTTTTTTTAGTAGTCGAGCTTCAATTCGTTAGTCGCTGGACAACAATGTGGCATGGGACCTTGATCTCTCCCTATTGTAGATGCTATTTTTTGTATGTCGATCCTTTGACTCCTTATGTCGTTCCCTTTCTTTTATTTGGAGTTATTGCTCCTTTTCTTTTAGTTGGTCTTGGTCACGCAAGACCTAATAAAATCTAGCAAGAACAGACACATTTTATATGTTCGTCTTTGGTTGATCACTTGGATTGATAACATAAGTCTTATGCGAGGTGCACAAGTACAAACACATAGAACTAAAAGTCGAACAAGTAGCATGAAAGAAAGCTTATTATTTTCTTTCCATTGGTCTTATGAGACTAACGACAAGAATGTTGCCCCCTTTTGGATTTGACCACAATGAATTTGTTTGCATGTGGCTCATCTATTATTGAGCATCGACGATTTTAGAACTTTCTTTCTCAGTGGATAAGCAATTACTTGACTGTGAGGGTTTTATCCCTTAATTTATTGTCATATTTTCATGAGGACGTACCTCTTGATTTAGTAATGTTGTCACAGATTAAGGACGTACCTCTTCATTTGTTGGCCAATGATTTATGATCATAATCATTTGGAGGTCGTGCCCCTTTGTTAATCAAAGAGCGATGGCATCATAGTCTATGGAGGTCGTACCTCTAACTTATTTCTTAGCGACTGTCGTCGCTATCTATTGAGTACGTACCTCTTTATTTATATATCATGACTTATCATGGTGAGGTTGTACCTCTTAATTTATTTAGTAGCGACTGTCGTCACTGTATATTGAGGACATGCCTTCTATCTATTTGCTTATGACTTGTTGTCATAGCATGTGGAGGTCGTACCTCTAAATCAATATTAGCGACTGTCATCGCTGTTGCTATATATTGAGTACATGACTCTTTATGACTTGTCGTCATAACATGTGGAGGGTACCTCTAAATTAGTTATCAGCGACTGTCGTCGATGTGATATACATTGAGTACATGACTCTTATCTTCCTAGTGACCATGGTCAATTTGCTCATGAGGCATTGCCCTTATTTTTTTTGAAGAAACGTCGATCGTCGTTGTTGCTCTATCATGAGGAGGCAATGCCTTTTTTTTTTTTACTGTCGTTTGTCATAAGCAGTGCAATGACTGTCGCTCGTCACTAGTTGTGATACAACGTCGATATTAAAGCGAGTGACGAACATAATCTGAGAATTCTTAAATACTCATATGTAGAAAAACCTTTTATTAAGAAGTTCGTCCGTAGACATGCGCGAAGTAAAGAAAAACAATTGAAAGCAGAGACATCTCGTGGATCGTCTATGACTATGACAATAACGAAATAAATAAAACCAAAACACTGAAAGCCAAACTAACCTAGAAGAGGTAGGTTTCGAGGTTCGTTTCATCAAGATCTTTTTCCGTCAGTGGATCTCACAGAGTTGTTCCACCTCTGCTTCTTTGGTATGTGGAATCGACGATTGGATCTCTAGTTGATATAGCTCATGACCTTTCCCTTTTAGGGTAGTTTGGTAGCATGAACGTGCATGCTCTTGTTCTCCCTTGATCTCTTTGACTCCCCATGGAGTAGGAAATTTTATGGTTTGATGGAGTGTCGATGGCACTGCCCCCATGTCATGAATCCAGGGACGTCCCATAATTGCGTTGTACGCAGTAGCACAATCTAGTATCAGAAACTTTGTCTGTCGGTTAATTCCTCCTGCATACACAGGCAGCGTCACTTCTCCTATGGTCTGCTTTACTTCACCGCTAAATCCTACCAGTGGTGTGGATTTTCGCGTCAGTGCATTCTCATCCAGCCCTAATCCTTTGTAAGCATCCATGAAGAGAATGTTGGTCGAACTCCCATTATCAACGAGTGTCCTTTTCATCAGACTATTAGCATTGTCAAAGATATGACTAATGCATCATGATGTGGAGCTAGGACACACTTATCTTCATCTGAAGCAAAGCTAATCGTGCACTTCGACAGTCGCTCGCATATAGCTTTGACATCTCCATGATGAGTTCTAGCTATTCTAGTACTCTTTTTAGCAGCAGAATGAGTAATTCCACTAATCTGATCCTCCCGATATCACGTTGATGATTCGATCATGCTTCCGGAGATTGAGCAGGGATGGTTTTCTTTGCACCGTCATTGCTTCTGTCGTCGATGCGACTCCTAGCCCTGTCGGACAAGTATTCTCTCAAGTGACCTTTTTTTAGTAGCTCGTTTACTTCCATTCTCAACGTGATGCAATCTTCTGTTCGATGACCATGGTCAGAGTGAAAGTCGCACCACTTTGATGTGTCTCTTCGTTCCCCTGGTGCTTTCATCTTTTGAGGCCATCTTACTCCAGATATATGATTAAGAACATTGACTAGTTCTGCAGGAGATATTGCGAGGTTACTCATGTCTGGCCATGTGGATGATGAGCGTTGGTCGCTCTCAATTTGGTTGAGTGGTCGATGGTCGCTTCTGCTGTCGCTTCTCTTGCTAGTGCTTTCACTGCGTGGTCTCTGGTACGGTCTGTCATCTCGAGAGGGACGCTCGTTCCTAACAACGCGCGAATCAGATCGTGGGGAAAGTAGGTGTCGATATGCAGGGTCTTCCTCCCACCTTATTTGAGCCCATGCTCTAGATAGCACATCTTCCATCGTTCTGCACTGGTACTTCGTCAGTTCCTTGTACAAATCACTGTCTGGGAGCAATCCTCTTTTGAATGCAGAGATGGCAGTGGACGTGACACATGCCGGAATGGATACTTTCTCTTTGTTGAAGCGACCTACGTAATCGCGCAACGGTTCTCCTCTCTTCTGTATCACTTCATAGAGATCGTCGGCTGTCCTTTCTATGTTCCTGCTGCTCGCGAATTGCTCAACAAAGCGGTCTCAATGACGCGAACGAGTCGATTGACGCGTTCGGTAGGTTCGTAAACCACTGAAGAGCTGGTCCCGTGAGGCTAGATCCAAATCCTTTACACATACTAGCTTCGCGATATTCTTTTGCTATTGCCGTTGTGAACATGCGTTGCTTGTACTGGGCTATATGATTATCAGGGTCGGTCGTCCCGTCGTACATCTTCATTGAAGGGACGATGAACTTCTTTGGCATCTCAACCAAAGCGATGGCATCCGTGAAGGGAGTGTCTGCATAGCAATTAGGAGCACTTTTGGTGATTGGAGGAGCTACTCCTGGAAGTCGCGCGAGCAAGAGCTCCATAGCCTCCAATCGCTTTGAGAACATAGTATGCGAGTCTTCAGATTGATGTTCCATCGTTGGTGCAAGGGGTGGAACCAATGTTTGGTTACCTTGCGCAGCGTCGGTAGCTCCTGCTCCTAGGGCTGCTCCTGTTGCACCCGTAAGTGGTGGAGTGTCGAACGATTGCATAGGAGGGAACCGGTCTCGATATCTATTGCGAGCCTGAGCCAATGACGCGTTTTCTGCTCGTAGGGTTGCGTTCTCCGCCTGGATTTGCGCAAGTCGTTCTTCGTTCTGCTTCATCTGAGCTGTGAGAGCCTCCAGCTGAGCAACGGTGACGGTCGGTGTTTCGGTCGGTGCGGTATCATCTCCCGCCGCCATGTCTCACGCAGTTAAAATTGCCCCTCCTTCTAGCGCCAAACTGTTTGGGCAAAATTTAACCGGTTCGCAAGTACAATAAACGGAATGACGCAGGAGAAGATATCTTATTAATCAATTGAATATCGAGCTACAACAAGTCAATATCAAAGATTAAACTAAGAGAATCTCGTCTGTCGCTCGTCGTAGATCGTAGTTCGTCGTATCTAGGTTGTTCGTCGCTTGCTCGTCGAGAGGCGAAGAACAAGTAGCTATTAGGGTTTTTGTGTGTTTTTCTGAATGTCTCTTGTTCTAGGACCTCTTATTTATAGGTGTTGTCGGTCCTAGTCCTTATCGAGTTGGGCTTTGACGTCAGTCGTAACTTTCTATTTCCTACGTCGGTCGTCATTCCTAATTTCCTTTTAATTAGAGTGCACGTCGGTTCTCTACAACTTCCAATAGATTTAGGAAATTGTAAACCATTGGTCATTGCTAAACCATTAATTAACATCGTGGTCGCTGCCTCGTCATGTCGATGCTAAGGCCTTTTAGACACTAAGAAGTAAGATCGACCGGTCGTCATGGTCGTCAGTCGATCATATCTCCAGCTTAATAGATAGAGGAAGGACTGGTTAGTGAATTTATTTCACCCAACAATTGGTGCATGAAAACGTAATATAAAACATCTGCCATTCACATAATTTTTGCAATGTTTGTGGACAAAGTTTGTTTCATATAAATAAGTATATAACATAACGTATAAAGCTGTTATGATCGAGACAACAAATACTATAGTGTAAACCGTAGTCCGTAGATGCTTCTTTTTGGCCAAAGATTCAGGTCCAAACAAGAAAGTTGAATAAAAATACAAAATAAGTGAAAGGGAAACATTTTAAAACATTTACTCCATCTGTTTTTAAAAGATGAAGTTTCTAGATATTGTTTGTTGTTCCACAAAGATAAAATTTATAACTTTTTGATGCACTTTTTCAGTTTATAAAAAGATTAATTATATTTGTTGGATTTTTATTGGTTTAAAATTATAAAAAGTAGTTTTATTGCAAAAATCTATGCATTAACGATTGAAAATCAACTTTTTCTTTGGCTTTATACTATTGAAAATCATGACCCAGTCCCAACCCTTGCTCCTCTTTTCCCAACCCACGACCTTCGTTTTCAACAAAACGCCAAGAAGCCAATCATTTTTCTTGCTTCTACGGAATACGAATCCCATTTTCTTGAAAATAGAATGAAGCAAATTCTTGAATTTCTTTAAACTATCTGACAACTCAACAAATTATCGAATTCGAATTACATTACCTTTCTCCATTGTTGTAACAAAGAAGACGACTCTTTTCTCTTCCGTTGTAACAAACGGTAACATGTTTATATATCTGAAACAACAAATGGGCTTGCTTCTTACTTTGTATATTTTCTTATGGGCTTTAGTCAGAACCGACCTTGGAGCAATCAGCTGCTTGCGACCTACATTCTAAAAATTCCTGATTTTTCCGATTAATGGCTCAATTAATCCTCTAAGGGGATGACTGTGGCAATTTCCACTAATCACTTATACTATTTGACTGATTTTATCTGATTAATTACAAAATTGATTATTTCGAAAAATCGATATACCAAATCTATATTTCTCTTAAATCTGTTTGACATAGTTGATAATTGTTTGTAAAATTTGGAAATGTAAATACATTTTGTTTTGAGTTATCTTAACCAAAAAATATGTGACAGCAAATCGATTTGGGATTAGACATAAATCTTAATTATTTTTGTCTCTTGTAGTAGATATGAATTTGGACAAATATTTAATATAAGTTGGAAATATATGATTTTCATACTAATATATCATTTTATGCATAAAATATTTAATAATATATAAAATATAGCAAAAATTCCGCTCCGGTTAATTTCCGAATTATTAGCGATTTCTAAAAAATCACTAATGGCTGCCTGACTAAATGAATAAGGATTAGTGAAATTTTGAAGAGAGGTTACAAAAGTACAGAAGTAGCAAGTGTATTTAGAAAAGCTTTACTCTTGTGCTCAAGCTTCATCCGAATTTTTCGGTTCTATCTTAGATTCTCATTTGACTGTAAGTACAAAAGTAGTAGATTCGTAAGAAGTAAACATACTGAATAGTACGATGTAACTTGTACTTGTACAATGATGAGTCACTCCCGTGTGGAAAACACGCTTGTCATGCGCGTCGACCCCACGCTTAGGCTTAGCAATCAGAAGTCAAAACCTTGAAATCCCAAAATTTGTTGTAAACTGCAGTGTGGCATTAAACAGTGATTTTACAAATTCCAAGATATATTCAAGACCAAAAAATATTTCAACAAAATAAAATTACTACAATTAAACAGAGAGATAGAAGAAAAGTTTCTCCACTAAAATGTTCCACTTTAGGAAGAAAATCCGTAAAATTTACACACAAAAAAAAACTTGGTTTTGGAGAGAATAGACGATGTGTCATATTTTACTTTTTTTTTGTTAATTATCACTTTATTTGTAACTCATCGAAAAATAATAATGACGTATTTTTCTTCAACCCTAAAGTAGGTAGGCAAGTGAAAATTGTGGCGAGACAGAACAAGTGAAGAGAGAAGGATTTAGGTATCATTTCGATTTAGGTATCATCCAAAACTACAATGAGAACTGCGTCGGTTTGTTTGTTCCTCTCCTAGTTTGTGGAAATGCGAGACGCCATAATCGGAGACGGCTTTGATTCTTGTTTCCAACGCATAAGAGCAACAAACAGTATACGTTTGTTGGATCCACAATTAACATGAATCAATCTAGTATAAAGGGTTAGATATTAAAGAAACCGTCCAAAGAGCAAACGAAACAATGAACTAATCTATAAGCATGCTATTAATCTAATTATACAGCAACCGGTTATGAAGCGATCAAATCATCCAACTATAAGATATTTACAGTTTCGACACGTAACATGAAAAGCACGAACCAGTTTGATAATAAGCATGTTTTTATAGTACATATCAAATAACCATACTTTTGTCACGTGTTCTAATCAAAGCAGAAAGAACATAGATCAATTAAATCATGATTTGATTAAAACATAAGTGATATTTAGCTGGACACGAAATCGGATCAAGGAGAAACGGAGACATCGTGGATTTAATTTGGAAACAAAGCAAAGTCAAAAACGTTGAAAACAACGTCGATTAAGAATAAGATTTCGTTGAGGTGTTTAGGATTTTAAAATTTTGCTCAACGATTTTGTGCTGATAATGTGTTGTGAAATATATAGAGAGAAGAGATAGAAGGAATTGGTGTTGTAAAAATCATGAACCCACACAGGGTCCACTTCTTTTCTTGTAACCTTTAAATGAAAAACACATTTAAATAAATAAAAACGCATATCTATTGTGAATAGGAATAGATTAATTTTAGATTTTGTAATCGAACGTCTTAAACCGCTTAGTAATGAGCAGTGTTTCCTTTTTTATTTTTCCTTTTTTCAGAGTATTGTTTCCTTTAAACTAGAAGACAATTGTATATATAAATAGATCATTAAAGACACAATCAGGCATTCTAATCAGGTTGTGTCTCGATGAAGGGAAGAAAGGCAAGTGCGATTCGGGGATGTAGTCAACTGAAACTGAAGACGAAGAAGAAGAAGGAGAAGGAGACGGAGGTGTGTGGGCTAGGGTTGTTGCCAGATGATGTGTTTGTGGACTGCCTGACTCGGGTGTCGAGATTGGACCTGGTGGCCTTAGGGATGGTCTCCAGGAGACACAGGTATGGCGCAGAATCCGAAGAACTAACGGACATGAGGCATCGGAGGGGTAGCGTGGACCCATATTTGTACGTATTCTTGCACATGCATCCAGATCCAAGCCCACGGTGGTTCGTCCTCCACCCGGTGCAACGTCAGCTGAAACCGATCTACCCCGGCTTGTATCCGGCCCCGGTAGAAGGATCCTGTTTCGTGAAGACGAAAAGGGGGATCTATACCATGGGCGGGCTCATGAACGGCGAACCCACATCGGAAGTCACTTTCCTGGATTGTATCGAGCACATAGTGTACCAGCTTGCGCCCATGAAGATGGCTCGAAGCGGAGCATCGGCAGTCTTGATAGACGAGAGGATATACGTGTTTGGAGGGTGCTGGGATCAGGATGTCGCTGATTCCTCAAACTGGGTAGAGGTGCATGATATCGGAACCCCAACTTGGGAGTTGTTGCCTGTGTCTACGCCGCCCAAGACGCCCCTCAAAATCAAACAAAGTGTGGTCATGATGGACAAGAACCTTGTTTACGCGGTGGATGAGCAAGGTCAAGTCTTTGTTTTCTCGGCAAGGGAATGTATGTTTGAGGCAGAGGGAAGAACAGAGTCCAAACCAGAAACTAAAAACGATTGGCTTTTAGCTAATTATACATTTCTCTGCCGTGGTATCGGCGGGAAAGTACTGTGGCGGGCGCCAGGTGACTTGGAATGGGAGGAAGTCCAGGGTTTGGAAGAGCTGCAGCAGCAACACCCTGGTTTTGAAATCATCAAACTCTGCGTCTACTCTGCTGAGACGCTGGTCATCTTCTGGGAAGCCCGACCTCAAGGTGTTTTGGAGCTTTGGTATGCCGAGTTTTCCCTGTCCAGCCGCATGGAAGGCGAGGTATGGGTGGTTCGGGGGAGCATTAGGGCGTCCGGTTCTGTCCTCTCAGACTCAGACTCATCATATACTGGCCTTAACTTGTTATGTGCTGCTTCTCTCCATCTCTGATTATTTCTCACATGTTAACGCACCTTGCTTTCCTTTCCTTTTCTTTTGTCTGATTTATATAATTTGCAATTCAGGTCAGAAAGCTTTTTACTCTTTGCATGTGCTCAACCGTATGCATCAATCTTAATCTTCCAAATCTGCTCTCTTTGACTTAGGTTTTTGTGGCCTAGCTTGTTTGGCTTCCACTTTAATCTTGTTCTTCGTTTGTCATGTGTCGATTTGAATGTGATGTTAGGCAAGTTATTTAGGCATTAGCATTGTCGCTTGTTGTTTCAACTAATTGATTGGCATGAACAATTCTTATACATAGATCATTTCCGGTCTACGTGACATTTAATGATTTTGATTAGCAGATTCTATCTTTCATCAACTAATCTTTCTGTCTTTCTTTTTTCTCTCTCTTGATCAGCTGATTATATATCACCTTACTATATATTTGATCGAGTTTTAACTCCTCCCACAAAGTTAAATTGGTTTTTCAATGTCGTATTGTTTAAGATTGTCACAAACTTGACTTTTTTATTGATCAAATATGACAACAAATGCTTCTCCTTAGATCCTTACCCAATGTTAGTTTATGTACCTTGTTGTCTGATTTATATAATTTGCAATTCAGTCAGAAAGCTTTGCTCTTGTGCTCAAGTGTACTTTATAAAGTGTAGTAGATTCGTACGTACGGAAGTACAGAAGTAGTAAGTGTATTTTTAGAGAAGCTTTTCTCTTGTGTTCAAGCTGACGTAAACATACTGAATAGTACGATGTAACTTGTACTTGTACAATGATGAGTCACTCCTGTTATGTGTGTGGAAAACACGCTTGTCAAGCGCGTCGACACCACGCTTTTGCAAAAAGTCACAACCTTGAAATCAGAAAATTTGTTGTAAATTGCAAATGTGGCATTAAACAGTTATTTACACACGAAATAACCAAGACCAAATAATATTTCAGCAAAATAAAATTACTACAATTAAACAGAGAGGTAGAAGAAAAGTTTCTCCACTAAAATATCCCACTTTAGGAAGAAAAACCGTAAAAATTTACACAAAAAAAAACTTGGTCTTGGAGAGAACAGCCGTGTCAGTTTTTACTTTTCTGTTTTTTTTTTGTTAATTATCAGTAACTCTCCTCTTTTATTGTAACTCATCGAAAAAGAAAAAATAATATAATGACATATTTTTCTTCAACCCTAAAGTAGGTAGGCAAGTGAAAATTGTGGCGAGACAGAACAAGTGAAGAGAGAGGAGACAGAGGAGAGAGGTTCTTCCTCTTCCGGACACTGAATACCGATCATCGGTCGCCATCCTCTTCTTCTTCTTCTTCTTCTTCGTGTAAGTTTCTCTGTAAATCTTTTTTTTTTGGTTTTATTCTCTGTAAATCTTTTAGTGTTGTTTACCTACATTCTTCAGAAACGAGGACGAAACAGAGATTTAGATTAAGATCGATTTCCGTTTGAATTCGAACTCTCTGTTCAATTCCCTTATCCTCTGACCCTCTGGAGCTCTTCGATCACACACCTATCTTCATAATTCCTGTAAAAATCAAACATGCAATTCAAACAATGCTTGCTCAATTAAGAAAACCCAGTAGATAGAGAGTTGGAAAAAAAGGGGAAGAGAATAACTTTTAAAAAGGAATCATATTTAGGGAAAAGAGAAGAATGAAATCCAATGGAGTTGCATTGTTGAAATTTGAAATTCAAATGCAGATCAGATTTTTATTTTTTATAATTGATTCAATTTTTTTTTTCATTGTATAGCCTAAGCAAAGAGCAAGATGGGGGACACAGTGATTTTAAGCTCAGACTCAGACTCCGACTCGGATTCAGATGTCAGTGAATCCGAAATGGAAGATTACAGAGACAAAATCTACCTATCTCTCAAAGGTGGAAATCTCAAGGTGAAACTCTCTCCTCAAGCCTTTGCATGTCCTTACTGTCCAAACAAGAAGAAACCGAGCTTTCAGTACAAAGATCTCCTCCAACATGCTTCTGGAGTCGGTAACAGCAATTCCGACAAAAGAACCACCAAGGAGAAAGCAAGCCACCTTGCTCTTGTCAAATACCTCCAAGAAGATCTTGCTGATTCAGCTTCAGAAGCAGAGCCCTCTTCAAAGCGCATGAAAACTGGCAATCCAATTCAAGTTTGTGACCAGGACGAGAAGCTCGTGTATCCTTGGAAAGGTACAAACTTTTACTTACTAAACTCTAAAAAGAAACTCACTTTGTTTAGCTTTCTCTTAAGAAATGAGACCTTTTGAGTAATGGGTTTAACGGATATGTATCCAAAGGTTAACACTTTGTAGTTGTTGATTAAGAAACTCACTTTGTTTAGCTTTCTCTCAAGAAATGAGAACTTTTGAGTAATGGGTTTATTGGTTATGTATCTAAAGGTTAATACTTTGGAGTTGTTGATTGTGTGTTGAAACAGGTATTGTGGTTAACATTCCAACTTCAAAGACGCAAGATGGTCGGTCTGCTGGTGAGAGCGGATCAAAGCTTAGAGATGAGTACATCGACAGAGGATTCAATCCGACTAGAGTTCGTACTCTATGGAATCACTGGGGGTTTTCAGGAACAGCGATGGTTGAGTTTAACAAAGACTGGAATGGACTGAACAAGGCTCTTCTGTTCGACAAGTACTATAGAGTAGATGGTCATGGGAAGAAGGACTGGTTGAAGAAAGACGGTGGTCCAAAGTCAGGGCTTTACGGCTGGATTGCTCGTGCTGATGACTACAACGGTACTACAATCGTCGGAGAGAACCTGAGGAAGACCGGCGATCTCAAGACTGTAGCAGAGTTAAATGAAGAGGAAGCGAGGAAGCAGGAGAAGCTTGTGCAGAATCTGACGAGAATTGCGGAAGAGAAGAAGAAGAACGTGAAGAAGATTGAGGAGCTGGTTTTAGTGAAGTCTGAGGAGCTTAATCATTTGGTGGAAGAGACAGAAAAGACTCTTGAGAAGTATAACAGAGAGCTGAGGGTTATGCGAGAGAGAGGAGAGGCATACGATAACAGGGTCCTTGCTGATCATGAGAAGGTAAAGATACAGATTGGTTTGGAGAGGAAGAAACTCGAAATGAGAGGTTATGAGCTGGCGAAGCGTGAAGCGCACGATGAAACCGAGAGGAAGAAGTTGGCTCAAGATCTTGCAGAGGTATGTATATGGTATATGCATTTTTTTCAATACTGATTCTTTAGGTGAAAGACAGTGCCATAGGAGGCTTAAAGATTAAAGTCTTGTTCTTTATTTCTTGCAGAATGCATCTAAGAATAGTTCTCTTGAACTAGCCACAATGGAACAACAAAAGGCGGACGAAGAAGTTAAAAACTTGGCTGAATCTCAGAGGGTTTGTGTCTTTCCTCTTTCTTGTTCTTCTTAAGGCTTATTTTCATGATCATTGAAAAAGCTGTGTTGAATTGTTGTTATGTGCGTAACAGAGGCAAAAGGAGGAGCTTCATGAGAAGATCATTAGACTAGAAAGGCAAAGAGATCAGAAGCAAGCGATCGAGCTAGAGATCGCGCAGTTGAGAGGAGAGCTAAGTGTGAAGAAGCTCATGGGACTAGACGGTGACGATAAAATCGTGAAAGAAGTGGAAGGCATCTATAGAGGTTTAACTGAGAAGGAAGAAGAACTCGCGGAACTCGACAAGTTTAACCAAACTCTCATCCTTAGAGAGCGCAGAACCAACGATGAGCTTCAAGATGCTCGTAAAGAATTGGTAAACGTACGTATCAAAACCTAAAGTCTTGGTTCTTTTTCATTTTCTATGAGAGTCAGTAGACCTTTGTTGATATAAATCTTGGTTGTGCATTTTGTAGATTATAAAAGAATGGAAAACACCTATCGGTGTCAGGAGAATGGGAGAGCTTCTGGCGAAACCGTTCATGGACGCAATACAGCAGAAGTATTGTGAGCAAGATGTGGAGGACAGAGCAATCGATGCTCTCCAGCTCTGGGAAGGCTATCTCAAAGATCCAGACTGGCATCCATTCAAGCGGGTCAAGCTCGAAAATCGAGAAACAGAAGTGGTAAGAGTCTTAAGACCACCTTTTTTTGGTTCGACATGGTTTGGTCTTAAATCTTTGTGTTGTTGTTGTTGTGGAATGGAATTTAGGAAGTGATAGATGAGAGAGACGAGAAACTGAGAGAGCTTAAGGAAGATTTGGGAGATGGTCCTTACAAGGCTGTGACGACTGCTTTGTTGGAGATAAATGAGTATAATCCAAGTGGAAGGTATATTACACAAGAGCTGTGGAATTTGAAAGAAGATAGGAAGGCTACACTTGAAGAAGGTGTCACTTGTTTGCTTGATCAATGGGAAAAGTGGAGACGCATGCGTGGATTGGCTTAAGGTTTTTACCTTAACCTTAACAAAGAGATGTTTTTTTTTTTTTTTTTTCCATAAACATATTTGCTCATTTAGGGTTTGAATGATGTTTTTGCAGCTGCAGGAGGACGGAAACAGGACAGAATAAAACGCCGAATGCGGTTTGTAATCGCAGAGAAATGTGTTGTTGTTTGATTAGATGAAAAAACTGTAAGGATTATGTTTGATTATGGACACAACTTTGATGTCTTGGCATTGTTTAGATGTTTCATTTTTAACATTCGTAGGTGTTTGACCTGTTTGGACAATGAATAATAAAAATGTATCATAAATCATTGTAATATTTCACAACTACTAGACTGATTAGTCTCCCGTGTCTCGCAAGTCATATTTTCTTGTTGTTTAAAATCTTCATCTTTTGAAAGTCATGTAAACACAAGAATCTTCTTGTAAAGTTATGTTTGTTATCAATATTAGTCGTTCATATAACAACATATGATTTTGATTGTATTTTGCTTTCTTATTCAAAACTATCAGCTACTAAAAAAAAAATATGTATCAGCTACTTGCATGAGATTAAAAGTATCAGCTCCTCGTGGATGTCTTGGCAGCTTGTTAAACTCTCTTCTTCAGGCTCTCCTCGTGGCTTTCTGGGCCGATTGTTGAACTCTTGAGGTTGAGGCAGGAGCTTCTTGCAAGTTGGAGACCCGTGAGAGAGATAGGAGGAGAAACTGGAAGATATGCAATTCCCCAGAGCCCGTAGAGATGTATGAGAGTGAAAAACAGTGATAAGAAACCACAAAACATGGTCATCTCTTCGAAGATCCGAGCCGCAGTACCAATGCCGTTGTGATAGGCAAGGACCATGTGGGAAAAGAAGTAAGCAGATGCCATCTGGCAAGCCAATAGCCCCATCACCCAATGGAAACTTACCTCCGACATCTTCAAGGTACTCAAATCGTTGACCTCGAAATTGCTACGAGTTGGAGCAACAATCATCAGCAGTGAAAACAGATTCGCAGTGATAGAGAGGCGGAAGCAATATCAAAGAAACAGAGTCTCACGAGAACGATTGTTGTTTCCTAAACGAGTCACCAACATCTCACCCATGGCGTGGATCGATGCTTGGATAGTCGCTTGTGTATTCTCCTGCATCGCAGTCAGTAACGATCGGAGCTCAGCGAACTCAGCCGTTGATCCGTCAGATCGTGGGGCTGTGTAGTTGTTGCCGGTGGTTGTTTTCTTCAGGGCCATTGGATTGGTGTGTGAAAACAACGACAAGAACGGTCTGATTCTGATACCAACTGATAGAGAGGCGGAAGCAATATCAAAGAAACAGAGGTGTGAATACTCTTCACAGTGGTGTTAAGCTCTCAACGAATTCAATAATAATCAAAAGTATCTTACAAAGCTTGCGTTCGTTCTCCTTTTATACAAGAGGAGAATATCTAACTAAATCTTCTAATCCTGATCTAAGGAGAGCTCGTCTTTATCCTAACTTAAGTAAAAACCAAAACAAAACCAAATAAAACAATAACTTGTCAAACACGAAAAGGCCGTGGAGTGTTTGACAAGAGCCCGCGAATCATAACGTATGCTGCATCACGCAGCCATGAGAACATGATATGTCGGCGCAAGTTTCCTGAATACAGCTTCCTCCGTTATGATACCGTAACTAAACCCCTTCATCGGCTTCATCTTTTCTTAGAGGAGAAAGGGGAGAAGGAAAACTTGAGAATAGGGAAGAAGCGACGTAAGCTTTCAGGTTTTATTATGATTTCGATAAGGATATTGCAGCCGTGTTCATAACTCACCCTTTAACCTAAGCTTTTAAAGTTTTACTTTTTTCTTTTGGAAATTGGAAGGAGATAGAAATTTCCCTCAATGTATTATTAGTAAAGTTTTACTTTTGTCAAAGATATTCTGTATGATTCATTTAATTTTATCCTTTTTAGCTAACTCACCCTTTAACCTATGTTTTTAGCGGACTTTTGTCAAAGATCTGTATGAATAATTTAATTTAATCATTTTTAACTAATATTTTTCAAGTTATCATATCATAATTGATTTAAAAATGTGTTAAGGTTATGTGCTATTTTCTGGATCTTGTTAATAAATAAATAAAAACTAGTGATGGTAGAGAGAAAGAAAAACCGTTACTTAAATGCTATCTTTATATTATTAATTGAGAAGTACATTCTAATGTTTGGATACAAGAATTAGAGAAACATCTATTTGGATAGAAGAATAAATGGAAACAAAAGTTGTTTGGATATAAGAATAAGAGAAAAATCTATTTGGATAGAAGAATAAATGGAAAAAATTGTTTGGATACAAGAATAATAACTTAAAATAAACCGATGGTTTAGAAAACTTCCGTTTTCCATCTCTTAAAAATCTGCAAAAAAAAAACTTAACATAATCTAACGATAATTCCAAATCAATAGAATATGCTTTTTGGATTTTCGGGTTTTTATAGACAAGTTCGGGTTTGGGTGAAAATCTGAGACATAATTTTATAGAGATATATATAGAGATATAGAAATTGTTCGGGTTTCTTTGAAAATTTCTGTTCGGGTTAGGTTCAATTTTTTTTTCAGTTTAGGGTTTTCCGGATTTTTTAGATTTCTGGTTTTCGGGTTTAGATATATTAAAAAAATTGAGTATTTTAAAATTTTGATTAGGTATTGGGGTCGGGTTCCGGGTGAAAAAGTTTCCAGATTTTTTTTGTTCAGTCAGGGTTTTCGGGATTTTTTTTATTTCGGATTTTCATGTTTAGACCTATTAAAAAAGTTTGGGTTTTTAAATTTTTTGATTAGGGTTTTTTGTCGGGTTCGGATTTAGGGTTTAAATTTTCTACACAAAACAACAACGTCACACCGCACAAACGTGCGGGTACTTTACTAGTTTGAAGATATTACTCAAATTTTATCATTTTTGTTCGTTTACATATGAAAATATTGTGATTACATTTTAAAAACACACCATTTTAACTTTTGAGAATTGGAAATACAAACGAGAAACACATTCCACATTGAGTTTGCAAACATATACTATTTGATATAAAATACAATGTTGGGTTCTGATGATGTTTTTAATGTGTAATACTGTAACGTTTTAGCGTACTGTTTAAACCAAACTCTTAAAAATAACTATCAGAGTTTCGTTAATTAACCTGCTACACTATCTTATGCCAAACAAAGATCAACAACCCTAATTATCCTTGCTTAAGACCAAACTTTTTCAGCTATCGATACAAACTGTTGGCCTCCTCTGTTTCAATTCAACCCATTTTTGCCTCCTTTTCTCAAGAACAATTGTGCTCGCTTTGCCTCGGCTCCATCAGCAACACACAAGTGGATGCTGCATAAGAAGTTCTTCTAGACATTGATTTTGGTGATCAATTTTCTTTGCAGTAGATATCTTTGTCCGTAATTTATATTTATAAACAATGCTAATTTAGCCATATGAATTACTCGTATTTTTTTCAATGATCACAAATTAAATATTAAAAATGTTGTAATATTGGATCTATTTTAGCATGTATTTTTGCTAAAAGACCGATAATAACATACAAAATTAAGAGTTTTTACCCCTTTTTTCCGTTTACATACGAAAATGTTGTGATTACACTTTTAAAACACACCAGTTTAACTTTTGCATATTGGAAACACAAACGGGAAACACATTGCGTTTAGAGTTTGCAAAAAAAAAAAAAATTGATATAAAATAAAATGTTGTGTTCTGCAAAGATCATTGATGTTTTAACGTATGATACCTTAACTTTTGAGCTATCGTTTAATTGTTTAATTTAATCCAAACTCTTAAACAAAGTACTCAGAAATTCGAATTAAGCCGAAAGTATTTGGGCTCATATTTGTTTAGCCCGTAAAGGCCCAACACTACTTTCCGTCGGCTTCAATTTTTTCAGATTTCGAAGAATTTTCCGACGACCACTCTCTCTCTCCTCCTCCTCCGGGAAGCTTCTCTCTCCACAAAATCCCTGAAGAATCCTGATTCCTTAACAATGGCGACCTCGTTAGCTCGAATCTCCAGGAGAGGCATCGCGTATGCCCTGTCTTCGAATCTGATTCGGCGTTCCTTCGCTGCTGAAGCGGTTGTGCTGAAGACAACGGAAGTGCCTAAGCCGATATCGGAGGTGACGCCTTCGCCGGATCGGGTGAAATGGGACTACAGAGGTCAAAGACAGATCATTCCTCTGGGACAGTGGCTACCCAAGGTCGCGGTCGACGCTTACGTGGCACCTAACGTTGTGTTGGCCGGTCAGGTCACCGTCTGGGACGGATCGTCCGTCTGGAACGGTGCCGTTTTGAGGGGAGATCTCAACAAGATCACTCTTGGATTCTGCTCGAATGTCCAGGAACGGTGTGTTGTTCATGCCGCGTGGTCGTCTCCAACAGGTTCTCGTTATCGTCATTTTACGAAATTTGAGCCTCTTTGTGATTCCATTTCGAATTGGCTTTGTGTTTTCAATTAGAGATTGAGTTCTGGATATCCAATTTGTGTAGCTACTGCCTGTTAGCGAAATGGAATCGATGATATTGGAATTTAGGGTTAGAAGGACACATTTTGAGGGGATTATTCACATTTTGCTGAAGTAGTGATGTTATTGTATAAGTAAGCATATTGATTTTGCATAAACCGTGTGGTTCGAGTGGAAATATTCTTAGATCATGAATCCTAAATGATAGTTTCCGAGCATTTTTGGTATAACTAGACAAGAATGCATCGAAATGCGTAGTTCGTTATGTGGTCAGTGATACAGTGAACAGGAAACTCATTGAAGGCTTGTGCTTGATCTTAATATGTTGAAGAGTAGTAATAGGAAGTTGCTTAGATGCTGAGGACAAGTTCTTGAACAATGGCATAGTAAGCATTTATAGTTTTTACACAGAGAATTCTCCACGGAATTGATTACCTACTTTGTAGCCTTATGAGTGTAGCTTCTTGTAGTCTTGCCAAGGTTTGATATTTCATGTCAAAGTTTTAAGTACAAAAGCACCCTTGTTTGATCAGGCTCTAGTTTCACATTGAAATACTCCGAGTTATCTCTGAAGTGTACAAACTGTAGTTGATTATTTGAATCAGCATCTTTCCTGGTCAAAAGCTCTGTAGTGTCAAAACAAATTTTGATATTGGACGTTATTTTCTACTTTCAGGATTACCAGCGGAGACATTGATCGATAGGTACGTGACAGTTGGTGCATACAGTCTCTTAAGATCATGCACCATCGAACCCGAATGCATCATCGGGCAGCACTCGATACTAATGGAAGGTTCGCTGGTGGAGACCCGATCAATCCTGGAAGCTGGCTCTGTTCTCCCACCTGGTAGAAGAATCCCATCTGGTGAACTCTGGGGAGGCAATCCAGCGAGGTTTATCCGAACACTCACCAATGAAGAAACCTTGGAGATCCCGAAACTCGCTGTTGCCATCAACCACCTCAGTGGAGACTACTTCTCTGAGTATTTACCTTACTCAACTGTCTATCTAGAGGTTGAGAAGTTCAAGAAATCCCTTGGGATTGCCGTCTAGAAAAAGCTTTCCTTTTTTCCAGAGTTTTGGCTACTTCCCTCATTTAGAAGCTTCTTCTTCTTCTTCTTTTTGCTTACTACTGGGTTTGGAATCTGTGATCTGAATAAGTAGCTGCGGAACAACGAGAAATTCAAAGCTGTGTGTTTCTTCTAATGTTGTCTTCTCTGTTTGTTTTTTTAAATTCATATCCTTGTGTTCAAACTCTTTGTGAGATGATAATGGTGAAAAGTGAAACCTTCTTTTCTCTTTCGGTACAATGAGAAAATTTAAAAATCTATTCAGTGTTATATTTTTGAGTACGTGAAGTCTAGTTATGTTTGTTTGGGTAGCTTAAGATTTGCTGAGAATGATAAAGAAGCAATTTTCGTATATGTATTCCTTGTATTGCTCATATTCAATAAGTAAATTAGAAGAATCTTATTTGTTTTTAGTTTTTACTCATATTAAATACCTAAAAAGGAATTAGCTGTGAACAAGTACAGTTTGTTGCAGTTATGCCAAGGCTTACGTTACAAAATGCGAGGTTTATACAAATACAAATAATAAGCGGTTTCGTTGTCTTTTCAAACAAACCCGAAAGGAATCGTAGAGGCAAAACAGACACATAATCTTATTTCTATTAGAGGATGTAGAAGATCATAAATATTATTGTGAAATATTGTATATTTAATAGAGATATTTAATATATAAAGATAATTATAGATTTGTATCTATTTAGTTTAGGAAACCTCTTTAGTATATAAACATGTAACCCATTTTTGTATTCCTCATAAGAGCAATATACAATTCTTCCCAAACACTAAAGTGTTCTTCTCTCATCAATCTAATATGGTATCAGAGTAGGTATGCTCAAGAGTTTTGATCAAATGATCAAACTCTCATTTTTCGTTTTTGTTTTAAGCCATAGAGCTTCTTTTAATTTTTCTGTTTAAGCCTAGTGCTTCTCTATTCAAGTTCATCATGAACCTTTGAATCTAAGCCATTGTGTTTCTCATTCAAATTCATCATGAACCTCTGAATCTAAGTCATTGTACTTCTCATTCAAGTCTTCATAGACCTCTGAATCATTTTTCTCATATTAAAGAAAAAAAAAAGTTTCTTGTTTTCTCCACACTTCTTCGTCCCTTGCTAAATTTCTATTCTCTATTATAAAACAAAAAAAAAATGAAAAAAAAAGCCCATGAATCTTTTCGATCTTCTTTTTAACACCATATCTTTCCCTTTTCATCAAAATTGTTTTTTCTTCCAAGCTCTTCTGTCTTCGTTTAATTTTTGTTTTCTTTCTTAAAAAAAAGCAATAAATATGTATCCTCCAAAGAGAATCACTCTCCACCATAAGAGAAGCCCATATACAACATCAAGATTCAAGTCAATCTCAAGCTTGTCATTCCGTTACAGTCCACTACCACCTTGAGATTGAGGGGGCATATTAGAGAATGTAGAAGATCATAAATATTATTGTGAAATATTGTATATTTAATATTTAATATATAAAGATAATTATAGATTTGTATCTATTTAGTTTAGAAAACCTCTTTAGTATATAAACATGTGTAACCCATTCTTGTATTCCTCATGAGAGCAATATACAATTCTTCCCAAACACTAAAGTGTTCTTCTCTCATCAATCTAATAATTTCTTCTCCGACACCTGCAGCTATAAGGAGTGAACGTAATGAAAAATGTGAACGATGCAAAAGTATTGATCTCACTCTTGTCCTTTCTATCTCAACTCCTAATCTATTGGAACTATACTTGGACCCACGTCTTTTTTTTTAATGTTAATTTGATACCAAAAAATTGAGTGTTTACAATACTAAGATAATACACCCTAAAAGATGGATTATTCTTTTTCAAGAAACCCCTATCTCAATCTCAAACAAAATTTATGATGATAAAAATATTTTTGAACATTTCCTGCGGTTTAGTTGGACATTCCGTTTGATGAAGCCTGCCTGACTACATTGTGTTCATCATCTGCTGGAAGAAGAAGACTCTTGTCCTCCCAGTCTCATCCCTAAATCTACTTCCGATTTGAGTTTTTAGTATTGAAGTTTGTATGACTGATGGAAACTCATCGTTTTGGGCTTGATAAATATGATTATGCAGATGATTTTTTTTTATCCTTGTCTCCAAAGATACCTAAGTACTTACACTTTTGGCGGATTGATGCTCGCTTCTTACAAGGTAAAGTTGTAAAGAATGGTCTAGTCACTTGCTAATTACAATTGTCAAACATTAATGAAATTCTTTATTCTCTAGGCTCAACTTCTTCTTTTTGGTTATGCAAACGGTATGGTCGGTTTGTACACGGTTTGTTCATATTCTGATTATGCTCACATTCACACGATTTGTGTAAATACTTGTGTGATTTGTTATTGAAAGCATTATCCTCTCTAGGATGTGTGAGAATCATGAACTATCAAAGTATGTTTGTCATCTAGGGATCAGTTATGTTCCTACTCACCTATAATCGCATTGTTCTATTGGGATCCATATGCATAATGGGAGTGTCAGTGGTCTTAATTTTGGTAGCAATCATTCTCATCATGCATATGAAGAAAATTTAGCCAAGGAAAAAAAAAAGGTTTAGAAAATATTATGTAATTTGGTGGCTATTCACATATGTACTGAACAATATAGTTTATTAGCAGTTTTTATGAATGTCGCTGAAGAACAACATTGTCGTGATGCTAAAGATTTCGTGTCTCTTTGGTAAACAATGGTTTTGGACTTTTCTTATGTAATCACTTTCTCAATTTTTGATGTTTTATCGGGTCCAGATTCTTTATCATCTCCAACTGGTTTGGGATCTTCGCTGAATGACATCTTCACATCAAAGTGTGCATGGCTATCCAGTTAAACAAATGGCATGTGTAGACCCCGTGACTCCAACAAGCAGGTATTTGCCCTTGTAACTGCTATTTTCCAAGTGCTTGTTTAGTCGCAAGTCCAACAAGCAGGTATTTGCCCTTGTAACTGCTATTTTCCAAGTGCTTGTTTAGCTTCTGGTGAATGTTGAACGCTTCAAGAATTTATGATATTACTTATTAGTAGCAAGTCCAAGTTAGAAAAAACACCAACACTGTTGTCCAATTTTCTTGTACAAAATACCTGGAAAAGAGTAGTCTTTGTTCTTTTGTCCAATTTTCTTGTTTAATCAAGCAATCTTCATCTTTCCCTAAACATTCTTGCAGGTTCAGTCTTACAAATTTGTACCACTTGTTTATCCAATTGCTTCAAGGTTGGGCAGTTCTAGAGATGAATCCGGATCTAACAGGTTTCTGGTGGAATGCATTTTTACTTTGCTGCCATTACTTCAGACCATAACTAATCTCTACTATTTACCACTTGGAGTCTGCTCGATCCGGTTTCACTTGTCAGAAAATTGGCCATTGATCATCCTTACCAGCTTCTGGCTTTGGCAAACGCAGTATAAATTCCAATATATCGTGGTTGATATAGGTAAAAAGCTTGAAGCAGAGCATCTCTTGCACGATGTATCACATTATCATGGGACTATGTTTAGACAAGTAAACCTTAATTTCACCTAATACATTATGCAATATGAATTATAGACCAGTTTACCTGGTTACTTAGAATTTGAAATTTGAAGTGCTTTTACCAATTTAAATCATCACAGGCCAAAATAAAAAGCTTTTCATAAACAATAGCAGAGAATTAAACATCTCTTCTAAAAATATTGTATTTTTTTATTGGTTCATGTGTTGTTCGAGCTAATAAGATAATCACTGAAACATTACAGAGACTGAGAGACGACGCATCATTATTAAGCCATACATTATCTGGATCTCTCTTGATCACAGACACACAAAGTCTCAGCTACTTACTTAGTCTCCCTTAATAAACCCTGAGAATTTATGCATGGCTTCAAGAGCCTTATCACAATCAGGTTTCATCAAATGAAAAACATGATCTTCTCCTTCACTCTCTACCAGCTCTACTTCTCCTTTCCAACCGCTCTTCTCCAGCTTCGCCGCGTAACCCCAACCTTGCCTGCAAAGCGCGTCTTTCTCAGCCACCATGACCAGAACCTTGCCGCAACCCAATCCAGACACATCCGACGACTCTGATTGCACCACGTTGAGCCACGGATCATCCGGTCCGTCTTTGTTGTTGGGACTCGCCATCTTCCAAAACGCCTCGATCTTCGACCTCAACAGAACATCCTTGGTCTCCTTCTCGTCGAGTGGTGTTTTCGACCAGAAATATGGATGGACCAAGATCATCCCCGAGATCCCTGATGAAGACTCGTCTAGACCGGAGCTGAGTTTCTCCTTCGCAGCTCTCATCGCCATGTGGTGAGCTATGTTCGCGCCGGCGCTGTCTCCGGCGAGGTAAACTTTGCTGAAATCGGCGTGTTTGTTAAGCCAATCCTCCGAGCCAGATCCGGCGATGTGGGTGAACACCCATTTGAGAGCCGTCCAAGAGTCATCGTACGAGGCCGGGATCGGATGCTCCGGTGCACGCCGGTAATCCACAGAGACCGCTACGCAGTCGGAAGCAGAGACAGCCGCCGTGAGGAAACTGTGGTAAGTCGGGGAGAAAGCGGTTTCGATGACGAATCCTCCGCCGTGAAAGTAGACGAGGAGAGGGAGTTTGTTGTCACCGGTCTCGGCGGCTTTCTCCGGGAGGAAAATGCGGACGGAGAGGTTGTCGTCGGGAGAATAAACGACGTCCTTGGAAACGACGCCGTTTTGAGGGGTTGAGGACGGTGGGACTTTGGCTTCGCCCATGAGGCGTTCGATGCGGCCACTCTTGTAGATTTTGAACACCGGAGAGAAGTCGACGGCGATCTCGGAATCCATGGTTAGTTTGGTTTGGTAAGATTTGTGAGACTTGATGGTGTTTTGGTTTGTGTGTGTGTGTTAGGATTATATTGAGAAATTGTGTGTCTGTAATTCTATTGGAGCTTGGTTTGGTGAGCCACGTGAGATGTGTTGCTGTTACGCACGGAAGTGTTGTTTGCCACACAATTCAAAGTAGAAGTTAAGTTGTTGACTATTTTTATTTACTTCCTTTTTTGAGGAAACAGTTGTTGACTAGTTAAGAGTTAAGACATGTGTACTGTAATCCACGGTGCACCTTCTTTTTCCTCCTTTTTGTTCTTATCTTTCATTTCGACATTCCGTTTTGGATTTTCAGAGTTTCAAACTTTTTATTTGGAAACAAAATCTTAGTTATTAGTTGGAAATTTCGATTTCAGTTTTATTAACTGTGATTTTTTTGGTCCGAAAATCTTAGGCCAATGACAGTATATGACATTCGTAAACTAATGAATTAAATTTAGATTATGATGGTATTCATATTTAAATTTGGTTAACCTCTAATTCAAAGGCCATTACGAGCATCTCCATTAGAGTTAGAGATATTTATTAAGAACTAATATCATTTTCTCACTGAGCTCAAACTTATCAAGAATAAACCAATACACAATAAGAAACCAATCAAACAGAACCAAAGCCCCGTATGATCATTACGCCTATCATGAGGGCAACCATGCCATTCGACTCCACATTCGTAGCAAAACGAGTACCCACAGCAGCTAAAAATAATAAAAAAACATAAAACAATCAATTAGCATAATCAAAGGATGATAATAAATAGCTAGACAATGTAAAATAGTCAGAGAATATACCTGCAAGTTACTTGGCTGTCATCATAATCGAATCCAGTCATGTTCTGGCACTTTTTACATTCAAGCCACGATTTAATCTTCTCCGAGTCGTCTTTGTTCCTTTCTTCCCAGACGGTTCTCAGTTTAGGTTCCAAAAGATTGGCACAGCTTTTAATAGTCAACTTAGAGTTGCAACCGTCATGAGGGCATGTCAACGAACGACCTATGAGTAGACACAACCTTAGGTGTCGTTTCATGCACTCCACGCAGAATTGGTGACGGCATACAGCAACATAAAACATGTGCTCGGCTTCTAAACCATCTTCGAAACAGATACCGCAAGACTCCTTCCGCTTCTTGTGATCATCATCGGAACAGCAAGTCTTCCTCTTGTGAAGATCAGCAGGAGGAGGCATAGATATGCTGATCTCAGAAACCAGTGTTTCCATGGCAAGCTTGTAAGCAATCTGAGTTTGGTTTCCAGTCACTAGAACAGGGTTGCTACATGTCAGTTGTTGTCTGATGCGTTCCACATCTTCCATTAGCAAGCGGATGCTATCTTTCTCAGGCACGGATCTTCCCAAGACCTAACAATATTCAAGAAGAGCAAAACAATCAATTTACCAAGCATACTTATTATTTTATGGAGACAAACAAAACTTACTTACGTACTTACTTACCAGTTCAAAAATCTGATTATGATCGCAGCATATTGAGATATGAGTGATCCCCAAACTCACAGCTTCGGTTAGTCCTCGCTTGAGTGCCTTAAGCTCAACCTCCAAAACTGTAATGGGGGAGTAATGAAGTGATCCTTTCATCTGAAACACGAGTTTATCATCTTTGTCGCATATTGCAACCCCAAATCCTGCCAGAAACCCTCTTGTGTCCTCCCTTACCAAACCCTTGAAGTAAAGTCTGTGAGAGTCAGAATCACTTGAGACTATTCCGGCGGTTTTTGGGCCCCCTTGATGAGTGCCTTCTTTCTCCATGATGTAGCTTGAGGATAGGTTTGCTTTTTTACAAGGTAAGAAATTTCTGATATCTATCAATTCGATCGATGACTTTATATTGGTCCATGACATTTATTTATAAATACAAGTTTTAACATAATTAACTAAAAAAGGAAAAATACTTATTTGTTGTGACCAATTTTCCTAAATTCTATTAACTAAAAAAAGGGAAAAGTACATATTGCTTTTCTGCTACTGTCTTTGTGTTCTATTACACACAGAAACTGAAGTTCGATAAAAGGTGTAAAAAAGTTAGAAAGTGATACAAGTACAACTTAACATTCGTACCATGACGGCAAAAAAAAAAGTTTTATTTAATTTTAGTAAACATTTGGTTTTATTTAATTTTTCTTTTTAGTCAACACTTTGATAGTTTGATTTATGAGGAGTCAATTTTATTACGACCAAACGGAACGTCGTCGTTTTAATTGCACATACAGTTGTATTTCATTTTCATTTTTATGTTTATGTATGTATGTGTACATTTGAGATTTCTTTCTCAGCTTAGCTTTGCCGCGAGCTCTGAATTTGGTGACGAAATCCCGCCTTTGTGTGTCCCTCATTTGGCACCAAACTTTTTTTGAAATCCCCAATTTGGCTTCTTCTCTCTTTGATCTAAGGTCTTTTACTCTCGATTTTCTCCCAAAAAGCTCTGAATTTTAGGTTTTCTTTGTTTCACCCGTCTCGGATTCCACTGTTTCGTAGTCTCGCATGGCGACCGAAACCCTAGAGGCGAATACAACGGTACCGGATCCTCCGCCGAAGGAAGAACACTGTGTTGCCAATTCCGTGAAGGAGACGGCGAAAAAGGAAGCTCCGGCAAGTGACGACGACGCAGACATGGAGGAGAAAGGCGAAGTAGATGATGGAGAAATCGATGAGGAGGAAATCACTGGAAAAGAAGGTAAATCGTCGGAGAAGGAGCCGGTGACACCCGTCAGTGAGAGGCCCACAAGGATTAAGAAGAAAGTGGAGCGTTTCATTTTGCCCACTCCTTCTCGATCCTCAGGGAGCAAGCCTGTGTCAATTGAGCAGGTATAACAATGAAAGTTTTGTTCTTTCCATTTGAATTGAGTTTCTGAGATTGAGAATTGGATGAATTTGTCTCTGAAGTAAAGAATTGGCCTTTAAGTAGTTTTGTGATTTCCTTGGTTGTTTCAGGGTCGTGGAACACAGCTTAAGGAAATTCCAAATGGTATGCATTTACTTATCACCATTATTGATTTTTCTTTACCTAGATAAGTTTCAGTTTTGGTGTTCTCTTTAAGATCTATGCATGATACTTTAATGGGAAGATGATGATCTGTTCTGGTGACATGAAGACCTTAAATCTTAGTTCTTTTGAGGAATTAATGTTTGTTTTATCCGACTTAACTGTTTTCAGTGGCTTATAAACTATCCAAGAGGAAACCTGACGACAATCTCTTCCTACTTCACACCATACTTTTTGGGAAGAAAGGAAAGGTATTTACTATTGCCTCATTTAATGTGTATATGTACTCTCTGTTTATGGGTATATGAATGCTGTTTTGGGCTTTCAATGAATGCTCTCTTTTGCCAGAGTGCATGACTTGATTACTCAAAGGGTTGTGTGCTGTGCAGGCGCAGACGCTGAAGAGAAACATTGGTCAGTTTTCGGGTTTTGTGTGGACAGAGAAAGAGGTAACATTTTTGTTTCCAGGGATGTGTATGATTCGTGATCGGCCTTGTTTTTGAGAGCGGTTGTTTGAATTTTTTCCAGGAGGAGAAGCAAAGAGCAAAAGCAAAGGAGAAGCTTGAGAAATGTATTAAAGAGAAGTTGATTGATTTCTGTGATGTGTTTGACATACCGATTAACAAAAGTAATGTCAAAAAGGTAAAGTAAAAAAGAAGATTTGGTGTATCTATCTATCTATCTGTGTCTGCCTCGATTTTGATTATATTCATGGATCTGTTTCTGATACCTTTCAGGAAGAACTAACTGTAAGAGTGCTTGAGTTTTTGGTGAATCCAAAGGCAACAAGGGATATTGTACTGGCTGATAGTGAAAAGGTACTCTAACTTAGCAGCTGAATCCGATTACTAGTTCTCAGTTGTTTTTTTCTTCTAATTCAATACCCTGTATTGAGATGCTTTGTCTTTCCTTTGAATACATCAAATAGGAATCTAAAAAACGCAAGAAGAGCACACCAAAAAACGTGACTTCTGCAGAGTCATCAGATGTCCCAGCCAAGGTTTGTAATTGTTTAACCTTCCTCTTCTCTGTAATTTGTAACCATTGACCTGATTCGTTTATTTTAGCTGCCGGCTGCTAAAACTAGCTTCTTTTCTAGTTTTGTAATCAAATTTGTTGTTTCTTGAACCATTTTGTCTTTTATGATTCAAATTGCATCCATGCGTTGTACTTGCAGCTACCATTTGGTTCATTTAGTTAGCAGTGTCTTATACCATAATTGTAAAAAAATATAGGGAAAAGTATAGCAAATGCAAGATATGTTTTCAAAACTGTCAATGTGTATTTAATGGTTTTGAAATTTCTATGTATATGTCTACATTTCTGGAAGCAAAGGTTCTGAGATTTTTGATGAATAACGGTGCTCTTAATGTGTCTTTGGGTGACTTGATGAAGAGATTTGCATAACATTCACTGTCTGTGTCTGTTTGATCTTACAGAGAAGAAGGCAGACGAAAGAGTCTGGAAAGAAGCAAGATCAGCCATCTCAAGCTGAAGAAGGGAAGGATGAGGGAGATGTTGGTTCCGAAGGAACTAATGACTCTCATGGAGAAGATGATGCAGCTCCAGAGAAAGCTGAAGAGAAAAAGTCAACCGACAAGAAAAGGTCGTCGAAAAGGACTAAGAAGGAGAAACCAGCACCTCAAGAGGAGAAATCTCTTAAACGTTCTTCAAAATCTGGTGGAAGATCCTCCAAACAAGTCGAGAAACCAACATCATCATCAAGCAAAAAGCAAACAGCTGATAAAGACAGTTCCTCTAAAGAGAAAGGCAAGAAGCAGGCGAGTAAACAAGAGGGAAAGGGATCCAAAGATCAAGGTTTGAAACTTTTTCTCAGCTCTGCTTCAAAAGCTTAAACCTCATATCTATAGTTTAATGAAAATCGCTCTTTTGTTGATTGTGGCGGTACAGAAAAAGCCAGCAAGAAAGGTAAAACAGAACCCACCAGAAAAGAAATGCTTGTAGTGGTGGCTGAAATTCTGAAAGAAGTAGACTTCAATACGGTAAGACTTCAATAGATTGTTATTTTAACTGATTTTATAACCGTTTTACCAAAATCTTTAAACTGAATAGATGCTTTGATTTTGGTTTCCCAAACAGGCAACTCTATCTGATATCCTGCGGAAGCTTGGTATGCTTCTCTTATCTCACTTCATATAAATGTTATCATCATCTTCTATGTTTTGAGGGAATGTTTTTAAATGAAACGTCCCTTTTTCTTTTTTTTCTGCTACTTGCCGCAATATTAGGGAGCCATTTTGGAGTTGATCTAATGCATAGAAAAGCAGAGGTGAAGGATATCATCACAGATGCCATTAATGAGATGAGTGATGATGATGAAGGAGAGGAAAACACAGAGGATGAAAATGAGAAGGAGAAAGAAGAGAAAGAACGAAAGGGTTAGCTTTGTCTGTCTTCTCTTTTCCTCAATTCCGATGTGAAAGAAAGAGAACACACAAAAAAGGGAAAAGCCGAGAAGGTTTAACTTAACCTTCATGTGTGAATCTTTGTTGTATTGTTGTAATCTTTTAGGCTCATGTAGTTTCAGGTTCTGCCTTGTACTTGTGTAACTTAATTTATAACTAATTATTTGTTTGAAAATCGAATGATTGGATATTTTGTGGATTTGAGTTAATTGGGATGTTTCCTTTAAGGATTTTGAAAGATGTAAATAAAACACCATATTCCGAAGAGCTCCAATAACATCATCTGAAAGAATTGACACTTAAATTATCATTACCGACACTTAAATTGTTACATTCCTCTGGTTTGGCTGGTAAAACCATCTTTTGTCAAAAGACATGAGGCACATGCCATAAGAAAGAAAAAAAAACACAAAGTAAAAGTAAACAAAGTTGCGAATCAGCTTTGCTGCATTGTTCTCCATCGCCGGCAAACTCCATCACAAGGTTCGTCGCCATCTTTTCTTCTTCTCGTCTCTGTAACCGTTTCTCTGAATCTAATTTTCTTTTCTTTTTGAAAAGTGAGAAAAGTGAGCGAGAGGGAAAATGAAGCAAGTTGGTGCCGTCTATTCATAGACACAGCCTCCAAGCGATCACACACACACGTTTGTGATATTATTTTGTTGCCTCCTCACGCTCTCGGTTGTTCATCAAGTTGTGCATCATAAGAGCAAATCCATTTTGAGAGACTTCTTATGTTCTAGACTTATATCGATGGAGGATGGCCATGAGGCATTTTTCTAGGATATTTTTGGTGAGGTTGATATGTTTTTCTTTCAGTTCATAGTTACTGTTATCTCATGGCTTGTTTAAGTAGGGTGTTATCCTAGCAAGACAAACTGTTCGTCATGTGCTCCTATACATTTCTAGGAGACTCTCATTATTGGAACAGCCCCCGGAGATTACTCTTGAGGATCTCATCATAACACGACACTTGTTGATATTTGGTCTCAGGGATCCATATATGCTGGCCGAGATAATCAACCAAAAGCCCTTCACAGCTATCCATATCTCCTGATGTCTTCTCTGCGAGACTTGTTCTGTAGATATATAAAAATGCCGTTATTGGGCGTACATGATTTGTTTGTTGTCAGCATGCAACTTACTTCTGATTCATAAATTCATAATGCTGGAGCACAAGTTTCAATGGCAAAGCATATCCCTTTGTAAGAAACAAGTCTATTATTTCTGTCAGTCTAGATGCTGTCCCTTTGCTCTGTTTCTAATTTTTCTTTGCTCCATGCATTGGCCAGGTGTGCTGCTTTTGGTTGTCTAGTTCGGACATGTTGTACTCTCATATGGTTTGAAGCCATCTACACAAACTCTCAGAGGTAATTTGGGAAATTTGTGCTTAATTTCTTGGTATGTGGATCTATGTTGCTTTGCTTCTACAAGAACAGTAGCTAAGAGAATGTTGATTAGTGTTTTTGTTCGTTAATTGTAAACAAGGAGTAGTAATCTTGTACTTTCTGGTAGAATGTTTAAAATTTCCTTATGCCTCCAGTACAGTAAAGACTTCAATAGGTTGAGACTGATAGTTGCTCTTCTTCTTGATTGGTAGTTGCTGTTCCTCTTGATTGGTAGTTGGAATCATGAAACTTAGTGTTTATTTCGAAACCGTATATGTGAAAAAGACAAAGATGATTGATTGAATGAAGGGAAGATAAACTTGTTAGAACTATTGCAGATCTTGGAGGTCCAAAGGCTTTCTCTATCCATTCACGAGCACAAAGTACGTATAAAAGCTTCAAAACCCAAAAAAAAAAAAAAAGACAATTCACATGCTATTCATATGAAATAGGTCTTGGTATTGGTAGTAATGTGTTGGCATGTTGTTGGATGGGGGTGGGATCTAGGTGAAGCGTCATCTGCACCGCCTTGTCGTATCGGTTCCAGTAATAGGAGCCCATGTGACTTTTGCTGACCTTTGAAACTAACAGCAGCCTTTTCGTAGGCAGATCAAGAGCAACGATGCTTTCGGGTAAACACAAGTATATGAGAAGAGGATTGGTCCGATGGCAAGCCAAAGATTCGAGACCAATAATGCGCTCTCTCGTCTGTGGACAATAATCGTGATAGCCTACATCTGAGCGCATTAAATATAACATAAGGTGATGAGACATGTTGTGTTGGGTAGATGTGGAGCGTACATATCCGCGCATGTAGTCTTGCAGCCAAGGAAGATGAGAAACCATGTCTCTGAAGTATGTACGATGATGCTCTTGTTTCCATATGGATCTCTTGTAGTCTGCGAGGGTCCAGAGGGTGAGATGGTGATGACCAGATGGGAAGGGATACAAAACAAGCTGAATGACGCGTAGATGTCCCCTGGAGATGGTTAAGGTCTCGGAAACAACCGCGCCGTCACCATAAGAAGCATGGCGCATCTCTTGGGAACGATGTTTTATCAGGCATGTACGCCTATAGTTAGGGTTGTAGGCCACGACAGGCCCGTCCTCTGCTAACCAATGCAAGGCTCCCTTAAAGGCCAAGGCTTGGAATTGCGTTGGACACCATCCTGTTTGTGACCAGGGCCGATACCGGGCAGAAGCACCGGACCAGTCACCGAGCTCAGAATCAAACACCTCAAATACAATCTTAGTAGCTGTATTGAACATCATCTTGACGACATAGTACATGCCTTTGGACCTTTGCCTTAGTAGCCCAATTGGCAGTTTAGCAGTCACGTGGTAGATTTGAGGAAGACGGGTCCATTGCATCGTCAAGGGATTCACAATGTAAAACTTTTTTGGATTGGATGGTCCTGGTGCTGAATATGAAGCTGGATCTGAAGATTTTATGCACAACAAGACATCTTTGCAGGAGGCTAGAACACCGATGGGAAAATCAAACTCGGGATCAACATAGTTGCTCAAGTCGAATCCTTTCCAACCCTCCAAGCACATGTCGTTTGTGGCACACGCAGGCTCTGTGTTGAGGATCAAAGCCAAGCTAGGGCTATTATGGAGATACGAAGAAGATAACAGGGAGCTCCACCTCTTGCTCACGCTTTTGCAAACGATGACATCTCTTGGATTACGTATCCTCGACAAGATCTCTTGCAACAGTAAGCTCTCAGGTAAATCATCGATCATGTTTGTTTCTCTTGTTACAGCCTCATCGTCTTTGCTTTCGCCTTTTTTCTTTCTTCTTTTTATCCAATGCAAAGCTCTCTTCGATCTCTTTCTTTGTCTCAACGGTGACATCTCTCTCTCTCTCTCCCTCTTCTTACTTTTAGTTTCTTGTTCCAATCGTACAGTAGTTCTCTTTTGAAGCACTTATATAAGAAATATAAATCCTAAAACCCTAATATTGATAGAATATCCTTTCACAAAAAAAAGAAAAGAAAACCTACTAATATTGATCGTTTACTTTTTTAATCGTTCCCTTTAATTCTTACATTTCCAAAATCACTTAGAAAAAGGCTTCCTTTTGTTATTATTTAATATTTTGGTACTGTATTAATTAGATTCGATAAGTACCCGCAATATGCTAGAGTTATATACAGATTTATTTTGTCGTGTATGTATGAAAATGGATGTTATTTTATTTTGCTTTTGATATTATACGGTTAATAAAATCTTTTAAAACTACATGAAAAATTAATAGAAATTAATCGCTTTTGATAATTAATGTAAAGATCTTTTATGTTTGTTTTTGCAGTGTCGTCATATACAGTATTTAAACGTTCCCAATGTTAGCTCTAGTTCGCATCAACTTTGTAGAATAAAGAAAGAGCAAATAATTAATACAAACCCTTTGATTAAGGATGGGAGGACGTCTAGCTTGACCATATTTGTGTTTTTTTTACGCATCAATCTAAGTCTTTATAAAAAAAAACTCCATATATCTTATCGAGACAAAACTTGCATTTTGATACATTCGATCGATGACCATAGCCCATAGGCTAAAGTTTTGATTTATATCTTATGGAATTTTTTTCTACGAGACACGAAAGAAACAGACCGTCAATAAATTTTCTGAAAGATGAGTTTGAGAAAGTGCGTGTGAGGACACTAGTCTTTCTAGATCAGACGTCAAACCAAAGCTATGGCTTCTATATATACATTGTAATTCACAAAGGGGAAAGCTCGTCGGCAAGATAAATTATTTTAAAAAACTAGGTGAAATCATCATGGAGATGTTGCCTAGTGGAGCACCTGCTTTAATACGTTATAGCGTAGACATAAGTGGTGTTTTGCTGTACTGAAACATTTTTATATTTTTCTGAAATGTTTATTATATCGAAGAGAACAAAACTCTGGTAATTCTCACGTTGATCACATTGTAAAGTTTAATCCAATGTATATATATGATCATCTCTTAAAACCAAACAGCAAACGGATAATTGAGTAAAAATGAAAACAAAAGAGAAAATCCGGTTGAATAGCTTTAATAAAGAAGATAACAGGGAGCTCCACCTCTTGCTCACGCTTTTGCAAAAGATGACATCTCTAGGATTACGTATCCTCGACAAGATCTCTTGCAACAGTAAGCTCTCAGGTAAATCATCGATCATGTTTGTTTCTCTTGTTACAACCTCATCGTCTTTGCTTTCGCCTTTTTTCTTTCTTCTTTTTATCCAATACAAAGCTCTCTTCGATCTCTTTCTTTGTCTCAACGGCGGCATCTCTCTCCCTCTTCTTAACTTTAGGTTCTCGTTGATATAAATTCTGAAACCCTAACAATCCCTTGTTCACTTCTTTTTCCACCTTTTTAAAATCTTTTCCTTCAATTCTTCTCGGTATATATATTCCCAAATTCACTTTTAAAAAGGATTTCCTTTTTTTTTTCCTCGCTCTAGTAATTTCATAATCTTGTTGTTAACTAGAGTAGATAAGTATCCGAATTGTGAGATAATTTTTTATATACTAATTTATTTTGTGTTCTCGTGTATTTTGTCGTGTGTAATCTGAGAGTGAGCAAATCGACTCTTCCCCAATCTTAGTGAACAAGAGGATTCTCTTTAAGAGATTCAATTGCGTCATGGTCGGAGTGTCTAACCATCTCGAAAAGTCGGCCTAAGGAAGCTCGAGAAAGCTCATGAAACTAATCAAGCTAATCAATACTGATGAGAAGTTGTTCAAATGAAATTGGATATATAGCTCATTTTCTGTAGACAAATTGTAGCTGACGAGAAGTTTTCCGAAAGAAAGTTCATTTCTAAACAAGTTCATTTTCTGAACAACATCTCACATAGAGCATATAGATCAATTGTAGGAGAATCCAAACAAGTGGATTCATGCTCAACACATACTGTAAATGAAATTGAAATAGCATTGCTCATAGAGCTTTATTATGCAATAACGAAACAGAAAAAGAAGAAAATCACTTTGTCACCTAGATTTCATACTGTTTCGATTGATTCATAAAATGGGGAAACGAGGCTACTATTATAAGCAGCCAAAGTACATAACACTCGTATATATATGAGAAAACACTTGTAGAAACCTTAAACACATTATCACATAGATCATAATATTATAGGCTTGTGGGGTTTGTTCTTGAGGCTTTAATTAAAAAGAGATTTAACATATTTAATACCATTTACCAAACATCTCAATATATTACACTTTGAACTTTATTTCGAAACATGCAAATAAAATTAGAATTATGCAACATAAGCAACGGGAACTATATTGCTTTTGGTAGTAAAACAAACTTTTTGGTGGATGTACGTAAGTAGCTCTCACCTTTACGGAGCAAAAGAGAGATTCCCAAGCCAAGCAAAAGACTACACATCTTAGATGAAATTTCGATTTAAGGTTTCGAAAATGTAAAATGACAAACTATATCTTTTTATAATATCTGAATATTATTAATTCAAAATAAAGATTTTGAAATCCATAGATTATTAAAGAAGTTTTAAAGTTCCACTTGCCACCGTTTCATGTACCCGTGTTCTGTGTTCATCTTCAGTGTTTCTACATGAAGCTTTTACTTTCACGTGATGAAGTTTACAAATCTTAAGTATTAACACACCAATCTCCAATTCTCCATGTATTTGAATTAAATCTCGACACTCCGACTACATAATAATCAAGGAATGAATAATTTGTTAAAATTTGATTCCAAACTTAATTAAAACTCCTCATCATTTAAACGACATACTACCCAACTTTGACTTTTGGGATATAATAATACAGTAAACCCGTTACATCAAATATGACCCTATTGTTATAAATCAACTCTTATCGATCAACTAACCAATTATACTCAATAAATATGTATTTATTCAATCAACCGCATTTGCACCCAAAAAGAAGAAAAAAATCCAATCAACCGTCAAAAGTCTAAAAACTGCATTTAATTCGCCAGAGCTTTAGTGGTCCTTATTGAGCTTTATTCTCCTCTTTATCTATTTAGCTACACAATCTTCACTTGCGAAACAAGACACCTAAACCCTAACCTCTACTTAAACCCCCTAAGTACCCTATCAAGATCAGTCTTGGGTTCTTAACTTGTTTCATTCCATTCAAAATCTTTAGTGGTCGTTTCTAAGCTTTCTCTTTCCCATCTCTTTAGCTATACAGTTGCCACTTGCCACACAAGATATCCCTAGCCCTAATCTCTACTTAACCTTCCCTCGCCTTGTATCTATTCTCCATTAATCCTCACTTTCTCTGCTGGATTCAAAGACATTTAACTAAACGTTTCTCGGTTTCTTCAGCGGAAACTCTTGAAATGGCCGACTCATACGAGTTCTCCGTGACCACGAAAAACCATGTACTGGTCCCTCCGGAGTCAGAAACTCCAAAGGGTCTTTACTATCTTACAAATCTCGATCAAAACATCGCCGTCATGGTCAAAACGTTATATTACTTCAAATCGGAGTCAAGAACCAACCAAGAATCCTACAATGTGATCAAGAAATCTCTCTCTGAGGTTCTTGTTCATTATTATCCAGTCGCCGGAAGGCTGACGATCAGCCCTGAAGGGAAGATCGCCGTGGATTGCACCGGAGAAGGAGTAGTGTTGGTGGAAGCTGAGACTAATGGTGGGATTGAGATGATCAAAGAGGCTATATCTCAGAATAAAATGGAGACGCTCGACAAACTTGTTTACGACGTCACCGGTGCCCGGAATATCCTTGAGATTCCGCCGGTGGTAGCTCAGGTAAAAAGATTTGATCCATCTTTTACTTAATTAATGATTTTTTTATTAAGTACTTACATAACTTTTGAGTTTTGTCGGAGGATGTAGATTGGTTCGAGGTATCCATCATCATATGGTATTTACAACGACACCCATGTAGCATGTTTATAGGCCGCATCAGAGTAGTTAGCAATATCATCGTATTTAATGTTAGGAATAAGTCTAGCCATTCGAGTATTAGTCATCGTATTTAATGTTTCTGTCCAAAATATTGAATAATGGATTTTTAATAGATCGGTTACGAGAATTCAATGTTTGGTATATGTCGAAAACAAGTTATCAAATGATGATTGAAATCTAACTTTTCTTTTAATATGTCAACGTACATGCCTCTATAGTCTATAGTCATGTCTCGTTAATTTGTACATCAAAACAGTACTACAAAATGATGCATGCCTCAAAGATAATTATAGTTATTTTACGTTAAATGTATATCATTATTAAATATTTAATTACTCCTATTTGATTCATTCAAAAATGTTAACGAAATTAAGACAAAACATGTTTGTATTCCTAGGTGACAAATTTGAAATGCGGGGGTTTCGTCCTAGGACTAAGCATGAGTCACAACATGTTCGATGGAGTCGCAGCCGCGGAATTTCTAAACTCGTGGTGTGAGACAGCCAAGGGCCTCCCGTTATCCGTCCCGCCTTTCTTGGACCGCACGATTCTCCGACCAAGAAACCCGCCAAAAATCGAGTTCCCACACAACGAGTTCGACGAGATCGAAGACATATCCGGCACCGGAAAACTCTACAACGACGAAGAGCTCGTCTACAGATCATTCCTCTTCGAACCCGCCAAGCTCGATAAGCTCAAAAACATGGCAAAGGAAGATAATAACAAGGTGACCACGTTTCAAGCCTTAACCGGGTTTCTTTGGAAATCACGGTGTGAGGCGCTACGGTTTAAACCGGACCAACGGGTTAAGCTTCTATTCGCGGCTGATGGACGGTCGAGATTCGTCCCGCCTCTCCCGGTAGGATATTGCGGGAACGGGATTGTGTTGACCGGTTTGGTGACGTCATCGGGAGAATTGGTTGGAAAGCCTCTTTCTCATGCAGCGGGTTTGGTCAAGAGAGTGGTCGATTTGGTTACGGACGGATTCATGAGATCGGCTATGGATTACTTAGAGCTGAACCGGACCCGGCCGAGTCTGACTGCCACGCTTCTGATTACGTCGTGGTCAAAATTGACATTGCATAAACTGGATTTCGGTTGGGGAGAACCGGTTTTCTCTGGACCGGTCGGTTTACCAGGAAGAGAAGTGATTTTGTTCTTGCCGGGTGGGGATGATATGAAGAGCATTAATGTGTTCCTTGGACTTCCTGCTTCAGCTATGGAGGTGTTTGAAGAGCTTATGAAAATTTGAAGAGAATACTAAAAATTCCACAGCCAAAATATATTGTGATTTGTTTCTAAGAATTAATTATTTACAAGTAAAAAGTTGGTACCCTATGATTATTTATACATGTAAGTTTGAACTGTTGTTTGTATCAGTTATTCAATTTCAAATCGTAAAGTAAAGCAGGGTAAGGTCAAAAACTCTAGAACGGAATACGATCTTTTTCTTCTAAAAAATCTATTAAACTGGCTATAACATAAAAATAAAAATCTCTAGACCTAAACTAATGAAATGATAAGACTCTACTAGTCTTCAATGACATTTTAATTTGGTGGAAAACTCCATAATATAAACGAAACCTACAAACTAATTGTTTAAAGGTAAAATATTACGTGGGTTTCAAACTTCAAAGGAGATCAATTACGCAAACTGACCCAAAATGAGTCCACAGGTAAGTTTCAAAGAAGTGATTATAGTTTTGAGAAAGTAGTTTGATGAGAATTTTTGCCTCCTCGAGATATCCTTGTCTCAAGCATTCTGTTTTACACTCTGATCTCAAAATACAATTTCAACATGGCCATGATCAAACCTCTCCCATTAATTTGTAGTAGAGGGGTTTCTCCACAGTTGAATTCTTCATTGTGGCTCGTAGTTGCTCAGTTGTTGCACAATACACATATGATAATCGGAGGTCAATATTCTATTATTTAAATTGAGGATGAAATTAGAGTTAACCAAAACGAAAAGTTTAAATTGTTATCTAGAGATATGCTTATGCTTTCTTTATAAATTTATTGAAGTTTGGAGAGGCTGAAGAATTAGAGTTCGATATGATGGAGGCAGTCTCATTCTCCACGAAATCTCGACCATACAGCATTGCCGCACTAGGAGATAGCAATTTGTTGGCAGTGGTCTTCATCCACCGGGAACTGCTGTTCGGAGACTGACATACATTTCCCATCACAAAATATTTTTTTTTCGTTTTCATGTAGCCGGCCGGGTATAGTTTTGCTTTCACAAGGCAATATTTTCTGATATCACTCTTAATTCTTATCAGTCGTCTATATGTGACCCCTAATAATTTTATGTTTGAAGAGTTTATGAATCTTTGAAAAATATTTGAAGAGAATACTATATATTTCACAACCAAAATATATTGTGATTTTTTTCCTAGGAATTAATTATTTACAAGTCAAAAATTGATACATATGATTAGTTATACATGTAAGTTTGTACTATTGTTTGTATCAGTTATTCAATTTCAAAGTTCTAAGTAATTTCATAATATATATATATGGTCAATTCAAGACATTAAACTTGTTCTTGAGAGAAAAATGTCAAACATTGATCTGAATTTCAGGTTCCGGGTCGGGTCGTAATTTAAAAATTATCGGGTCGGCTCCATCTCAAATGCCAAAATCGTCGCCTTATCTTCTTTGACTCTCTCTCTCTCTCTCTACTATGAGCGCGAGAGAGATAGCAACAATGGCGGCGACGCTTACAGGATCGAGGATTGCGCTTGGATTTTCGTGTTCCGCAAAGATCTCTCAGAGAGCTCCTTCTCCTTCTTCTTCGTCGTCCAGTCGTTGCTGCATCAAGATGTCGGTTTCGGGTAGAAGAGAAGAAGAAGAATTTCACTCTTCAGCAATCCGAGGAAGCTTTCAATACTGCCAAGGTAGGATCTTCAAAATTTGACTAGCTCGATTACGCCTTTCATGTTCTGATTCATTCATGGAGGTGTAAATTCACCTGTACGAGCCTTCAAGTCAGTCGAAAACGAATACATTGACTACGTTGGATCTTGGGGACCAACCATAAATCATATTTGGTCATGCCGATGATGAGGTTTGTTTCATTTGAAACCTTTCCAAATTCTGATGATTTCTTAGTACTTGATGAATGGTGAGCGAGCCTATTATCTACTGTCTAGCTTTGGGTGAGACGATGAAGAAAGGAACAAGCTTTGGTGCTCCTTGTCTCTTAGAGAATGTTCTTGCAGAGACTGTGATTTCAGCTGTTCCAAGCATCGAAATGGTTCGGTTCGTCAACTCCGGTACTGAAGCATGTATGGGAGTGCTCCGTCTCGCTCGTGCTTTCACAGGGAAGCAAAAGTTCATCAAGTTCGAAGGATGTTACCACGGCCACGACAACTCTTTCCTCGTCAAAGCAGGTAGTGGCGTAGCCACTTTTATGTCTACATGACTCGCCCGGTGTCCCTAAATCAGCTACTTCAGACACTCTAACAGCTCCGCACAACGATCTCGCTGCGGTTGAGAAGCTGTTCGAGGCAAACAGAGGCGAGATGGCTGCCATCATTGTCGAACCTGTTGTTGGTAACTCCGGTTTCATCACACCTAAACCAGAGTTTCTCGATGGAATTCGCCGGATTAGTATTTTCGACGAAGTCATGACTGGTTGTGGTTTGGCTTATGGTGGAGCTCAAGAGTACTTTGGCATCACGCCTGATTTAGCAACTCTTGGCAAGAACATCGGTGGTGGTCATATAAAAAGGTTGATTCAGATCTCAAAGCAATCTTACAAAAAATTAATCTGTGGTAAGAAGTGTCGTATATGGAACAAAGCGAAAAGCTAAGCCAACATTGCCATTCAATGTAATATCACAAGGTCGAGATATACACAAACAAAAAAAAAAGGCTCAAGATGAAACATAGCTGCTACATGAATTACACAGTAATGCAAACACCTCTGGCAATGTCCTGAGACTAAGCTGTTGAGCATCGCTGTTCAAGATCAATGACGTTTTGTGATGAACTTTGATCAGTAATGTCAATGAGTGCAGAGACTCCATTCTCCATGATACCTCCCAACTCCTCACAGCTATAGAGAAAAAAAAAGATGAAGAAAAGTAGAGATTAGATCAAAGTCAGAAGTTCCCATCTCATGTCCATGTTCTGAGTTTTGACGCTAAAAACAGCCAAAATCCACAATCACAACAACACCAATTTGATAAATTTAATCATCACTCTAATGATTCCTCTCACTGAAACAATCTAATTATGCTCTAGTTGAAGCTCCTCATCAGTTTTCCGTTCCGATATTGGCTTTATTGTTTCAAACGGTGTCAAAATAGATTACGAATCATCTCAAGGTACATGATGCACTTACAAGTGGATTTTTCTGAAGATACGAGCCAAGTTCAAGGAGGAGTTGCGCATGTGCTGAATAAAAGGAGACGAACTTCTAGAACTGGTTGCAGCCTAATTGAATTGTTTCCCTCTAACATCCCCATGTGGCATGAGTTGCCCGTGGGACTCCAAATCACCTCTAAGGCTCTAACTAACTGATTGGATTGAGGTCCGTGGATTATCCAAATCTAGTGCTTTTATAAACTGCAGCCCCAACAAACTTGGAATCATCATCTCTTTCCCATTTTCAAATTTTCAAAAAATCTCTCATCTCTCTTTCTCTCATGGCTACTCTAGTGAGAATCTCAACCTCCTTTGCTTGAGGAAACATTTACCAGCTTACCATTAGCACCACAGCACAAGTTTTCACCGTGACTGTTGCCAAAAGCTCAAATGCGGCATCTCACTGGATTCAGAACACGGAGACCAATCACCGAGAGGTGATGATCAATAACAAGCTCAGTGCAGGCCTCTCAGCTCAGTGGACCTGGGAATCTGCCGATCTTCTCCAGCTGTGCGTGGGAACAAGAGTCCGACCGATTCTTATAAATGTTTTTTAGGTACAATTTGATTATAACAAATCAAGAGAAATGCGCAGTTCCACAAACCATATCATGATCACGGTGTTAATCCATTCCATCTTTTTGTATATTGTGCAATAAGTGAGCAAGTTTGAGCTACAATAACAATGAAGAGCTCACTCGTGGAGATCGAACACGTCTCCTACAAATTACATGAATGATAGAAAGGTGAGAGAGGTTTGATCTAGTCGATAGCTTAAATAGTTTTTCGTTAAATTGGAAAATAGGAAATATACAAATCCCCAATAGGTAATTACATAAAATTTAAAAAGAAGTAGAGAAATTTAATTCCAGAAAAGAACATATACACAACATTCGAAAATGTGTATATATATAATTCCGGGAAATTAATTATCTACTTCGCACACGCTTGATAAACTCAGAAAAATACAACAGCGTAAGACCATAAAGGAGCACTCCACACTCCTTGTCTTTATAACGGTCCTCTATAATTTAAAATCAAAATAATATATTAATCACTGAAATTAGATACTAATTAATTATTTCAGTTTATGTATATACATTTAATTTACTAATCAAAGTACTTACGATTATGCTCAAAGGAGCAGAGAAAACACAAACAGAGAATCCGACACAGATTCCTCCGATGATCTTTGCACGTGTGGTTCCTTTTACTAGGAATTGGCAAAGAAGGAGAATCAGACAGAATCCTCCAGAGTTCATAAGAAGTAACAACTTCACTGTCAACATCTGCATCCACTAATTAAGAAGTGTTTTAGTTGGCGATTTTATTTGATGATGTAAATAAACGGTTCTATATGAATTATCAATTATGGGCTTTTAGGTACCCGGGCTTTCTTGGGGGCGAAGGCAAGGAAGATGGAGATGTAGATGGTTTCGATGAAACAGCCAAAGGCGTTGATTGGACGAGAAGGAAAACATCTTTCTTCTGTGTTGCGTAGTAAAGCCAAAGCGTCGCACTGAATAGCGCCACAACGTAAGGAAGAGACTGAAATCCTTCCGTTGTCTTCTTGTAACACCCGTATTCCTCATTTTCCAAACACCTTATCTTAAAAACCATTCTTATTAAAGATCTTAAAATCATTCAACAAAATCTCATGAAAACCAACTAATAAAATGAAAACATTTGTTGCATAAAATAAATAAAACCCGGTTCCAAAATAACACCAAGAAACAAGACAAGTTTGAGCAACTATTCGAGGTCTCCATCCACACCTGAAAAAGGAAAAAGAGGAAAGGGGGGATGAGTAATTAATTACTCAATGAGGAGATCATTTCTGCCCACCGAAACATAATAAACATTTCTACCATTATACCACAATCAACAAAACATATAAACCTAGACACTAGCAATCATATACCCCTGCTATAATGCAAGGTAACATTCATCCTTAGGTTCAGTCATCCTCGTGATAACTCATAACCTCATGCTTGGAGGCAGCCGTAGCTCATACACTCCCATACCGGGCTCGTCAGCCGTTCGTGACCTGCATGTAACCCGTCGGCCCATCACAGTCCAGTTTCGAGGGAAGACCATGGCCCATAGCTCGATTCTTCCTCTCTTATTCATACATACATCATATCATATCATACCATAACATTTCATCATATCATCACACTATATCATATCATTTCATTCCATAAATATCAAACATATCATCACAGAACCTATATCTAGCAATCAGATCTAAAGCCTATATGCCATGCATCTTGCAATATAATAGAAGGAATATAAATCATGTTTCCACAGATCACACCCTCACCTGAATTTGGCTGAAAACGGATTGAGACTGTTGTAGGAAAACTGAACCTGAAACTTGCAGAACACGGAAACAGATTCAGGTTTGAACAGAAACAAACTTTCGTGTCCAACAAGCTAGATACTTGGAAGCGGGAGTATACCTCCTATGGTACCAACTTCGACTCCCTTGCCTTCTCTGACACTCCCTCTATCTGGATCTACCACCAATCTGGTCTGAATCGTTCGGGTTCGACCGGAATCCTTCCCCCAAAACCTCAAGCAGAAACTGGAAGCAAAACTGGAAAACTGAGATTTCTCTGAAACGGAACAGAGGATTTACGTAAACTTTAGAGCTGATTTGCGGATGAAGTATACCTCTGATTGGACCACTGAAAGAAGATCTGGAAACGTGGGTTCGAGATCTACAAAACCGTATGTAGATCGACTCCTGGTGACTTACGGATCGTCGGGAAATCGATTCACAAAACCTCAACTAGAATCTGGAAAAATAACTCTGAAACCTTAGAACAGATCCGACGTCCAAAACGAAATAACCATAACTCTCTGAATATAAATCGGATTACCGTGATCTCGGATGGTTTAGAAAGCTGAGAAGACGATCTTTCCGATGATACCAAAATCAGCTTCTGAGACCTCACGAAACAGCTGGAAATCTCCCCGTAAGTTCCGTTTCTGATTCTGATTTTTTTCACCCTTCTCCTTCCTCACTTCTCCACAGTTTCGTATCTCCTTCTCCAATATCAATCAAACACTAGCACGATTTTTGATGGAGCAAACTGAGAATGCGGCTGCTGCTTTAGGGTTCACAAGCTCTCTCACGTTTCTTTTTAAAGCTGAAGATACTTGTATATACATATGTACAATTTTTGTTTTGGGTTCTTATTGGGCTTTGGCTAACCCAAAACGGGTCTCACAATTCTCCCCCACTTCTAGAGAATTCGTCCCTGAATTCAAAACTCCACTATCCTCAGTAAAGAGTTCAGGATAATCTTGTCTCATGTGTTGTTCAGTCTCCCATGTTACCTCCTGAATACCATCTCTTTCCCAACATATTTGAACTGTTCGAGCTTTCTTTCCCATTGAGCCACCATCTCTACGGCTTAGGATTGACACAGGTCTTCCCTTAACTGACAAATCTAGCTCCAAGTCTTTAGGTGGCTGTGGTATGATCAACTCCTTTTCTGCAACCACTTTCCGTAATACAGAGACATGAAACACATCGTGAAATGCTTCTAGTTCTGCTGGTAGTTCTAGACGATAAGCCACAGCTCCAATTCTCTCAATGATAAGATAAGGTTCCATGTATCTTGGCTTAAGTTTTCCTCTCTTAGCCCACTTGTTCAGCCCTTGAACATTCTCATTTTCAGATACACCAAGTCTCCAACTGCAAACTCTAAATCCTTTCTCCTTTTATCTGCATAACTTTTTTGACGATCATGAGCTTCTCTTAATTTTCCCTTGAGGATCTCTACTTGTTCAGTTGTCTCTTGAATTATTGCAGGTTCTGTGTCCTGGCGCTCCCCCACTTCTGTCCAACAAAGAGGTGTGCGACAAGGTCGTCCATAAAGAGCCTCGAACGGTGACATACCTAGGCTTGCATGATAGCTGTTATTGTAAGCAAACTCTGCTAAAGGTAAATGTCTCTCCCAACGTCCTCCCCAATCCAACATGCACGCCCTCAACATATCCTCCAGTGTCTGTATAGTACGCTCAGATTGTCCATCTGTCTGAGGATGATATGCTGTGCTCAAATTAACCTTAGTTCCCATAGCCTTCTGGAAAGCCTTCCAGAACAATGAAGTGAACTTTGAATCTCTATCTGAAATAATGCTTGCAGGAACTCCATGTAACCTTACAATCTCATCCATGTACATCTGAGCTAGGCGATCTGCACCATCTGTCTTTTTAACTGCTAGAAAATGAGCTGACTTAGTAAGTCTATCCACAATCACCCAAATCGCATCTTTCTTACTCAGAGTTCTTGGAAGTCCAGTGACAAAATCCATTGTTACCATATCCCATTTCCATTCTGGCAGTGGCAAACTTTGTAGTAACCCACTTGGAACTCTATGTTCTGCTTTCACTAGCTGGCATGTCGTGCACTTTGCTACCCATTCTCCAACATCTCGTTTCATTCCATTCCAGTGATAATACCTTTTCAGATCCCGATACATTTTTGTAGAACCAGGGTGAATGGAAAAACGTGACTGATGTGCTTGCTTCAAAATCTCTCCCTTCAGACCTTTATCATCTGGAACACACACTCTACCTCTGAAAACAAGTGTCCCATTTTTCGTAGTGTGATAGCCTGCTACTTCACTCTTCACTGTGTTCTGTAAACCAGTGTCTCCATTCTGAGCTTCACGAATTCTCCAAAGTAAATATGCTTGGTTTACTGCTTCTAATCCCATAACTCCTTCCTCTACAGATGCAGAACAAATACTCAAACTTGCCAATGTTGAAACGAGCTCTTCTACTTCTTTTATTCTGGACACATCATTCCTTCTCCTACTTAGTGCATCTGCTACCTGATTAGCTTTTCTTGGATAATAAGCAATATCCATATCATAATCTGCTAACAGCTCCATCCATCTTCGCTGCCTCAAGTTGAGATCTGACTGAGTGAAGACATACTTTAAACTCTTATGATCTGTAAACACTTGTACTTTCTCTCCATATAAGTAGGCTCTCCAAACCTTTAAAGCAAAGACCACAGATGCTAACTCCAGGTCATGAGTTGGATAATTAACCTCATGCTTACGCAATTGTCTAGATGCATAGGCAATGACTTTTTCTTCTTGCATAAGTACACATCCTAGACCAGTTCCTGATGCATCTGTATAGACCACATATAATACCCCAGCCTTAGGTAATACCAATATAGGTGCCTGAGTCAAGTGCTTCTTCAGTTCCTCAAAACTCTTTTCACACTCTTCTGACCAAACAAACTTTGCCTCCTTACAGGTAAGTTGTGTCAAAGGCTTCGCTAGACTTGCAAATCCTTTTACAAACTTTCTGTAGTATCCAGCTAGGCCAAGAAAACTACGAATTTCAGAAGCATTCTTCGGTCTAGGCCATTGAGTGATAGTTGTTATCTTCTCTGGATCTACTGCAACTCCTGCTTCTGAAACAATGTGACCCAAAAACCCAATCTTCTTCTGCCAAAAACTGCATTTGGATAACTTTGCAAAAAGTTTTTGATCCCTCAATGTCTGTAACACTATCCTCAAATGCTCAGCATGCTCTTCCTTACTCCTTGAGTAGATTAAGATATCATCAATGAACACTATGACGAATTTGTCTAGATATTCTCTAAACACATTATTCATCAACTTCATAAAGGCTGCTGGTGCATTAGTCAATCCAAATGGCATCACTACAAACTCATAATGTCCATAACGTGTTCTGAATGTTGTTTTCCTCACATCACCTTCAGCTATAGCAATCTGATGATACCCTGATGCCAAATCTATCTTTGAGAACCACGATGCTCCTTGTAACTGATCTAGCAACTCATCAATCCTAGGCAAAGGATACTTATTCTTGATAGTAACCTTATTGAGCCCTCGATAATCTATGCAGAGTCTGAAACTACCATCTTTCTTCTTCACAAACAAAACAGGAGCTCCCCATGGTGAACTACTTGGCCTCACAAACCCTTTATCTGTAAGATCCTCCAGTTGTTTCTTTAGCTCAGCCATTTCTGATGGGGCTAAACGATAAGGTGCTCTGGATACTGAAGCAGTCCCTGGCTCCAACTCAATAGTAAATGCATCTCCTCTTTCTGGTGGTGGTCCTGTGAGTGGTTCAAAAACATCTGCATATTCTGCTGCTACAGAAATTTCTTCCAAATCTATCCCCATAGGTCCTCCCTCAATAGAAATGGTTGCCAAATAAACTTCTGGTCCTTTCCACTTCATTTCTTCTACATGAGCCATCGAAATAACAGGAATTCTGCCCAAAGCTCTAACTCCCTGGAACACCAAATTCCTTTCTGCTTGAGTGAAATCAACACGCCTCCTAGTACAATCCAATATAGCCTTATGTTGCGTCAACCAATCCATGCCTATAATTACTTCATAATGTTTCAGCTCCAGCTCGATGAAATCTCCAAGCAGCCCCTCTTTTTCTATCACTACTGGAACATCTCGATATGTTCTTGAGGACCCAATTACTTCTGTGCCAGCAGTGTCGATCCTTCTCTGCCTATCTTCAAACCCAATTCTCGAATCCCAGCATCTAGCCACCTCAGGACTGACAAAACAATGTGTCGCTCCTGTGTCGAATAATGTGTAGGCTGTAATTCCTCCAACAAGGACAGACCCTACACAACTTTTTCTCTAAGCAGTTCCCAAGCATAAAGGAACCAATGCTACTACTATATGCTAAAAGAAATAACATAAAAGTCTTTGGATAGAAGACGTACCCACAATCGGTTCTGCACCAATCTGATCTGCTGCTGCAAACACTCGAGGTCCAACAGCCTGTCTCTTGGGAGGTGGTGGCAGGATCCCTCTGTTCTGGTTCCCTTGTTGTCCTACAGGCAGCTGCGCTGTGCACTCTCGCGCAAAATGACCTCTCTGACCACACCTTCTACAGTTATTGACTCCTCTTGGACAGTTCTGTTGGGTATGTCCTGGCTGTCCACACTGATAACAATTGTTGGTTTTGGCCCAACAAACTCCACCATGTCTCTTACCACAAGTAGCACACTCTGCAAAACGGTTCTGGCCTTGTCTTGCATCACGGTTATCCCAAGTACGCTTCTGAGACTCCACAACCTTTGTCGCCTTTGCCTGAGTGCTCTTGAGGTGTTTAACTTCCTCCTCAAGCCCAGTCTCCATCATGGCCGCCTTCTCAACCAACTCAATCATACTACCATAGTCTCGAACTGAACAATGGTTGCGGATGTCTGGCCTCAACCCTCTCATGAATCTACGAATCAACTTCTGTTCTCCAGGCTCTCTCCCTGCAAACCTACTAAGGCGGTTGAACTCCCTCTCATAATCCCTAACAGTCATGGACCCCTGGCGAAGCTCCAAGTATGAACACTCCATAGTATCCATTGCTTCTTGTGGAAAGTACTTCCTGTTGAACTCATCTCTGAAAGTCTCCCAAGGTATCTCATATCCAGCAGGCATGCTCCGCATCACACCCTCCCACCAAATGTGTGCCTCTCCACGCAAGAAATGAACTGCAAGCCCTTTCTTGAATTCAACTGGACACCTGGTTGACTCAAAATTCCTCTCTAACAGCTTCCTCCAATCATCAGCCTCCACTGGGTTATTCCCACCATTGAAAATCTCTGTACCCAAATCTGTCATGAGTCTCAGTGTCTCCCAGTATGTGAGACCAATTCCTGGTGCTGGTGCCCCTGCTGGAGGTGGTGGTGGATGTTGAACATGTGGTGCAGCTGGTGGTAGGTGATGGCCATGTGGTGCAGCATTTGGTTGGCCTACTGCTGGTGCTGCTTGTCTCTGCAAAATCTCTCTCATCATATCCCGAAGCTCTTGCACCTCTGCACGTGTTATTGCAGGTTCTGCTCCACCTTGTGGTTGTCCTTGCCCAGCAGCTCGTGCATTTACATTTGCATTTGCTACACGCGTTGTCTTCTTTGGTGGCATTCTGAAAAAGAAACAATACATGAGATCAATATAAACATGTACTTAAACAGAAACTCAAATATTGCTCAAGTCTTGTTTCTTCTGGTGTCCCATTTTATTTTGAAAACTGTTAATTTTCGTATTAAAAGAAAAAAAACCCCCTCTTTTTTTTTTTTGTTTTTTTTTTTTTTTTTTTGTTTTTTTTTTTTAAAAACGTTTTTAAATCATTTTCCCTGAAAACCGAGCTTCCCGGGTCAGAACCGGTTTAGCTTTAACCTGTCTCTGATACCAATTTGTAACACCCGTATTCCTCATTTTCCAAACACCTTATCTTAAAAACCATTCTTATTAAAGATCTTAAAATCATTCAACAAAATCTCATGAAAACCAACTAATAAAATGAAAACATTTGTTGCATAAAATAAATAAAACCCGGTTCCAAAATAACACCAAGAAACAAGACAAGTTTGAGCAACTATTCGAGGTCTCCATCCACACCTGAAAAAGGAAAAAGAGGAAAGGGGGGATGAGTAATTAATTACTCAATGAGGAGATCATTTCTGCCCACCGAAACATAATAAACATTTCTACCATTATACCACAATCAACAAAACATATAAACCTAGACACTAGCAATCATATACCCCTGCTATAATGCAAGGTAACATTCATCCTTAGGTTCAGTCATCCTCGTGATAACTCATAACCTCATGCTTGGAGGCAGCCGTAGCTCATACACTCCCATACCGGGCTCGTCAGCCGTTCGTGACCTGCATGTAACCCGTCGGCCCATCACAGTCCAGTTTCGAGGGAAGACCATGGCCCATAGCTCGATTCTTCCTCTCTTATTCATACATACATCATATCATATCATACCATAACATTTCATCATATCATCACACTATATCATATCATTTCATTCCATAAATATCAAACATATCATCACAGAACCTATATCTAGCAATCAGATCTAAAGCCTATATGCCATGCATCTTGCAATATAATAGAAGGAATATAAATCATGTTTCCACAGATCACACCCTCACCTGAATTTGGCTGAAAACGGATTGAGACTGTTGTAGGAAAACTGAACCTGAAACTTGCAGAACACGGAAACAGATTCAGGTTTGAACAGAAACAAACTTTCGTGTCCAACAAGCTAGATACTTGGAAGCGGGAGTATACCTCCTATGGTACCAACTTCGACTCCCTTGCCTTCTCTGACACTCCCTCTATCTGGATCTACCACCAATCTGGTCTGAATCGTTCGGGTTCGACCGGAATCCTTCCCCCAAAACCTCAAGCAGAAACTGGAAGCAAAACTGGAAAACTGAGATTTCTCTGAAACGGAACAGAGGATTTACGTAAACTTTAGAGCTGATTTGCGGATGAAGTATACCTCTGATTGGACCACTGAAAGAAGATCTGGAAACGTGGGTTCGAGATCTACAAAACCGTATGTAGATCGACTCCTGGTGACTTACGGATCGTCGGGAAATCGATTCACAAAACCTCAACTAGAATCTGGAAAAATAACTCTGAAACCTTAGAACAGATCCGACGTCCAAAACGAAATAACCATAACTCTCTGAATATAAATCGGATTACCGTGATCTCGGATGGTTTAGAAAGCTGAGAAGACGATCTTTCCGATGATACCAAAATCAGCTTCTGAGACCTCACGAAACAGCTGGAAATCTCCCCGTAAGTTCCGTTTCTGATTCTGATTTTTTCACCCTTCTCCTTCCTCACTTCTCCACAGTTTCGTATCTCCTTCTCCAATATCAATCAAACACTAGCACGATTTTTGATGGATCAAACTGAGAATGCGGCTGCTGCTTTAGGGTTCACAAGCTCTCTCACGTTTCTTTTTAAAGCTGAAGATACTTGTATATACATATGTACAATTTTTGTTTTGGGTTCTTATTGGGCTTTGGCTAACCCAAAACGGGTCTCACACTTCTTCTTCCAAACCCTATAGAACCTTGGCCTGCATCCATGTGTGATGTGTGTTAGCATATATGTATATATTTGCTCGTCTTTGACATATGGAATTATGAAGAGAGCAAGTTGAGTACGTGATAAACACAAATAACCACTTCTGAGATTAACGAATAAAATGGAGACGCTCGACAAACTTGTTTACGACGTTACCGGTGCCCGGAATATACTTGAGATTCCGCCGGTGGTAGTTCAGGTAAAATTTTGATCCATATTTTACTTAGCAACCTGGTGGTAGTTATTTTATTCATAACTTTTGAGTTTTGTCGGAGGATGTAGATTGGTTCGAGGTATCCATCATCATATTTACAACGACATTGACATGTTTATAGGCAGCCACCAGAGTAGCTAGTAATCATCGTATTTAATGTTAGGAATAAGTCTAGCCATTCGAGTATTAGTCACTGTATTTAATGTTTCGAAATATTGAATAATGGGATTTAAGTAGATCGGTTACGAGAATTCAGTGTTTGGTATAAGTCAGTGTACCAAATGAAAACCAGCTATCAAATGGTTGAACTGTTGTTTGTATCAGTTATTTCATAAAATATATATGGACAATGCAAGACATTAAGCTCGTTCTTGAGAGAAAAATGTGTGGAAGGAAAACAGGGCATGGAATGTAAGGAGGTTACATAAGCGGGATGTTCGTTTTCTTCTTTACGGAAGGACCTGTCTACGATTTCTCGGACGAGAAGAAGAGTGATACAGAGAAGTTTGGGAAGTTTTTCACTGTTGTTTGAAACAGTTATTCAATTTCAAATTTTTATGTAATTTCAGAAAATATATATGGTCCAAATATACAGTAATGCAAATACCTCTGGGAATGTCCTGAGAATAAGCTGTTGAAGTGTTGAGCATCGTTGTTCATATTACCATCATGAGAAGAATCCTTGTCAAGATGAATGACGTTTTGTGATGAACTTTGATCAGTAATGTCAGTGAGTGCAGAGACTCCATTCTCCATGATACCTCTCAACTCCTCACAGCTATAGAGAAAAAAAGATGAAGAAATGTAGAGATTAGATCAAAGTCAGAAGTTCCCATCTCATGTCCATGTCTGAGTTTGACGCTAAAAACAGCCAGGAAACCCGAGAGAGGATGTAAACTGATTATCCACAATCACAACAACACCAATTTGATAAATCTAATCACCACTCTAATGATTTCTCTCACTGAAACGACAGTCACAACACATAACCAGTAACAAGGGTTTCCTGTCAAGCCCTAAAACCAGTCCCAACACCCTCAGACACACGTCTCCGCACATGCTTAGTCTCATGTTTATACAATCTTTACTTGTACAGAAACAACCCTAATTATGCTCTAGTTGAAGCCTCTCCTGTGTTCGTGATTAACACTAATCAGTTTTCCATTCCGATATTGGCTTTATTGTTTCAAACGGTTTCAACATAGATTAAGAATCGTCTCAAGGTACATGATGCACTTACGGATGGCTTTTTCTGAAAATACGAGCCAAGTTCAAGGAGGTCGCGTGTGCTCAATAAAAGGAGACAGACTTCTTCCTGCATAGAACTGGTTGCAGTCTATCAATCACAAAGATCAATGTAAATATTCAGAGAATTGAATTGTTTCCCTCTAAAACCTTGGTGGATTGTACGATCAGACCTTGTCTAAATGTTATATCTATTTTCAATCGCAACATTCCTGTAAAGATCAAAAGCCAGAAGCAAACTAACTCCATATTTAGTCATCCAAAGTAGATTCGCACCTCAAAATCCAACGTGGCATGACTTGCCCAAATCCAGTGCGGACTCCAAATTTCTTATACTCACCTATAATTGATTAGAGAAATTTCTTAGGCGACTACAATAACAAACACAAATAGGTAATTATTTTTCATCTTCAGTCTCTTAACACAGTTAGCAAAAATTTGTAGTAGTTTGGATACATTTTTATAAAAATGCACAAAATATACACACCACTCTACATAATACAACAAATACAACAAATAGAGATTGAAAAAAGCGAATCTATTATGAGCGACAATGCTTTCCGGTAAACAGTACAAGTATATTGAGAAGAGGATTGGTGAGATGGCTGTGCTCTCCAGGCGATGGAACTCGACGGAACTGACACTCAGAGACTCACCATGTTTCCCTTTTTTTTTTTATCTCTGGATTCCGATTCTAGATCTGACGAGATGAACAAAACCCTTGCTCTGGTTACTTTCTATGGCGAAATTTTAAAAATAACCATCTGTATAGTTGTATACATAATATGTTTAGCTTTAATAGTTTTTCGTTAAATCGGAAAATAGGAAATATACATATCCCCAATAGATAATTACATAAAAATTAAAAAGAAGTAGAGAAATTTAATTCCATAAAAACATATACACACCATTCGAAAATGCATATATATATGATTCCGGGAAATTAATTCTCTACTTCGCACACACTTGATAAACTCAGAAAAATACGACAGAGTAACGGGGTACACGTGGTGATGGGTATACCAAGTTGAGGTAAAAGTCAACAACATTGCATAGTCAACGAAATTGTTTATGTTTTTCATGTCGCTGCTGCAGAAGAGGACTGCTTGCCGTTTAGAGCGTTTTGTCCATCTTCAGTCTCAGTCCTCCGATCATTTCCGCAGGTACACTTGTTCGCTTGACGGACGACTGCGATTGGCGCTGGCTCAGGGGATGATACTGTGCCCAGCTTCAGCATATCGAGGCTCACCACCTCATGCAACTTAGCAGCTTCTACTTCTTTCTCTCCCAAATGCGGCGGCGTTTTACAGTATTTGTAGATCACGTAGAGTATCATTTGGAGTGCACCGAGACCAAAACCAATCACATTAGGGAACTGCAAAAACAAAACAAAAAAGAGTTTTGTTTAGTCGCAATAACATGATAGTTATTTAATATACCCACTTTTCCACTTTTCTAAGTTATTATGAATAAAGAACGTACAATAAACTTGTGACAAAAGTAAAGTTTATGGCAAACTTGTGCGGCACCGATAGAAGTTACGTACAAAATATAGTTTCTATGTAACAACAAACAAAGAGTAGTATTAAATTTCTTTTCCAAAAGCTAAATTCTTTAATATCTCTTTGCAACATATAAAGCGAGTCTCTTTATAATTTGTTTTATAATTTTTAATCGTAAAGGACAATACCAAACAAAGTGCTTTGCTTTCTTTAATTGTATTTTTTGTTGCCAATCCATATCTCTTTTTATCTATGAATCTATGATTAGACCTCAAAGTCTCAGGTACATTAGAAACAAAAGCACCCATTTCATGGTATATGATAATGATTAATTAAACTTATGACTATGATGCTTCAAATCATGATAATAATGTTAAAACATATATATTGCCCTTTTTCACTATATGTGATCTCTTACAGTGATTATACTTATACAGTATTGGTTAGTAAATTTCTAAATTGAGTTTTCAGTTGTGTTCACGTTGTGTCTAGACTCTAGACGCTATATTATATATGGATCTATAGAACATATATTTGTACAAATTAATACATAAATACATGAACAGAGAGAGAGGAAATGGCTTACAGCAACATAGATGTCCTTGAGAGCAAGACCATAAAGGAGCCATATCACAGCACTGATTGTGAGGGTTAAGGATAAGCTAAAGGGCATGTACTCCACACTCCTTGTCTTTATAACGGTCCTCTGTATTTTAAAATAAAAATAATATATTAATCACTAAAATTATATACTAATTAATATTATTTCAGTTTATCTATATACTTAATTTACTAATCAAAGTACTTACGATTATGCTTAAAGGAGCAGCGAAAACACAAACAGAGAATCCGACACAGATTCCTCCGATGATCTTTGCACGTGTGGTTCCTTTTACCAGGAATTGGCAAAGAAGGAGAATCAGACAGAATCCTCCAAAGTTCATAAGAAGTAGCAACTTCACTGTCAACATCTGCATCCATAAAAAAAATGTTTTAGTTAGCGATTTTATTTCATTTTGTAAACTATGTTTCTATATGAATTGAGGGTTATTGGGTACCCGGGCTTTCTTGGGGGCGAAGGCAAGGAAGATAGAGATGTAGATGGTTTCAATGAAACAGCCAAAGGCGTTGATGGTGACGAGGAGGAAAACATCTTTCTTCTGCGTTGCGTAGTAAAGCCAAAGTGTCGCGCTGAATAGCGCCACCACGTAAGGAAGAGACTGAAACCCTTCTGTTGTCTTCTTCTTCCAAACCCTATAGAACGTTGGCCTGCATCCATTTCATATAATCTTAATATTAGTCATGTGTGTAAGCATATTTGCTCGTCTTTGACATACTGAATTATGAAGAAAGCAAGATTAGTACGTGATAAACACAAATAACATTATATGTCTTGCTTTTCTAGAAGATGTTTAGGTAAGTTGGGAATAGAACTTACACAGGAGAGAGGAACACGGCGAAGGAGATGACGTTTCCTGTAAATTATAGAGAATATAACAAAAATGTATGGTATTAATAAATCAGTAATTAATCTCTAGAATCTAGAGTTGCAGAATTTGGCACAAAATATCTAATACGAAATTAACACAAGAGTTAGTATCATACCCATCAAACCAAAGACAAAGGCCCATGTGTTGTGAGTGTCGAAGAGAGGCATGGTTTTCTTTTGGTTTGTCTAAACTGTTCTAGGGGTTTTAGGAGGAAGAAGAAGAGAGCTGGCACTTAGATTTGTAAGTGTTTTTCTCTTAATATAAAAGCTATTGGCACGAGCTTAGCATTTCGAGGACTTCACGTATATATAGAGGGTTAGGGCTAAAGAGAAGAATGGGTTTTGTGTGGGAGAGATGGCAAAAAGTGAAATGTGTTGTGTGAACAATAATATTTTGAATATTTTTGAAAAAAAAAAAAAAAATATATATATATATATATATATATATATATTTTTAAAAGCATTAGTGTCATTGTAGTTGTATTGCAAAAAAGGAAAAGGAAAAGAAATGTTATAGACCTATAACAATAATTCACACGCTAATTCATTACCAAATTGTATACATATTGACGTACAACAAAACAAATCCGTTACCAAAATAACTTTTTGGGTATTGGCTTAAGAGATAAATACTTAATTAGTTATATCAATAATGCTTGTCAATCTCAGTTTAGGCAAGCTCTTTATTAAGGATTATGTTTAGATTCTATCTATGCATCCAGATATACACAAAATACTCCTGATTCTATCTTACGAGTTTGTGGTTTTGAATCAAAAACTTCAATAAGTATTTGTTGCTATTCGATGATTTTGCGTTTAAATTGTTTTTTTTTATCCTTACGGATTTCGTCATTTTTTTGTTCTACATCTTTAGTTTGGTATTACGCTTACGTGATTTCATAGTGTTACTAACTAAAACCAACCTAGTAGTTACAAATGATTAAAATTACTGATTATGTAGTACTTTGCAAATACAATTTGGCATGTAGTGGAAAAACATATTTCAAAGTTTTTGTGCGCCGTCTAATAATATATGAGTGTTATTCAAAATATAGGTCTAATGACAATCTGGAGATTGCTTTAGAGTTTAGAAAATGTATGAAAGAAAATGAGATTTGCAAAAGTTCTCATTAAATTTACGTTACCAAAGCAATTTAGTTCACGTGAGACTGTATGTCAAATTATTATGCCGTTTTCACTTTTAGCTCTTTTTAGTCCTGATAATCATGTTTCTTTATTGAACCATATATAATTAGCCGTTTCTCAATCATTATTCTTTTGTCCGTACTATAGGAATAAATAACATGATTATCTTTCTTTCAAGTACACATATTGTTCCATTTTTGAAGATACCTTGGAAAAACACCTCTCTTCTCCCTCGATCAGAGGCCGGTTAATTTTTTTTTTTGGTAAAATGGGCCGGTTAAATTTTCTAATGAAATTCAGCATTTACATAAATCATTAGCTTAATTAATGAGATTAGAAAAGTTACACCTTGAAATTAAACAAAAAAAAATGGTGACAAATAGTTACACCTTTTATGGATCCCATTTTCTTTTAATTTATGTTCTCTTAAGGTAAATATAGTTTGAAATGAAAGATTCATTAGTATTTTGATGTCGGAAAAACAAAAAGTAAAATCATTTTCATTACGTCAGGCCTCTGGGTGAAAAGCTCTTCGAGTGTTACAAGTGGCAAACTTTAGACACAGTGGCAATTATACGTATAACCTTTTCCTTTTTGACAAGTAGACGTAGCCACCTTTGCTTTGTTATACTTGTATCGCATGTACATATACGGAAGGTTCTTTAATCCAAATGTTTTGACGCTCGATAACTTAAGAAGTTAAGATCATAATAAGAATTAGCTGATTAGCTAGTTTAATTTAGGTTTACATTTTGTCAAGCCCAAGCATTTGATGAATAGGTTAGTATTTGGTGAATAGGAAACATACACGTAGTAACATCGAAAACTGACATGGCTTTTTATTACTATTCGATGAAATTGTGCAGTATTGGCAAATTAACGCAATAAAATACTATCGGAAACCCTTTGGTCAAAAAAAGAAAACAAAGAACATTTAAACGAGTCGTGACACTGACACACCGACTTTAGATCTCTATACCAGGTGTCCTCTCCGGTAGAGTATGTGTCGATAATTCGGTTTAAGTTTGGTCTGATTTGATTGTTCGGTTTAAGCCAATTGAGAGCTTGTATTTCAGGTGACCTATTTATTTGCGTAAATGATGACTATCTGAGACTATGTTTACCGTTTAGTAATGGCTTAGTATGCTTACTCTGAGGTCAATGGTCGGTCATTGCCACTTTTATGTTTTGGAATTTATTTTAACTTCTAACACATGTGTATAAAATCCCAAATACTAGTGTGATCTTGATATTTTAGCATATATTTAGTTTCTATATATGGCTTAACTCCAAGTCGAATTTTATATAAAATTTTCAAGATACAATATTGTTCTTTTACTTCTATGTAAGTCACTGCAGTAACGACATATAAATCAGATTTCTAACTATCATACGTTGGAAACTTGAAACCCTTTCCTCAAACAAAAAACTATCCTACGTTGAATCTTCCCACTACAAACAATACTTGATAATAATTCCGTCGTTTCTGTATCAATATTGTTTATTCGATTAGATAGATTCATTTAGAAACAGAAAATAAAAAACTAACTATTGTTTGTCTTTTCCTTTCTGTGGTTAACCACCTGAGTCACCAGACTCGAGTCCAATTTCCTCTCTAAGTTTTCATTATCCTAATATAGCCCATAATAAAGATTATATCATCAAGAAATATAATTACGAACTTATGCACGATTTCATATAAATGCAAAAATCAACTAAAAACGAAACCCGACAAATTGTAGTCCCATAATTGGTTACGTTTCCAAATTCCAACCTCCTCCACCATCCAAGCACCACTTGGAAAGTTCATACAACTTGAGCCTCTGCTTTAAAGAAAGACTACACACCACATTTCCTTTTAAACTCATTTTTATTCAAAGATAATTCATGGCGATATTTATATTTGTGATGATAAGTTAGATGTAGTGGAATAGTCCTCATCTAATAATATCTTTTAAAATTTCCCGTGTATATCAAAAACATAAATTACACAAGAAAATAACGTTGTGGTATTATTGATTTTTGTATATAATATCTGCAGTATTTTTGTTTTTTTTTTGTATTCTGAAAAAGTTCAATGCATCCATTTGACACGGAACTTTATATTGTAAAAGCAACAACAAAGTGAACAAATGATTAACCGTTGTTATATCAAACTGCCACGTTTGTTAAAACAATCATACAGCTATGAGTGACACATTTGACTCTGTTATACAGGATGACTCATATGACTCATGCTAATGTCAAAAATTCATATACATTAGGTGACGGTAACAAATATGATGTTACATTGGATATCTAGAGCATAACATTCAGTAAATTAAATATTATTAAAAAGCTAGGTTGCATGGTTTGAACTTTGAAGTCCGTTATTCGTTGCAAAATCATTTTTCCGAAAACTTCGTATCATAGATATGGCGCTTCAAGAAAATGCATTACGTTTTGCTTTAGAAACTTGGGATTTAATTATAATCTTGCATAGTAATTTAGAAAGATTCGAGTTACAAGGATGGTTTGAATACTAATACTATGACTCTATGAGATGTTGGAAGTCATAACCTAGAAGGTGTTAGTTTTGATATTTGCAAGTAATAATATCTATAATTATTTTCAGAGTTTCCTACTAGCTACTATTGATTATTTCCCCTTAGTTTTTGTGATTCATATACTATTTACACGCAGCAGTAAAAATTAAAAGAAAAGAAAAAACCATGACAAATGTTAGTTTTCCAGTCATTAATACAGTAAAATCTTAACATAAGATTTCAAAACAATATATTTTTATTTGTTCGCGAATTCAAAACAAGATATATATTCCTAGCTCGTTAATTATAGTAGTTATTTCTTGGAGGTTCTTCTACGATAACATATCCTTTTATTACTTTGTTCTCCAATAGGGACAGGAGGATTCGAATGGCAGAAAATATCAAAGAAAGAAAAAAATAATAATAAATAAAGACAAAAAAAGCAAAAGAAGAGGAGAGGAGACACACAAAAAATGTGGCTCTTCTATTGTGCGTAGTTGCTCTCAGCCTCTCCATCCAATCTCCTGATACGCTTCTGTATCATTTTTTGTTTTCATTTAATTTTCCTAAGCTACTAGCCAACTTGCATCGCATGAAGATACATTAGCAGCACTGGTGTCGTCTGGATTTATCACATTTAAAATGTAATCCAACCTAGAATTTGAGCCTCGCATATTGAAGTCTGAAATCCAATCTGTAATCTTTTTTGTTGTTAAGTCGATATGTTTTCATTATTTTTTATATCTGAAAATGCTAGAAGAAAAACCTCGAACTGAATCTCAGTTTGATGTCAACTACTCCTACTTAATTTGCATACGAATAATTATCGTGAAGTAACCGCATGAAGAAAAATTAATACTTCTCATCTATTATTTTGCCAAAAGTTTAGCATTAGGTTTAAGGTGCCTTTGTTCCCCAAGCTAAAACCAAGAAGAGCTGTATTGTAAATTTGTAATCGGTTTTTTTCCTCAGTTAAAGAAAAATATGGTAATTGTAAACAAATAAATCGAAGAACAGATCCGAGAACTGGAGGCTGGTGAAAGAAAAATAAGAACATAAAGAGAGGATACACAATAATTTCACGAGTTTAAATTATTGTTGTTTATCAACAAAAGTGAATTTATTATGTCTTCGATATTTCAATCTTTGCCATAAAGCATTCCATTTTTTTTAAAAAAAACTAAATCATGCGGTATACTTTTTCCGATAATGTATTTGCTAGTTATTAACTTATTATATAGAAGGAGTCGAACACTTGGCCTTGTGTAAATGAAGGAGAAGAGCAGACAGACATCATACAATATCTTATGAATAAAATATCACTTTGATTTATTGGAAAGAATTACAAGAAACAGTGAAATTCCATTAATTTGTTATGTTGATATCATGATTGATTTTTAACTCCAAACTTTTTGGCAAATCATTGCCCATGATTCATGCATGGCTAACCATGTCCATCGTGATTCGTGATGTGCGAGTTCGTTTCATGCAAATATA